TGGTTTCCCGTTGCCCTTGCTTGGGGGCAATCCCTAACCATGTGTCCAACACCTCCGCAATAAAAACATCGGCCCTCAACTAAGCGGGCATTTCTTTCGGTAGGGGAGGGGCGACGACGCCCTCCAGATAGATCCATTGGTACATCACCTCCCGGACGGGATGAGGGATGACTCTCAGTAATAGGTACATTGGCGACTGGGGCGGCAGCGCGGGGAGCAGAAACAGGACTTGCTGGTGGAGGACGAGGGGCCGGAGTAGTAGTAGTCCAAGGTTTTTTACTTCCTCGCTTAGCTTCTGCCGCTCGGCGACGATTATCCAACCGTTGCAGAAGTGTCGCACAAGCATTTACTGTTGTGGGAGTGTCATGGTGTATCATTGATTCATCGAGTTCCGCATTAATACCTTCCATCAAAGCCTCAATCCGAGAGACTTCATCCATACCCGACTCAGCAGCATATCGTTGAAACTCAGCAAAATAATCGGCGAACGTTCGATTTCGTTGACGGATGTTCCTAAGATTCCTCCTAGCCGTACGCATCCGATCGGGATCTCCGAAAGCAGTATCCAAAACCTAATAAAATCGTAGCATAGAGGGTAAAGCAATACCTTCTTCGCCAACATATTGTAAGAACTGATTGGCGGCAACGCCCTCCAATCTGCTGAATGCATAGGATAGCTTAGACTGTAGTGTAGGATAGCGATCGGCATTTCCCAATAGCTTAATCTTCATTTGTTGCTTAAACAGGTGTAACCTTTCTCGATCACGATCCCCCTTGAATACCTCAGGGTCTGGAAGCTTCTCGGACCGATAGGTAGTATCTGTAATGGGTGGTACTGGGGGTGCAGGTGGAACATTGTCTTCGTTGGGTGCTTGCACAGGGGCGACAGCCTCAACAGGAGCCTGTTGAGCTCGGGCAGCAGCAAGATCTTGCTCAAACCTTCTCCTCGCCCTCTCGGCCTCCGCTTCTACCTCCTGTAAATCCGTTGCATATTGAGCAAGACCATGTTGGCATTGTTGGAGAAGTGCATAGGCTTCAGTTCCAACAGTATCATTGACCTGTGGATGCGCTTGAAAAAGGGCTTGGAGACTATCGCTGAGTTGTTGATAGTCAATAGGTGCATGTTCCGACATTGTAAACTATGGTATTGTATTGGTTGGCGATAGAGGACGCAACCTACGTATCACGGGGACGTAGGCGATAGACTGTGGTGCCAAGGAATACAACCTAGGTAGCGACGTAGACGTGGACGTGGACGTAGAGGTATGCTTTGACTATGGACTGTGGGTGGCTCTACCTGGTATGATAAACCGATTAGAGCCCTATGACGTAGTGCGGACAAAGAATAGTATTCGTGGAATAAATACAGAGGTTGCGTAAGGAAGAAAGAGAAGAAGGAAAACAGACAAAAGCACAAGACAACGCCCCCTTATATATCCATCCATAATCCAACGATGACTAATACCTTCGCGTAACAGAAACCCAAAGAACATAGCAGAAATCCCCATTACAAATCCTAATCCCACTGCACGATACCTCCTTCCCTCATCCCAGTTCATCACCTAGCCGAAATACGTAGCTGCCGTTACATCGATCTGATCGTTTTGGAGGTTGTGGTGGTGTACCTTTGGGTGTCGTTGACACAAGTGGTTTTCCTTTGAAGCCTTTGAATGGTACAACTGGTGCTGGAATTTTCTCCCAGTTGTCTCTTGGGTCTCGCGGTTGTCCCATAGGTACGGCAGGTTGTTTTCCCTTGTCTGGTGTAGCCGGTGGTGGTTTTCTAACCAGTTCCGGTGATTCCGGGAACAATCCTGGCATTTCTGTACGGTTTTCTTCGATTGCATTTGACTCGGGTTCTGAATCAGACCTGTCTTCTGATTCGTATCCGTCGTCTGATGGTGCTTTTGCCGTTTCTGGTTTCAGGCTGGGGATGAAGTCGAGTTCCACTGAGACTTCCCCTGATTCAGGAGGGGGGAATGTGACGTCCCGACTTTCAATTACCCTGTGTTGTGTTCCTATCCAGATACGGTATATTTTATTACTGTCTGAGTATCCAGCTATGATTCCTTCATATGCTCGGGGTGCTAGTTTGCTTCCTGCTGGCCTAGAGTTTTCTGGGATGTGGACATAGCATTTTTTACCGAACGGTTGGAGGTGTTGTATACTTGGCTTGGTTCCTTTCAGGGCTTCAAAGGGGGTCTTTCCCTTAAGCGTACTGTGGGGTAGCCTGTTTTTGAGATAGACAGCTGTTGCATATGCTTCTCCCCATAACGACTTAGGGTGGTCCATGATCATGCACCTGACCATTGTGGTTACCGTCCTATTGAATCGTTCTGCAACTCCATTAGATTCAGGAGTGTATGGGGGAGTCTGTTCGTGAACTATTCCTTGTGAATCGAAGTAGTTCGTTATGTCCTTGTTGATGTATTCACCACCACCATCCGTTCTGAATCTCAGTATTGTTGTGCTATACTGTTTCTCGATCCTTGTAACGTAATCCTTGATGGCCTTCTTTGCGTCTTCTTTTTGTTTCAGGAGATATATCCATGCGAAGCGGGTGTAATCATCGATGAAGGACATATAGTACTGAGCTTTTCCTTGTGACTGTATACTGAACTTTCCAGATAGGTCTGAGTGGATTAGTTCGAATGGTCGTTTGGATCTAGTACTAATTGGTGCAGGTTTCTTGTGTACGCTTTTTGATAGTGCACATTGACTGCAGTGGAAACTTTCTGGTTTGGGAGGCAGCCTTTGAATGTCGTGATACAAGTTTTCTAGTGTCGCAGGATGGCCTAACGCTTGATGCCATTCATCGTAAGTGGTCAAACGAACTGTATTGCTAACTACTTGTACATTCCAAAGTCCCTTCTCCAATTTTCCCCAAATTATTCCTTTCTTTTCTTTTGTAACCAACTTGCTTCCTCCTCCTGACTCCGTTCTAAATCCCTTTTTGTCGAGCACGGTTTCTGAGACCAATCCCACATTTCCCAAGGTTGGGACCAACAGCACATCGGTGAGGAGTATGGAAGATCTACTTCCATCGGGAAGGTGGCAGCTGAAACTAGCGCTTCCCATTCCGGTGACAGCGTGGTTGGTTCCATCAGCTGTTCGGACATTGCCGGTGTGAGGTCGGATGTTGATGAGTTGGTCTTGGAAGGGTGTGACGTGAGAGGTCGCTCCAGAATCAAGGATCCAAGTAAGCGGTTGGGAGATGTCGTGGCTTACCATACAGATAGTGGTTGTAGAGTCATTTACTACAACCGATGCCGAGTTGTCCTTTCTCCTTCCCTTTCTGTTCTTGTTCTGTTCTTTGAGCTTTCTGCACTCCGTGTACTCGTGGCCTTTGTAAGGCTGTCCCCTTTTCTTGCACCAGGTGCATTCCTTGTCGCTTGTGGTACTCCTGGTATGGAGTACCTTGTTCCCTGTTTGAGGGGCTACCTCATCCAGGTTCTGTAGTCGTTGGCGTACGTCTTCGTAGGTAACATCCTGTTTGGTTTGGATGTTGTCGACGACGTTGCTCATCGATTTGGGTAGCGAACTTAGGAGGAATGCCGCCATGGCTTCGTTGGATTTGGTGAGGGGTAGGAGAGCCTGAGCGAGTTTGTGGTCTGCGCTTTGGCATCTGGACTTGAGAGTATTCCAGTTCGCATCGAAGGTCGCGAGATGCTCGGTCAGTGATCCGCCTTCTTGCATCTTCGTGTCTAGGACGCGGCTGAGGAGGGTGATCGTGGTGTTGGGTGAGACACGATCGTAGAGGTCTTTGAGCGCCTTCCATGCGTAGAATGCATTTTCGGCGGAGACGACTGTTGGTTGTATTTCTTCGCATACAGCAGAGATGAGAAGGCTGTGCATTTGTTTACGAGCCTTCTTTATCTCGGTTTTGCTGAGTTCGGTGTCATTCTCGTCAGGGTTCTCGATGCTCAACGCTTCCCACCAGTCTACAGCGTCGAACGTTATCCTCCAGGCACTTGCCCAAGTTTGGTAGTTGGATTGCCCTTGTAGTTTAGGGAGTCCATCAAACTTGAGACGAATGTTACTGGTAGCTGTTGTCTCTGAGGGTTTAATCTCAGCAGCCTTGGATGACGATTCTCCTTCTGAAGGCATGATGTTGTATGAAGTGTTGTTGAGTTAAGCGAGGTGGCGATGGTATAGTGCGGATTCTATTTGGCAGAACCCGGGCTCATAACCTCTGAATTGGAGTGTGGGAGAATAGACGACTTGAGGAGGGTTTGAACACGTGACCTTTGTGAGGAATATGTTTATAGTGCAAAGAAGATACTATTGCGCCGCTGAAGTTCCAGCGACAACTATGGGAGTTTGTTGCTCCTTATATACAGATAGTTCTTAGTACCACGTGATCCCCTGATTACATAATCCTAGCGCTAAGCCTCCTTGTTCCAACTATGAGTCATCCCTTATACATAAGTAATTACCATACATAACCGATGTCGCAATGCCATATTTTTACACTATTGTACCTACTTCTTTGGCTTTCGAATTTCGTATATATGGTGGTGGTAGATACATACATGTAGGTCTGGTGTCAGCCATATCCGGAGTTCTTTGATGTCTTACTTGAGTTTGTAAGTTTTTCTTTGCAATGCTTTAATTTGCTATTTATCATGCTTATCTTGTTTCGTGCTTGTTGGCGGGCGATGTTGATATGATTGGGGCTAAGGTTTATAAATTCAAGGTGGTGCATTGTAACACGGCGATCATGAGCTACGTCATCTTTAGTGGGGTATTTTGCGCTTTGCTCTGACGGAACAATAGAAATACGATGAACAAACACGGGTACATGCATATAGGTATACATAGTCAAATCTCTCTGTAAGGGTATCTCCTATATGAATAATCGCCCTATAAGGGTACAAGTTCTCAGTCCTTATTGGCCCCTCTAGGTATAAAATAACGCTTGCTATAATTATAAGGGTACCAATTTCCGATCCCGAGTGTACCGTTATAGGGAGATTCGACTGTATTATGATATAAATGAGAAACTAAAAGACATATTGAATTCCGTCAAAAAATTTGTCCTCCAGCGACCAACTATTCTCATCACACCAATCAGTAGCCTGTCCATAACCCTTCTCTGTAAGGGAAGAATTCTTCCAAAATTTCCCGGAAATGCCGCCAATATCCTCAGCTGCCAATCTAACCAGAATCCGTGCTCCCTCTTCTACAGGGGGGGTCAATTAAAAACATGGTAGTTTAAGTAATTAAGCGCGGCACTTACCTATCGTCTTCAAAGGTATCGCCCTTGATGCGAACTTGACACCTGTTTCTGTCTCAACCCTATTCATTGTATCAATACATCCGATTTAACTCAAGAATAGCCACATGACTTAGAGGAACAAGGACATACCGGCCAGGACAGCAGCAGTTCACCAAAAGTTCAGGGTTATCCCTCGCCATGGTAATCTTCGCAGCCGTTATGGCAGCTTTCGTGACTGAGTACTGGTGGGGCCAACCTTTCTCCTTCGATACTCCAGCCTTCACATCTGCCTGCGACATATCGTAAGACGATATACAAAATCAGTTATCCAGCATTCCGAGCCCTAAAATACTTACCCTATATCTCTCTATTAACGCATCCAACCCCTCAATCGTACCTTCCCCCGCAGCCGCCATCTTAGCTCTTAACTCCTCGTCGCGGAATCCTCCTAAATTATATGCAATTGAAGACACATTCACGGCCCGCCCGCCAGGTTTGAGGATGGGAATGAATTTTTTTACACATATTAACGGTACCATAGTAATTGAACTCCACTATCTCCTTAACGCTACCCGTGCCATTGCCCGCATTGTTTACAAGTACATCTATTCCGCCTGCCTCCTTAATGGTTTTGTAGAGGGCCTCAATAGAAGATGGAGTAGTAATGTCGAGCGGATGGTAGCTCAGAATTGAAGAGGTGATATTGTGGATGATTTTAGGTGGTGTGCGAGAGGTCAGGTAGATTGTTGAGAGGGGTGGGGCGTGGTCAAGGAGGGATTGGACTATACGTGGTCGATGCCTTTGCTGGCGCCGGTTACGAGGTAGGTTTTAGAGTGCGACATAAATATTAAGTGAAGGTTCTGAACGTATTCTAGAGATTGCACTAGTATATTTAAAATCTCAAGGAAATGGAGATGCTTATATAGAGGACCGGAAAATCTAACTTCTAACACCCCTTCCGGATCCTAGAAGCCACTCTCCCCGCCCAGATACCAAACCCCAAAGAGACTTCCCCTCAGATCTACAGGCGCCGACGATCTTTATAATGCCTTATAGGATACTTTGATTTTGACTTCCAAAACGATCCGTGCCCCTGGTTCTTGTCCACTCACCTTGTGCCAAATGAATTAAAAAAAAAAAAAAAAAAAAAAAAAAAACTCACCTTGTGCCATTGCAATGGGTTGCGTGCGAGTGATGAGTTGTGATCGAAGCTAACAGCTAAGAGTAGGGTTTGTCAGGAAGTCCGAAGAAATCGGGCATAAGATGTAGTCATTGCGCATACTGAACTTGTGACCGAGCAGAGAAGCCTAATAAATGCTTCCTTATAGAAGAAGCGAGTTTGTGCTTTTGCTAACTCTATGTAGGTATTGGACGTCAAAAACTAAAATCTGCCTCACGAATTTTGGCCAACGCTTGAAGATAATGGGGAGTAACAGTAGTGGAAGATACTTCTTTTTGCGGCAAGTAAAAAATTGCTAATACTAGGTATATTTTTCTAAATGAAAAAAGAGAAGACTACATATAGCGATACACAAGGAGAAAAAGAAGAAAATAGTCATACAGATTCTGGTTTCGTCACACATCAACTCCGAGAAGCGCTTCGCAGCGTATCCGGCACTGTCGCTCACAATTTGGTCCCCGCCGCTTCCATTTCCTTAGTCTAACTCTAGGTTAGTATCATCCACCTCAGCACCGGTCGTTTGAATTGGTTCACATACCTTCTTATACGCCCTCTTACACGCCTCTCTACTCTCACACCTCTCCATATATTCAAACAACTTCGGATATTCCTCTTTACTTAGCCCGCAAATCATCTTTGCAGCCGCTAACTGGAACGATATCATAATATCAGCGCCTGAGAATTCCTCGCCCGCCAAATACGGTCGCGACGAAAGCTCGGCCTCTAGGAAGTCAAAGTGGGTCTTGTAATTGGGTTTCAAGAACCGCGTCTCGACCCTGCTAGTAATCATGTTGATGAGTGGCTTGATGAAGAACGGTACCGACGCTTTGTTGATATTCTCGACCACAAACCCAACCAGCATCGGCGGCATCAGGGAACCCTCGGCATAGTGGAGGAAGTACCTGTTGGGTTTTCTATTAACTATACTGTTCCTTATGTCCGGGGGAAGTTAAACACACTTGTACCGCAGCAGTGAGTCCTCGTCGCTAGGTTTGAGCTGGGGCCCGAATTTGTCGACGAGGTACTCGATGATAAATCCTGACTCGGCAAGAACCCTGTCACCGACAACTACAATGGGAAATTTCCCAAGCGGGTGTAGAGATTGCGAGCCTTCGGGGGCGAACATCGCGGAGTTCCGGATGTGACATTCGATATCGTAGTCGAGGTTGAGCTCTTCGAGAAGCCAAACAATACGCTGGGCACGGGACTGGTTGAGCCTAGTTGGTACACAGTCAACGCTGTGTCTATGCGTGGGTGGTGAGGGTAAACCTACCAGTGTAGCGTTACTTTTGGCTGTGCACTTTTGTTTTCGGACATTCTCGTAAGTTTTGGGTGGTTAAAGTTTAGGGAAGCTATGATGACAAGTCTGGGGGAATTAATGGTGGGAGGTGTGGAAGTGGTTTAGCTACCGCTGAAATATGTAGAGTAGGAGTATTGGGGATTCTTGAAATAGTACGCTCAGCACATTTCATAGTATTGGAGGATTCTCATTTGTCATCATGAGTCACGGGTTCTGACTCATTCTTTCTCTGGTATTTATTAGTCCCCCCTCTAGTTAGTTGGAATAACACGCTCAATTACTACACTTCTCTACATACATTTTCTCTAGGGATCAGATGCAAGCATCGCTTGTCCCGCGGCACCATCATCACGCTCGGTAGCATGTCAGGGATGGCGACGTCATAGCAACATGTAATAAATACGGGTTACGGAATAATTGTCCCGACATAGGGACTGCGCTGAGAGTTTGTTATAGAGCCTAATCGTCTTAAGCAGAGACGTTTGGCATTTCGACCATGATGGCGATAAATAGATGTACGAATCTAGAGAAGTAGATATATATCGCTTGTGTAACTCCGTTCCTGGCGATCTTTGGGACCCTGGCGGCTTCAGTGCCAGTACGGGCTCTTATCGATAAGAAGAGTGCTGATATTGCATATGATACTTTTTAGCAGCCGCAGCTGTCATTCAGCTAATAGTGTCGATACAAATTCTAGAGCTGCAATTTTCTGGGTTAGATACTGGGTTTCTGCACAATTTTTATACTTCTCGAAGCTAGTATTTGGAGATACTTATAATGTACTTACGTAAGTCTATTACTCAACACCGAGTGATCCTCATGATCAGATTAATAACATGTATTCGTTCTCTTGCAATGTCGTTCCTTGGTCAATCAGAACACGGGAAGATCTGGGGGATCCAAGTGAAGCTTTGAACATAGGTGCCTTAAAAGGCTAACACGCAACTTAGAGGGATCGAATATATATACATGTATGCTTGGAGAAAATGAAGAGATCGCGTTTTACCCCTAGCTATCATGATTAAAGCGATTGAAGCACGAGGATCCAGCGCCAGCTCCAACTCAGGCATCTATCAGGTTTTTTTTTCAAAGGTAACAGATCCGGATCCAGAAGTAGCACGTATTTATAGGCGACCGCGACCATGCCCTGGTTTTTGAGCATACTATACTTATACTTTATGATAGCCATATATTTGATGAAGCAGGGAATGTCCAGATATACGGGACTGTCACTGTATGCTTATAGCAGCCTGTTCTTTACATTCTCTATATTATGAAATCCCCAAGGATATGGACGATACACGGGATATCACTCGATTTGGATATCACCTCGTTTACCTCGAGTTTGCTGCTTTATGTCACTATCCCATCCCTTCGCTTATATGGCAATATCCTTCTTTACCACTGCAGCATTTTCGTCATGCACTTGGTTTTTCTTGCAGCGCCTCGCCCTTGGATGGTTGGCGACAAATTTGTGGCCGGCAAGCTGCTCAAGAAGGCCAGGGCTTTAGAAAAATTTGCGAAGGAGATTTTTATCCAGCGGCTCTGTTGCTCCCCAGTGTCAGCCAGAGGGTAGAATTACATTCATCTACTAACAAGGTTCCGAAGTTAGGGAAGAATCTCTAGATTCTAAGTGTATCTGACGATGTTATAAAAATAATATGGCTCATTTGGCGCCTTTGGCGACCGCCAAGTTCATGATATCTACAACAATCATCATAGATAGCCAGGTTACAGAAAATCTACCTCCTTTCGCACCATTCCGAGTCTCGGAGCTTCTTAGCAATACCACCTATCCTCTTTAAAATTTGAATAATGTCTACGTAGATACAAAGGCGCATGGATAACTCATAGCGCCGTCCATTCAAACAAGACATTACCCCGCATGCCCATTTAATAGAGACCGAATGCTTGGATTCTTCGCCTACAAAGTTCTCTAGCACTACTCAGGATCGACATTCGTTTACGTGTCTTGTTGTTCTTGTTTATAGCCTGCTTGGTAGACATAATGCTAAAGGTGATCGACGTATCATTTCCGCTTCTATGACCCCACCGTTGGGGGTTGAAAATGCTACATGCAGATACTGCACGTATCCCCCCAAAGGCTCCCCGAATATATGCGTATGTATTAATTCTAATATATATTCTTCATTTTCATATTAATACAGGTGATTTTGCTCACCTGATTATTGCAGGAGTAATTACATGAAAGGATACAACGTTACTTTCGCCCCAGCTCAACTGTTACCTACATGCAGCTGCAGGGAAGTTTGAACTTGAGGGAGACTAAAGTTCCGAAGCAGGGTCTTCAGGCATGGAGTGATTATCGCAAAATCTCCTATCGGATTAGAAATACTGGAAACTGACCGAGTTCTTCTACTCTACCTCTCCAGTATGTTTCGGGGTGGTAGACTCCTTAAAAATACAGAACTTGACATAGGGAAGGGGATAGTGGTCCTCACCTAATGGTTTTGATAAACAGGTGAGTTATAATAGGATTCATTTTCTCCAAGATACATGCAACGCCTTGAATTGTACCAGATACGATGTTTTTATACCGGCAGATCATTTACCCCGGACAAGCACCCATCATGACCACCGCCAAGTCACACAAACGCTCGCCAAGCAAACCCCCACCCCGTTCGGGGGTAAGGTGTGATCGGTTGAAAGTTTGGCCCTGCTTATCAATTCAATTCATCATACTCTACCTCCCCGACCAATGCGGGCTCACCCTTTCCCGGCGCGCTGGTTAGATTGGGGAACCCCAACCGTCTCCTGCCTGCCCTTTAAAATCAATCGAATCTTTAGAAATATTTCCTTCTTCCAAAATTGTTCCCCACATCCCGCGCTGTTAATCGGTGTGATGTGCGAACAGATGACTTATGCATGTCGATTGACAGAGACACAAAACGGTTGCACCAACAGCTTTTTCCGTCCGATTTTTTAGTAGAGAGGGTGAAACATACATTTGATGATAAAACGGTGGGTTGCCCACCGCAACCAGCCTGACAAATGTAAAGGTTCCCACCAACGACCGCGACCCGTCTTCCTTCCGGGTGTCTTTCGGGGGCTTTCCCCGTATGTGCACCTCGCCATTGGTGCGCAGGGTGATGGGGGTCGGTTCGAATTTGTATGTAGACACAGGTAACTGGTACTTTGGTATCAAGTTGCAATATTCGATCACCAGCCAAAGGGTGTGAGAGCTGGGGTATTTGGGGTATTTGCAAAACGAAGGACATGATAGTATAATCTTCAAATCCAAAGTTAGTTCTGGAGTTCAATAAGCTCTTTCAAAAGTCATTACTCACATTTACAGAGCCCGAAGTGCCTTGGCAATTGTGCATGTGTATGACGGCTATTTACAGGTTTTATTCCCATGTGGTGGTGATATCAGTGTGAAGAGTGAAATTCTGAAGACACAATCTTCGTAATCTAGTTAGCCACCGCCAATACACATTAGAGCACCAATAGCTATGCCCTCCGTTCTGACGAGAGGACACGCACTCTCATGGGCCAGTCTTGGTCCGAACCATCCGTTTGCATCCGTCTGACATACCGTTGATTCATTGTCCTTCAGGATTTACTAATACACATGTAGAGCCTCCCGGTACAAGTATATGTACATGTACATACAGATACACAGCTTGGGGTGCCCTTGCAACATCACCGCTCTACAATTCTGATGATATCAACCACACAGCCTGGTTGTGTATCCGAATCTGTCTTATTTAAACAAATTGGGTTTAGGTTTGGCCCCTACCCCTGGTACTAGACTTTTATTACCAAGAGGAGTTTTTCCTCTCCGAACTCTCTCTCTCCCCACCTTCCTCCCCGCCTTTATTTTGCCATCGACTCTGGTTTATTCCTACTACTGCTTCTTCCTCCCTTTGATATCTGCTTCTATTTGTCTTCTCTGCCAGCTTTGATCTTTTTTGTTTATTTGCTGTTAGAAGTGCATATTCGTTGGTGATTGTTTTATAATAATCCTAGATTATCGTTTCTGTAATTTTTTTCTTATTCTCTTCTTTAACACAACAACACCGGCAGTTGTGCGTTCCTGGAAAGAAAATGGCACCAAGGCGGTATACGTCATCTGGTCAGAACCAACCCGTGATTGTCGATAGACAACACCAGCCAATTCAACACCAGCACCAACATCAACATCAGCAACAAAACTGCGACGTGCGGACTACAGACACCGTCATTGTAGGTTAGTCAAGCAACTATCGGCTTGTTTCTGGTGAAATATCACTGATATCGTGCAATTGTTCCACAGGCAACGGTCCATCCGCCTTGTTTCTCAGCTATCTCCTCCATGGCAATGTCCCCACATATGACACCTCAGTCCATGGTCCTCACCCTGATCCTGTCCTACACTCAAAGCTCTCACAGCTCGGCCCCGACAGGTCACTCTATGATGCACTCGAAACTCCGAGATCAGTCGAGGCACTCACGGGACATTTCCCGGACTCAGCATACATGTCTTATTCAAATCAGGCACTCCCAATTAATGTCCTTTTAGACACCTTAATCCAGCCCAATGCAGATACAGAGATTGGTGAAGCAAGATCCAGAATAAAATGGGAACGAAATAGCAGCCGCCGGGTCGACCACCTCGTACTCGGAGATGCCGGGAAGGCTGGGGGACAATGGGCCGAGGATCCCATTGGGGCGAACAGAGACTGCGAGACTCTGAGGTTGGCTATAATCATTTCTAACTGTATTCAGGAGCATTGAAATCTAACATAATTTTAGTTATGCTGAAATGCTATCATTGCCTGGATACTCGTTCCGGGAGCACTACAAACGAACCCATAGAAGACCAATGCCCGATTTAATTCGTCCTACACGACGGGAAGCCGCCAGCTATTACAGTGCTTACCCAAAGGCCGTCGGAATATCGTCGGAAGTGTTTACCTCTGTCCATGCGCAGCGTATATCACAGCGACCAGGCGGTGGGTTCACACTCCGAGTACACCGTCGGGGCTCGAACTCTAACAACAAACAATACCATGATGTACATATGACTATTCACTGCACACACCTGGTCCTGGCGACTGGAATATACTCCAACGTTATACCCCCACCACCCATCTATCAGTCACTAATGTCACTCACCACACCTTCACCCCACGCAGCCTCGAATCCCCCAATGCTAGTGGTTGGCTCCGGTTTTACGGCTGCGGATGTCATGATGGCTGCGAAGAAGGCGGGAAGAAAAGTAATACATATCTATAAATGGAACACCTCGCGGCCTTCCCCGCTAAAAGGGTGCCATCCGACGGCGTATCCCGAGTATGCGGAAATATATAGACGGATGAAGTCGGGCGTAGCGGCGACAACATCACCACGATCAAATCAGGTCACTGATGGTGAATACGAGGGTTTTCCGAATGCACAGGTTATCAACACACACCCGGACGGCCGAATCCGGATCTTGACCATAGACGGCGAGATAGTAGAGCGGGTAATCGACGAATTCAAATACTGTGTTGGCCGGCGCGGGAGTCTCGAGTACCTATCCCCAGAGCTACGGAAGGCTGTGGGTGTTGTGGACGCAGGATGGATCTCTGGAGACACGATGCGATGGAGGGTAGAGGAAGACCTGGAAATTGTGAAGGGTGTGTTTGTCGTGGGGAGCTTAACGGGTGACAGTCTGGTGCGCTTTGGGTTCGGCGGATGTGCTTATGCTGCTGGGAAGATAAGCAGTGACGTGAAGCGAGGGGATGAGGCCAGGGGCATCAAGAGGAAAGATGAAGAGGGGTTCGAAAATGGGGCGAGGACTGCAGACAACCGGAGGTCGAAAGGCGCTTGCGTAATAGTATAGCGGTGGAGGGGTATGGACCTTTTTTAACTTAATTTATCATTTAGATTTCAACGCCTGAGCGACAGGGGCATGGCATAACAGGGTAGCGGTGTTTAGATTGGAGTTCTTTCCCTCCCCCCTCCTATTCGATGGGGGGACTTTATATTTTTTTTTTCTTTCTTAGAGATACTAGAAACATATAACAACAGGTTAATAGATAGGGCATCTTAGTTACTGTACATATAGGGTTAGTATATTCGAACTACTTTGTGTTTAATCACAATTAATCACTCGGGTTTGTTTCAGTGTTTAGATCATTTAGTTATGTACATAGTACTAGGGGGTAGCGAAAAGTGATCAGATTGTAGCGAAAAGTGATCAGAATCTGACAAGACAAAATACACGTATTCACCGCAACATTCACTTATCAGATTCTGATCACTTACCCTCAACCTACGGCACATACATGTCATTGCATGCCGTAATAGATCATTGGCCTTGATTGCGCACTAGTGTAGGTGCAAACTCTTGGTGTGCAACGCCATTCGCATGAGCCAGATTAATACATGTGCCAATGCTTTATACGTCCTAGAATCCAGAAGAAGAATAAAAAGCTGACTCCTAAAATACACCAAGGATCCAAATGTGTGTGGTTAAATAAACAAAGGAAAGGATAAAAGTATTTGTCCTACATAGTACTCCATAAAACCTATTCATGTTTTCTCTATCGTCATGCCCAAAACATACAAAACACTTACAAAATGAAAAAAAAAAAAAAGAAATAAAAAAAAGCCGATTAAATTAAGAACCCACGCCGTGAGTTCCTACCATATTCTCCACTGAACGCCTCTAGTCTTACTCCTACAAGTACGACCTCCATCCCACTCCTCCCATCTTGCCCAGTGGTAGTCTGTACTCTGACTCTCCACTGTCCCCTTTTCACAACCCACTCGCCACCACCTTCTTCCATACTGCCCTGTCTTTTGTGTCTCTTCCGTGGGCCTGATTGCCCCTGTACCCCCAAGAATGGCTTAGTAGATGCGGGTCTACTCGCACTATGTTGCCAATTCATGCTTGGGCTCGGAGTACCGCCCACACTCCTCCCCGCGTCACTTCCAGATGGTGCGGAGGCGCCATCAGCCATATCGTTATCGTGGGCATCAAATGAGCTCATCCCATCCCGATCCAAATACTCCTCTCCGTCCAGCTTGATAAAACATTCTGGTCCGAGCTTGATCTTAACTCGATCTTCACTCAAAGGGGTATTCCCCGGGCTCGCAGGACCAGAGGACCCGGTGGTCGACCCGTTCTGTCCCAACAGTACAAGTCCAAGAGCTCTCTCGTGTCCAACCGGCAGCCCCAGTTTATTAGCAATCACCTGGAATAGTGCCGAAACACGCTGATTGGTAGTCCCGGTGAATTCAGCGCGGCCACTGCGGAAGTCAACTTTAGTCTGCTCGCCCCCTATCTCGACGATGAGTTCGCGCTGGATATCGTCAACAAATGGACGCATATAATTTATCCATCCGCTCGACTGTTTAGCCCCAGGGAACTGATCTCCACCAAAGTCAGGGAGGAAGGCAACACCGGAGGGTTTGACGTCCTCGAGGCGGATGACAATCTCTTGGCGCTGGCGTCTCTGATTCCAAGATATCTCATGGGGGATGAGTTTTTGTTCCAGCCCTTTAAGATGGAAATATTTGCAGTCGCGCAGAAGCTCCTGGCGATGTTCTTCGTTCCGGATGTGAACAGGATAACCGCGGAGGAGATGAAGAAGCTCGGCAAATACGTCGGCGGAGCGGTTGGGCACCTCCGGAGGGAGAATTGAAGGGGGGCGGAGGAGGCCTTCACGAGCGAGGCCGGGGAAGACTTCGTTTGGAGAGGAGAAAAAGACAGCAAAGCCTAGGGAGAAGTAGTTCGGCGAGTTTCCGGGGGACTGAAAGAGGTCGCGATTGATTTGGAAGTGGCGAGAGCCAATGGAAATGAAAATTTCCGATTCAAAGAGTTGCGAGATTAATTTCGGAACTATTGAGGAGGTTAGTTGGCAGGTAATGTGAATTAGAGACGGAGGAAGGCTTACGGCTGTAGAATTGGGCGTCTGCAAATAGTCTTACGAAGTGTTGGCCATCTTTTGGGGAAACATGATATCCTACAATACCGTCAGCTTTCTCTCAGTCATATCGAGAGTTCAATTGGAAAGAGCACACCTTGAAGGTGACGTGCGATATCTCTAAATGTAATCGGGTCACGGTCAATATAGAGTGTTCGGATCGTCTGGCCTTCCTCTAGATTTGCCAACTGTTGTTCAAAGAATTGCGAAAAGTACGAGGGAGCTCTAGCACTCTCAGTTTCATGTTTGCTACAAGTGGAATTCTTTCTAGAGATACTGACCATCTGAAGATATTGACGCGCCACTATTACCGATGTCAGTATGTGGATCAAAGAGCCGGAGGAGAAAAGTAAAACATACCTTAATCGAAATAGTTCCCCGCCAATCTGTATCGGAAATACCTATCATCCCAACCTATTTGTTAACAAACGCTACCGTCATTAAACGCACTTCACCGCCTTCACCCCCTGTACGCACAATCTACATACCTTCTCATGTGGTAATATCTTTGGGATCTCCGGGAAATACGCGTTCGATGCGACGCGCGACTTATCGTCCTGACTAGCTACGCTCATTGCGAAGTCTCTCCCCCAAGTTCTGCGCCTATATCCGTTACCGGTATTGATTGGGGTGGCGGTATCTGTAGCTGTAGCTGTAGCTGAAACCCCTGCGTCGCTTCTTGGAATTTCTCGGGGCGAGCGCTTTCTCTTCCCCGCCGCTGATCGGCGAAAGTTTAACTGTGAGGGTGGAGTTGTTGCGATAGTGTCGTGGTTTCGCTTTCCGGAAGTTGTTATGGTGTTGGTAGTGGTGGTCCGGTTGAAGGGCCGATTCGCCGCGGTAGGTGACGCTTGCAAAGATTCTGGGGGGGTGCTCCCAAGTGCAGTGGTAATCCCGGCAGGGGAGCCAACAGGAGCTGGGCTCGGCGGGGGCGGCGGTTGTTGGCCGTAGAAGGATGTCGCGGAAGCCGCGGCAAGATCCAACCACTGAGTCTGCGTTGGGAAGTAGCCAGAAACGTCGGCCGGAGTAGGAGGAGTGACTGCGAACACGGGCTTGGGGGTCCCAGACGACGAGGTGCAGTATGAGGGGAAGATGGCGCTGGTGCTGGTGGTGCTGGTGGTGCTGGTGGTGCTGGTGTTTATGGTGGGTGTAGTAGCAATAGATAACGGGGATCCTTCATGATAGTTGTAATGATCAGGTCCCAGCATACTTTTTAGTGTTCGGATTAATTATTAATATGAGAGACGGAAATTGCTATATATCGCTCTTTAGGCCTGAGGAAAAGTCAGATGCTGAAATAATTCTTGAACTTCTCAATACTGTAAGGGCCGAGAGACAACGCACGAGACCAAACTGATGTCGGACAAACCACTCCTTATCTCGTCTCCTCCTTTCGTTTACTTACCGGTTTGTGTTGTGTCGATAGATGGGTATATCGATTGGCTTTGGCCTGATTCCTGGTCCTAGTATTTGCACTCTAGTATAGCTTATATAAAAATTAAAGAGATGAATAAAGAACGTCCCGAGGCCTGGGCGGGGTGTAGTTATAAACGAGAGACAAAATGGATAACCAGGCGCAGCCAACAAATGAAGCGAAAGGTGGGGGCTGAAGAGTTGGAAAAGAAGGAAAATAAGAAAGAGGACCTGATATAAATCAATTAGGGCAGGTAGTTAGCAGACAGCCTGCAAGCAGGTAGCCTGATGAGATCTAACGGTCTGCAGCAGCCGTCGCTTGATCTGATCGGAACCCGATCTTAAAGAGAGACACTTGTTGGCTTGAGTGGTATGATCCGAGATCTAGTTAGATGTATGATATCTCAGCTAGGGCTGAAATAAACTCTTCTTTTTTTTTTGTCACCTCCAGCGAATATTCTAGTCGCGTTGGCTGGTTGGTTAGGCTGGGCAGCTGCTTATGCCTGGAGTCTAGTAGAGCCTAATGCCTTCCAGATGTTCGAAAACAGTCCAAGAGACAGGTTGATGACTGCGATAAGCGCAAAAGCGGAGAGTTTAGCTTGGCTGGGGTAAATTCAAATTTTATGAGGTACCTGTAAAATTTAAAAGGCAAGTCAGCATTTTTGGCTCGGAGCTGAGGGTTTGATTCGTGCAAGGAATCTTTCACGTGAGATAGCTCCGTTCTCGGCGGCTAGGGATAGGATACTAGGCATTAGATTGACATGACTCTACCATACATATCCTTCTCTTGCATGTGGAGTAGAGGAGCCGGAGTTCACTCCAAAAGAAGATGAGTTGGGTTGGGTTGAGGGTACTAATATGGATTGGTATGGTGAAAACTTACAGGCTAAGAACCTATTTTCTCGCGATAGCAGTAGGGAACAATTCCTTTACACAATGGCTCAGGATATGTGAATGCTTCCGCCGGCCGATAGGGGATAAATATCATGAGTTTCTTAGGATCAGTAACTGTTATTAAATAGTCCTCATCAGGTCATTTCCCATCTATAGAATTTCTCGAATTACCTATTTCTGTCCAATTTGCTATTAAAAGCTCCCTATGACAAAAATAGCCACATCTGTATTAGGAAAAAGTTAATGATACCAATCGGGTCAGAAGAACTGGAGTGAGAGAGACGTGCAAAAGCCGGTACATACATGTGAGTGCAAGGATTGGAGTTCAATTCAGGATCTGGTAGTGCAATGAATCGGACTGTCCTGCCATGTCTCAACGTCATCCTTTCCTTTTTAAGACCCCCATAGCCAGCTTTTGGGGCACAAGAAGCAAAAATTTCTTCTAGAGCCCACACGCAGGCCATACACGCATCTCTATTCCCTCTGTCCAACCGTATCTGGGGAAATCTCTAAAGGTTATCTGAATGGTTATCTGAGACTTTGCGACAAGACTAAAAACAACGCGGCCTTTTAAGGCCGCTTCCACAGAAGGTACATATTGAGACTGTGACTTCTTGATACGCTCTGAGTAGACTGAGTGCCTGTGTTTACTGACATACCTAGGTGGACACCCATGTTCATTTTTAAATAAGGAGACACACAGTAAATGTAGATTAGAAAAAAGCAGTGGCTGAGTCTTTGCTTGTGATGCATGTCAAAAAAGAAACGAACAAGAAAACGTACGAATTGGAACACCTCAACAAAGTTGGGGTATTACAAAGGGTGTCGTCCTGCGGTGAATATGCACGGACCCCTGCCATTAGTAAAGCTAATCCCTGTGAAAATCATGGTTATGTAAACCTTAGACACAGCATTGCAATGTGCAATGCCGCATCCGACAGTAACCCTCATGTCAATCCCCAACTTATTTTTCGTCCGCCCTGAATCGCAATATTTGAAGGTTAGAACACTATGTTCGGGAATCTATTGGCAAGTTGTACCTGCATATTTACCTTACTAACTGCGCGTATCTTTTAAGTATCCTATACTTTACCCGATTATCTAGATCTAGCCATTCTATACATATGTATTCATTAAGTATCCGACACAGTGAGGCACAAATACATGTAGTACCTGCATGTGTTGAGATATTCTGTAGTAAACAATAAGTATAAGCCTTATAAGTGGTTTCCGGCCTTCGGCCGGTACTAAATGTATATCAATTAGTCCAATATACAGGCAAGCCGCTTTGCGGCTTATTTTCTCTACTTGCCTGTCAGTCGGGGCTCGACCCTTCCTGGCAGGCAAAGCCCATCACTATATCTGCTCTGGTCGATATGTGTCTTTTCTAGTATCCCCCATATCAGCGGATAGGTCAGACAATTTCTCCAGTTCAAGCTGCAAGTATATCCCCTTAACAGCCACCAAGCCGCTAAATCGAACTACTAATCGATTCCCAGAACCAGTAGAAAACCTATTAACAATCTAACACCACTCAGCACAATACCTATGTTCATATCCAACACAACATGTTTCAAGTGAAACAAAATCTCTCTCTCAATGAGCCAATCAGAAGCTTTTAAATGCATATGCATATGCAGGTTATAATTATATACTTATTGGATGGTACAGTAGAGGAGATGGGACGAAGCGATTAGGTAGAACTATTAGAAATACCTATAAAGCTATAACGGTCCCTCTAGACTGTAATTGCTCGGAGCGAGAAGTGGGGAATATATCGTCTAGATTTAGAAGTCGATAAATTTCTAATCATACTTAATGGTCACTTCTGAGGCTGATCAATAGCCCTCAACCAATCGTCAAAGAGATAATCCCTGGACGGAGATAGCCAATTTATCGAGTTTTTTTGCAGTATGTAGACATGCATGTATTTGGGCGTTACATGAATCCGTGGGATATATGTGTCTTGGACGAGCGGTTAACTACAGTCATAAATGTAGGGGCCGCAATCGATCCTACATGTAGTATACGTACGTATAGTAATATGAAGCCAGCCTTACAGATCTTTAAAGCAGCATATATGTATCGACGCAATACTAGAGCTAAGCTGCAAGACAGCTGAGAATATGATATAAGTCGACGGGGTAACAATTCGATCCCGGGGGTCGATATTGTTTATCTTTCGGGATTTAATTAAGGTTGATGTTTTTGGTTTATAATGGAAGCCATCCTGTGGATATTTTGGAAGGTTTGTAGGCGTTCAAATGTGGTCTGTAGACCCCCCCCAAGGGGTGTCTACAGATTTACTCACCTGGCAGTCTGCTTACAACTCTCATACTTCAAATAACCAAAAACACAATAACATCTAAAATTTCCTGAAAAAATTGGCGCTTCACTATTGGCAACTGGAGATATAGGTATCATGTTTACAAGCCTTATTCTTTCTCCACTGTCGAATGGGGAAGTGTTATGTGCTCTGGTCTTTTTTTACAGGATTTTATGTGGTGAGCCGTTGCTATACAAGATCTGTAATTTATCATCAAGGCTTCAGGTTTGAACACCTTCAGAATATCTACGGGATGGCTTCCAATATTCCGTATGTTGGTAAATATAAAAATGTTAACCGCCAGAACTTCTCCATACACATGTACTCATCCATTGATGACACATTGCACAGCTCGCTAATGACACACTTACAACATCGCTGGCTTGACACCAAACTCTTATTTCTAGGCCTTTCCTTCTTCTACAACTTCCATCATTCGAGCCTGAGTTTGTATTATCACCATTACTACGGACTTTCATTGGCACATATACAGTTATCACATCACAGTCACCTTTATTCGTGTGTTTCGACAAAAGCGTTTCGATATCCTTAGGGCTTTCTAGAAATAAACTGCTCCGCCATGTCACTAGTCTCAGTACCTGCGACACTAGTAATAGAAGATTCTGACTTTCAAGGCCCCGAAGCCCCATTACTACATGATGGGCCGTGCTCGGCAACAATGGCACCCATTGCTTCGGGGAGCTTATTACTAGATGCCCGCCCGACGGAGGAAGACGCAAGCGGAGGTGGGGTTGAAATATGTATGGGGAGTGGTTCCTTGAAGGAATCGGTGAGGGCGCCCTCTATCAAATCAGCCCTTAGTTCATCCTTTCAAGTGAAATTGGCGATAAACAGTGAGAGCAATCTACTTCAAGATCCTTCTACATATCATTTCGATGAAGAGTTATCTAAGTAAGACCGTCCTGTCCCCTCCTATGTTTTATTAACTTTGTCATAAGTGACTGATTACGTCTTAGTGGCTGTAATTTTGGCAAGAATCCTGTCATAGCTCAACCAAAATTATTCAGAAAAGAGACGAACTTGCATTCAACTGCCAGAAGCTCATTTGAAGGAATTCCTATGGATCAAGGAGAGCTTGTATCTCACTCACCTGTTCTCTCAAAACGATTGTCATCCAGGTGTTTGAAGGCTTTCAGGAAACTTCGGTCTCCATCACTATCCCCCCCGGAATACCGCATATTGAGTGACTGTGGTGCGAATGGCACCGAAATCGAAGCCATGAGTTCTTTTGAAGGTTCTTATTTAAGCCCTCCCGTTTCACTACGAGCTCCTATCGACCTAGGAAATACTGATAGCAAACACATGGCACCAAATGTAATAGAAGACCTTGAATGTCTTACAGAACCCCAAGATTGCGTGATCAGGCCCTCCAAAGTGTACTCAGATGCTACTGTTATCATTTCAAGCGGTTACAACAGTTTACAACAGGAACCGAAGGATACAATTCAAGAAAACCAATCTTTGCCGAAGATAGCAGATTATTCACCCCAACCGTCATTGGAAAACAAATCAAACAATCATCTTATAGATGGAACTATCTCACCTAAGGCACCTCCTGAGATTTTCGCGGAGACTGAAGAGCTCGGTGGCCATGGCACCCAAAATAAGGTCATAACAAAAGCAGAAGATAGTCATAGCGAAAGGACTGATACTTCTCAATCTGAGATTAATAAAATATTGGACTTGAGCTACCAAGAAAACCCACCGAATCTCGAGATAGTTGGTGCAGAATTCATGCGTCAGGAAGTTGACACCTATACTGGGCTCATGGGGCAAGATGGATGCCATGATTTTTCAAAAAACGATTTTGAGGAGACCCCAAGAAAATCACGGTTGACTACATGGAAAGAGAAAGCTAAAATTGAGAATTGGCTAGGGAAGAAAAAGAGTTTCTCGCGGCACCCGCCTGGGAAGACTAATCCTGAGGTATCGAGACTCAAGAAGAGTCCAAGTTTGCTCTTCCGCCTCTGGGGTTCCACCGCAGACTCCGATCCAGAAGGACATCAACAGCACAACTGTCCACAGGAAGCTACATACATATCGAAGCAAAACATTTCTCATCCTCTAGAGGAAGTAATAGCTGCAAGAGTGAGAAAAGACCGAGAACAGGTACTACACGATGCCAGTCAGTTGAAGTTTGACGACATTACCAACAAAAGAAAAAAGTCAGGTGGTTCAAAGAGAGCCTTGAGACAGATATTTAGAGAAAATGAGCCTAAAGTTGAAGGTCTGCCTCCTCCGCCTCAAAAATTAGTGCTTTCAAATCTAACATATTTTGCGAATACAGATTCTCCATTGGCACCTCCAGACAGTCTATCTAACATACCCCCACAAATACCATCAATCGGCTCAGAAAAACAAGGAGTAAGTTGGAATGGTTCTATACAAGAGTTTTCAGGGTCACTGGGTCAAGTCTGCCCTAGTGGGAAAAGATCTGTCAGCGATATGTTTCGAAGCGGAAAAACAAAGCCACCTTCCTTAGAGCTCCAGGCAGAATTTGGCGCAGAAAATTCATTTGAGGACTCAAGCCTAGCGGCTGATTGGCATATTGCCATGCGAGCGATGGAGGAAATCTCAAGTGCAGAGCTGAAGCTAAAACGCACTGGGGCTGTGAAGCATAAACGTATAAAGAAAGGAGACAAGAGCTCTAAACATGACACAGATTGCAGGAAGGATGGTATTGGAAGGAGTTTTTCTCATGAAGGGGGACTATCAGTAGCGGACGAAAAATCTGCAAGTTTGGTTCATGATATCATAGGAGAATCTCGAGATTCTGACAGTGATAAAAGTAGCATGAGTCCATTTACGAGTCGTGAGTCTCTTTATAAGTTCCTTGAATTTTCTTGAACAACAATGGTCAGCGCTAGAGCCCATCGGGAGGGTGCTGAACTGGATATATTCGTGTATGAGGTGCTAGAGCACTTTGTTTATCATCACTACTACATGTATTGATATTGCAACTGGACGAGTGTATAAAAGTTTAGTCTGTGGCTTTTCAACCATTCAAATTCGTTTTATATAAAAAGTAAAAGTAAAACCGAAGTGATATCGCTGCTTTCCCTGTACATGTATGTACATTATGAAACCCACTAGATCATCATAACCATAACACGCCCAACTAAGAAAAGCACTCAATCCCATCCGAGAGTGTGGAAATAACTTGAAATAGGTGACAGCCTTCCTTCTTCTTTCTGTTTCCCTTCTTTCTCCGTCACACATTTGATGCAGCTGCTGCGACGTTTACGTCTCCTCGTCTTCCCCACCCTGAATCTATCATTCTGGAGGCGATGTACTGCAGCCAGCTCTTGTTGCTCTATATAGCTCTTGTCGTCAATGAGCCCAACACTATCCTCCTTTTTTTGCACCAGCCGGTGAAGCCTTCTTTGCTCTCTTCGCCACCCTTTCAACGGTCGGACTCTCCCCTTCTGGGATTGTGATATCTTCTAGAAGACTAACCTATTCTAGAGGGGTAACCTCTGCTACAATGGCGACCACGTCCAATGCCGGAACAGCCCCAGGCTCCTCATAATGGAACCTCCTAAACCCCCTCCCCGGCGCGGGGATCAACACGATAAACGGCGCCATGGGGGCGGGGGGGGGGGGGGCGGGGTGTCTCGATATCGATAGGAATCAATGTCTCGGGCAACCAGCGAGGCCGCAGATAAACTATCCTCTCCCTCACCCGAGTCTAATTATAATATGCCCCGTTATTTGGTATTTAGGTTTGCAATTGGGGAAGAAATTAGGTTTGGTCTGTGGTGTTTGGTATGGATATGACCCGGGATCTTGCTGTTCGGCGTAGGGGGATGGGTACGAGATGTATATGTTGTGTTTGTGGAAACTTTATTTGTGGTTTGGTGGGGGTGTTTGGTACGTACATAGGCGGGTTTGGGCTACGGGTGAGTGAGTGGGTTAGTCAGTATCTAGAGTAGATTCTTGCTGCCAAGAGAAGGGAAGGGAGGGTACATGAGAACGCCATGCACTCCACGACCAAGCCTTTTGAAATCGGTATCAAGGAGTGCTTGTGGATGAGCTAGATCTCGGCGTCTTTCAGTACGCTCAGCCCATATTGGTCGACACTACTAGTTTCGAACAAGCACCCAAAGTTACACACGTGCTCTTGGTGTCGAGTGATATATTGTGAGCGGTAATCATTTTTTTTATGTTTTTAATTGAGGAACTATAATATTTCCAGAATACTCCGTTCCCATTCTATTCCACAACGGCAGCGAACCCCCGACCATTACCGGCCCCCTCTACTCCATCCTATCCTACCTGCATCATCCAAACCGCCCCATCTAGGTATTAGTACACTGCAAAAAGTTATTCCCCGACGCACCAGTATGCGTAATCGCATCTACCACCACCACCAGCCGGATTAGCCACCATCACAAACACCATCACCACCCCCCTCAAATCATCCCAATGATCAACTCACCACAAAACACCGCATTCGTCCCATCCCACGACCCAATGACGACCCTATCAGCACCCGGGCTCCCGCCACTATACAGCCCATTCTTGAGCACGGGGAACTCGTAGAACGGCGCGTTGCACCCCGCGTTGAACTTGAAGCCTTCGCGGTTGTTGAACTGGTGCGGGTAGTTGTTGCTGCCGACTTGTGTGCCGGCGTTGAGGTGGTCGAGGGCCAGCTCGCCGGCCGCGTCGATTTTAGAGACGGTAAAGGAGGTACCTGGGGTGTTTGTTAGTGGGGTGCTTGGAGAGGGGGGGGGGGGATGGAGAGAGGGACGGACCGCTGCAGCTGGCGCCGGTGGAGCCGGAGACGTCTTGTGCGATGGCTGAGGCGGCGAGGGTGAGGGCGATGAGGGCGGAGAGGAACTTCATGGTGGGCTGGAAGAGGGTGAATTGGGTGTTTGATGAAGGCTCTTGAGTGAGTGTCGAGTGCTGCTTGCTGCTTCCTTTGAGTTCTGGGGAAACAGTCGACCTTTTATAAAGTCGACACAGAGCTTCCTAGCTCTAAAGACACCAGAAAAGCACTATCATTTGTTTATCCCGCCTCCTCTTAATCCTCCCCCCACCTCCAACAGCCCAGGAGTTTATTTTCCTCACATCAGCAACTCTGGCAAACAGTTCGCAGTCCCGCAACATTAGTGGACCGACCATGAAACCTAGATGGATCAGGAAGCTGAAGCTTTCAATCTCCATCTGATATCAGAATTACTGCTTCTGGTTCGTCGGCGCGCTCCGGCAGTGGTACCGATCCTAGCTAGCGGGATATCCTTAATCTGTGTGCAACCAATCAGGCTGCTGGAGGGGCGGTTAGTACTGCACCTCGTTTAGGAGCACCAATGCCTGTCTACTGCTCTACTCTGCGGAGTAAGGGGTCGTGGCGGGCGCAGAGGCTCCCATTGGCTGCTGGGTGGAGATTGTAGGTGGAGATGGTACTCCACGTTGCGGGATGTATGGGTTCTCGTTGGGCTCTGCGACGGGTGGCCGTTGGAGGGCCGAAAGACAGACTGTGGACAATTGAGGCGATTGGGCTCTGGCGTCGGGGCTCGGAGGGAACCGACCTGAGTTGAAGAGTGTCTTGGATAAGGTTGGCTTGGGCTGACAGACAGGAAGAAGACAGTGCGGTGCAGTGCAGTGCAGTGCAGTGAGTCGTCGCGGGGGGAGCGGGGGGAGCGGGGGGAGGCGATTTGTGGGATCTCCCGCCCAGGGCTACTCTGCAACTGAGATGACAGCTTTATCATATAGATACACGTTATCATATCATATGTCGATTTCAGAGTTCAGCTCGTTGCCAAGAACGCCAAGATTAGTACCGCAATTGCAGTGCCATACGAAGGACGAGCCCCATTTACTATTACTACGAATAGGTCCACATGTAGTTCAGATGCTCTATCCCAGCAGAGCATTTCAACTGTCTAACAGAAACACCCCCAGTCCCCTCTGCTATCCACCTGTCGAGTAGGTACTACATGTATTTACCTTCCAGCTCTGTTTCATTTCCCTGGCGCTCCCTGCATGAAACGGATCGACACGACCCCGGAAAGTTTAAATCCCACACGAGGACACAGTTAACCGCACTTGGAGTCCTGCTCCGCAGCTGCTAAGAAAACGCGGGCCCGGCAGGGTTGGGCACGTGTGATGAGATGGATGGGGAGTTGCCGGATGTCTGAAGTCCCGGGTTACCTGGACTGTCGTATCTATCAGTAGTATTCAGATATGTACATGTACTGTTAATTACTGGCGAGATAGGTGCGGGCGTTGCGCACTGTGGTTGATTGGCTCCTGCCTTGTTTGAGGACGCCGCATGCTGGGGAGTCAAGTAGGAAGCTGGGAACGTAAGCTCGGGGCTTGACAGGGCGGTCCAGGGCAATCGAGAATGATGGTGATATTATTCGCACACGGGGCAAGTATCTACATGTAGTCTAATGCTCTGGGTGTGATATCGTTCCACGAGGTGTTCTGGGCAACTCCGAGGGATCAGTTGTTATCTGATAAGATTGTTACAACCACAGCCACGTCTGCCGGATGGCAACTGGTCTTTGGGCTTTGCTGGCAGACGAAGGGGAATGAATCGTGTATCTACGTGTATATATGACAGATTTACAGAGACATGCCATACATGTCTTCTTTGGTGTGAATTGGTGTCTTCTCGGGGCGTGGCTTTCTGTCTCTTCTCCCTCTTCTTCTTCTTCTTCCTCTGCCCCTCGCTTCTTCTTCTTCTTCTTCTTCACAACTTCTCACTCTCCCAACCCCTGCCACGTGTGCTGACTCATCCACATATTTTTCTCGCAACTTCGCGACAACCAGCAACTACCAAGTATTACTGTAACTATCAACTGCAATATCAATTGCAGTTCACGCATACACGCAAAAGCTATTCACCAATGTCTCTCTACATCGAGGCAGCACGAATCATCCAGCGCCCGCGCTATGGCGGCCTCCGCGGCGCAGTCTTCTCAGACGCCTCAATCAAGTCCCGCCCCGAGCAGCTGTACGCACTGATAATCGAGTCCCTCAAGCACCAGGAGATCATCAATGAGGTCCTCGACAAGTCTGGGCTGCTCGAGATTGAGAAGAAAGTATGCTTGCTACCCACCTGTCCCTGTTCCATCCCTTCATCCCTTCATCCCTCCCTCAATTCCTCCCGTCGATCCTATGCTTATCCGCATACTAGGTCTGAACACATATATATGGAGTTTCATAACTGACCACATAACCCACTTCACCCCAGCTCACGCACGCCCTCGCTCTCGTCCTCGTCCACGACTTCCTCTTCAACAAAGGCGGCATCGCTACCTCCACGGGCCCGCTCAAAGAGTCCATCCTGCGGCACAAAGCCCGCCTCACCTCCGAATTCACGCGCGCCCGCCTCCGCCGCGGCTACTCCACCATCAACGCCCTCCTCGCCGCCGCCAACGCAACATCAATGCGCTTCCCGCGCTGGGTTCGCGTCAACACGCTCAAGACCACCGTCGCAGACGTCCTTGCCCGACACTTCAAGGACCACAAACCTGTGCGCCTGTTTGAGGAGCTCCTGAGCGAGGATATGACGCAGGAGACGGTCTATGTGGACGAGTTTATACCGGGCCTACTCGGCTTCCCGGCGAGTACGGAGCTGATTGGCCATGCGTTGGTGGCCGACGGGACGCTGTTTATGCAGGACCGTGCATCGTGTTTTCCGGCGGCGCTGCTGGCGCCCCCCGAAGGAGCGGTGGTGGTCGATGGGACGGCGGCGCCGGGGAATAAGACGACGCATCTGGCGGCGATTGTGGGCAAGAGCGGGAGGGTGCTGGCGTTTGAGAAGGACCCGAAGCGGGCGAAGACGTTGGAGATGATGGTGGGGAAGGCGGGCGCGGAGAAGATCGTAGAGGTTCGCGCGGGGGCCGACTTCTTGCTGTCGGATCCGTGGAGCGAGACGGAAAAGGAGGGGCTCGCGAAGGTGTCGCATATACTGCTGGACCCGAGCTGCAGTGGGAGCGGCATTGTTGAGCGGAACGAGTACTCGTATATACCGAAGACCGCGGCCCCGCCGCCAGCCCCGACTAGCCGCGCAGGTAAGCTGAAGAAGCGCAAAGCCGGCGATAAAGAAGAAACAGCATTCGTCAAACCCCTCTCCAAGAAGGAAGAAGAAGAGGTCGTAAAACAGGCCGAGGCAGAAGAGGAGCGCCTCCGCTCCCTATCAACCTTCCAGACCCGCATCATCAAGCACGCCATGCGCTACCCGGCCGCGCGCTACATCAGCTACAGCACGTGCTCCGTCCACGCACAGGAGAACGAGCAGGTCGTCATGGCGGTGCTCAACTCTGAGGTTGCGAAGCGGCGGGGGTGGCGCGTGCAGAAGAGGGAGCAGACGGGGTTTAGGCATTGGCCGCGCCGGGGGCTGGTGGAGGAGTGTGGTGGCGATGAGGGGGTCGCGGAGGGGTGTATCAGGTTTGATCCGTGGGGGGATGGCGGGATCGGGTTTTTCGTGGTGCTGTTTGTGAGGGATGGGAGCGTGGATGGGTATGTGCATGTTGAGGAGGAGAAGGCGGAGGAGGAGGACGAAGAGTGGGGGGGCATTGTTGACGAGGAGGAAGAGGGGGAGGGCGGCGGGGCGGCGGGGATGAAGAGGAAATTTGGGGAGGGGGATGGGGCTGTGAGGAAGGTGCAGAGGAGGGAGGGGGCGGGGTCGGGGTCGGGGTCGGGGGACGGCGCGGCGAAGAGGAAGAGGCCCGTTGTGGAGAGGGAGGGCGGGAAGGGGGGGAAGGGGGGGAAGGTGAGGAAGGTGGTGGAGTTTGCGGGGGGCGTGAAGGAGGGGGATGGTGCCGCGGCCGCGGGGGGAGGGAAGAAGGGGAAGGGGCCGCAGGAGAAGATGATTCGTCCGAGACGGCTGATGGGGGCGGGGTGGAAGTAGGCTTGGTTAGCTAGTAGGTATTCATGGATAGTTGGGGGAAGGCGGCCGTGGAAAGGTTCTATTGTATATTAATCTGTAGAAAGAATGAATTGCTAATGGCGCGGTTGACTTGTAATTAGCTGTGGATTGCATTTCGTATTGATATTGGGGGCTCATGGCCTGCATACATGTAGCTTATCGTGTTTGATATTGAGAATCAATTGGTTCTTCCTCTTCCTCGAGCTTAAGTGAAATATCGTGGTATGCTGGATAACAATCTTGTTCTATCATCGGTATTTGACGTTTAGTTTAACCCCTCGAAAAGCCCATAAATCTATCTTCACCCTAATCATTTCTCTGCCCTCCGCGCTTAGGTATAACTAGAACAACCAAACCATCCCAGCCACCATATATCTCCAGCCGACACCATCACCCCCATCTTCGGCATCCCGCCAATAGTCCTCGCCCGCTCATAGTCTGGTTCGGCCGCCGTTGCGCCGGTCATTGATACCGCTTTCTCGATCCTAGTAATCAACGCCCGGCTCTCGCTAATATATGATGAGGGCTGGATGGTCTGCTGTTGTCTGCGGCGGGTATCGAGGGGTATAGGTTATTGGTACTGGTCGATCGAAGGCTAAGGTCAGAGTAGATTGAAGGGCCAAACAGACGGGTGGATTTAAATAATGTTGAGCGTAACTGGGCCTTGGTGGTATACTGTTGGCTCTTCACCTTCGTGGAGGCTCTGTTTCGTGCCGGGCTTTAATGCAGGTGTGTTAATGAGGAAGAGGAGATGGTTAGGATTGATACCGGCGAGGCCTTACTTATATACATGTTAGAGAAATCTTCGGGATATTGCAAGTATATACTCACTTGAGGCCCTTGAGGAGGACTTCTGGCGACTTGCAATTGGGTCTGTGTGCTAGCTGCTCGGGTCTGTAGTGTAGCGTGGGGGTACATGTAGTTACCCAGTGCTGCAGCAGGGACATAATCGACGCCTTTAAACACCATGTTGGGGCACAGCTTCTTGGTGGAATTGATCATGTATCTAGGCGTGAAGCCTGATGTCTCTCTCTCGAGTCGGGGGTGGCACATCTATATTTGAACAGAATCAGCCTTCTTCTTCTTCTTCTTCTGGGAACTACTTAGGGATAAGCTATGTATAATACGCACCTACTGCAAGAAATTGTGGAGAACTAAGCGTCATCACCAACTGGTCCTAGTTGAAAGTCGGAAGCTATGGATCTAGGTTGAGAACTGCTATCTCTAGTGAGTCGTCTTTGTTGTCGTTTCGGTCATTTCCACACGGCACACGGGTCACCTCCGGCGATCAAGCCGCACGCTCGAATAAAGGGCCCAACAAAGAAATATCTGCAGAGAACCATTCGAGCAGGATAGCTCTTGAACGATAAACTCTAAGTTATCTCCCCATATTTGAATTGGGCAATGGGCCTGTGGAAGAGAAGGGTGGACACTGGAAGTGTTCTGATCTCTGGTTGCATCCTGCCCAGCCAAGTCACACTAGCCTTGAAAATTTTCGATAAGATCACTTTTTGCCGACCGACTGTCACGATTCAGTGGTGTAGTGGTATCACGGGCGCTTGCCATCATAGTTTGCGCCCGACCCGGGTTCGATTCCCGGCTGATTCATTAACTTTTTTGTTTTTTTACAGCCTCGTGGGGTAGAGGTGAAATAATGAAGGTGCAGTTTTTGTAGGTAGTGAAGCTAGATCCAGCCAGAGGGCTGTTAAACGTCGGGCATGTCGTATTTATCAGACAACAACGGAGAGGTGCGGTACACTGCGGCAGAGATGCCCTCTCGAACCGTATCTCCTTGAGTGCCCGCAAGACCTTCTTTCTTTGTAATTCCTCCATGAGATGTCACTCGGTTACCCGCGGTGTATGATTCGATACAGATACATCGTGAGTCAACTCCAGAAAGCCAGCTTTCTTCTTTTGTGGCAGCCAGCGCCTTCACCGGCACCTGACCCGAGCACTGAAGATCGGTTACGCAGCGGTCTGTGGATTGATTGGACACTCTTCTTCTTGAGGTTGACACATCTTCTGCTCCTTGAGCCAGATCTTGCAAACCTTGAGTTTGCACTAGAAAGGGCCGTATCTGGCCTCAGATATATATTTAAACGTCGACTTGGCGGTGCTCGATCGATTGAGTGCGAACCATTCCACCTCTATTCCCCCTTCTTCCCTTATAACACTACTACTACTGCTACTCACGCAGGGCTTCCTAGCTGCTGCGAGGCATACACCTTGGCTCTCCTCCTCGAGCTCCTGAAGCTATCTGTCCATTGGAAATCACTCGACTGCATGTGGCTATCGGTTCATGCTCGGCTCAAGGCGGGCCATGCGAGATGGGTCAGAGACAAGCTCCTTGGGAAATAGCTGTAGGTTTGTCAAAGGCTCGAAAGAAACTTATCATTTGCTGATCGTTGAGAAGTTCCAGAGAGGCCAGTTTGGGTTTTGTAGCTGGTTGCACTTAGTCATGACGACGGCTTCTCACTCAACCGCACACTTCAAAACCAAAACGGTCGGGAATGGCGGACGAAAGAGGCCAAAAAAAAACCAGTCCTCTGATCTGACGGAGAGAGGGAAAACTCATACAATTGTTCCTTACACAGAGGCCCCCCGAGTGACCGACCGTGAAGCGTTTGAATCTGGACCGACTACCTACCTTGAGCAGTAAGTATCACATTACTAAAATGGTTAGATGAAAATGAAAGACCAGTAACAACTAACTCAATCTGTCTCGATTATTACGCCAGCTGAACTGCACTGAACCCCACGTGCTCCCTGAGACACCCCATGCGCTGTCTTGTTCGCCAGAGCTCGGGAGTCGGATATGTATTTAGATACATACGACTTTGTAGAGGACAGATTCCACTCTACTCTACATGTCCTCCGATGCACGAGTGTTCTACTCCGAAAATCTTTTTTTAAAGTTAATCGAAGCTAGGGTTGGACGAAGCCACAAACCGCCCCCGATTCATGGTGTTTTACCTTTTATCCAATCGCAGGTACGCCGCGCGCGGACGCACTGGCCTTCAATGAAGGAAAGAGTTTGTTACAAGTAAATTGTGTTATTATTATTTGAAGTATGTACTATTCTTTTCCACGAATCTGACTATGTAAGGGACTCCTCACCAATCGATAGGTGTTATAGAGACGTTTCGTCCAATGAAAAGGCACATGATTTGTAACATTTGCACGTTCATTCCACCACGATTCCTCCATTTATGCAGCCACTCATGATCAAGATCACACAGACACAGAAACTCAAACTATGGTTCTCAATTCCACGATAGAGTTCGCTGAACCTAAAGGCGACGGCGCTATTTAAACGTTATCTTTGGCTACTTATCTACCTATCCGTGATCTAAGACAGCCCACATCCATTCACCGATGTGATATCCTTGGTACGTAACAAATTTAAGATTTAAGGTACAGATAGGTATGTACGCACATACATGTACTGAGGTATGAACGCCAAAAACAGGGGCTTGGAGGTACCACCAAATATAGCTAATGTGATAGGTCAGTAACAATTCCAACATGAGCAAAATCGGGACAAAAATAAAAACTTAGGCACTTTCCTGAGATAGAGCACCTACTTACCTACCATGGATTTCTTACCTACAAAGGGTCTTTCCCTACCCACCATGTCAAGTGGGATTGAATCCCTGCCTAACCGAGAAGTACTCTACGTGAGGATTTACGTGGCATGCATAATTGATGCTTGCCATGGGGAAGTCTTTTCGGCTGAAAATTACTCATGCTTGAGCTGAGGCTGCAAGATGGAGGGAATAAGGTATTTACCAATGGTTCCTCGCAGTGTTCGTAATTTCTTTTCTTTCCAGACATTCCCTCTCTTGCAGATAGCCTACCACCAAGCCTCTCCCGATTAGGAGACAACGACAAAACCACGAGTGATCCCTTGTGAAAGCCGCACGTGCTGCAGTCGCGCTAACAACAAAAGTTACTCGATTTAACCTTCAATTGCGCCATGAACCAGTGAATTATTAAATAAAGTTGAATGTAGATTCTCGGACTTAACGTACAAAGCCGAGATATTCTAAATTTCAAAAAGGTAATAATACATATAGCTACTCCAGCGCACCCGCCTACAAAGAAAATATATAAAAAAATTCCTGACAACGATAGAGATATAGTAACCCGGTGACCCACGAAACCTTTGATAGACAGCCCTCCCAATAACAAAAGAAAAATATGACCATGTTTGATCTGAGTCTGAAGTTTCGCGTAATGTATGTACCACACCTGAAGGGTTCGAGCTAGAATATTTTGTTTCCTTCTCGAGTACAAAAAAAAAAAAAAAAAAAAAAAAAAGAGTAGGTGGGGTAATTTATGATAAAACAATACGGGGAATAAAAGACTTATATCGGAACCCAACAAAGAGAAACAAAACACGCCGGATAATAAAACGAGAGCAAAAACCTACTAAGAAACAAAAATGAGATGACTAGTATAGGTGTACCCTGCAGAGATAATAGTAGAAACGAGAGCCGGGGGAATAGAAAATCAACGGGATATGAGATGAAAGGATATTTGCGCGAAAATTTACAGAAAAACCAAGACAAACATAAGAAAGCATCTGGATATATGATATGAAGATATATGCTTGAAGGCAATAATAGCAACCAAACAGTGAAGAAAACGCAATCACGTCCACCAGAACATGCGCAAATGCTCAAAAAAAAAAGACCCAATCCCATAACTCTTCAGACTATTCTCTGATCATACTTTTCAACACCTCTAACTGAAAACACAACCTCCCTGATATATCTCGGCTTTAGATATCATTAATAATAGGATATTCTACCCGGTCGACGGATCGAAAATATTCCTTCAATGAATAATGCCAGGAAAAACAATTCGGTACCGAAACGAACGAAAGTAGAGGAAGAAAGAAAGAAAAAAGGAAGAGAAAATAACGATGCCCAAAGACCATGCCACGCAAAAACACAAAAAAAAAAAAAAAAAAAAAAAAGCCACGGTGACAAAAGGAAAAGTGGAGATGACAGAACTAGGGAATATGCAAGATTTAAACCGAAATATAAAAAACAAGTTAAAAAGGGTATGTAAAAAAGGAATTTGTTCCGCCACCCCTACAAAAGCACCGAGATATCCCAATAGCTTCCCGAAAGAAAAGAAAAATTGCACCCCAAACCCCTTTCCCAACACCTGCTCTTTTTTCAACCGTTGTCAAACACGATAACGCATATGGCAAATGATCCTCATGCAGCTTCTATAGTCGCCTGAAAAAAATTATGGTGGATCCCCGAAAAATAAAAGCTCTTTTTAAACGCCTCGTTCGTATTGGGTCGTTAGAAAAAATGCGTATAAACTTTGGACTCCTCATGAACAGCCATTTCCTAGACAAGTTATTAGCACGTTTTCTAACATTTTCGGGAACTAAAATTATCGAACTTACCATCTTGAACGTATTCAACTCCTCCTTAATCTGCTGAGCAAGCATAGGTGTTAACCTGTTACAGGTAGCAATCTCACCCCTTCTATCATATTCGCCGCTAGGCCATGTGTCGTGAAAAGTAATTCTCGGGCTAAAGCTAACGTTGTATTTGGCAGCTGACGCAGGCGATGTAGGTGCACTCGCAGAGTTGCCTGTAGAAAACCTGGGCCCAGAGATGAAATAATCCTCATCGCCCCTGACCGAGTCTGATCTCTGTTTTCCATGCGGCCTTTGATTCTCCGGAAAGTTGGAGGGATCTGATGGCTTGATGATCGGAGATGACGAACCGGATCCTATAATCATGTCAGCCTAAACCCATGGATGAGTAGCTGGTTGAACATACGTTTCAAGATTCCTTTCTTTACAGCAGCCAGAACCTCAGCCCGATCTTGCGCCCCACCAACAAAGCTCTTTCTAGCAGCTTCGGTATCATTCGCATTGCTAGATCTCCTCGCAGTGCTTGGCTCACCAACTCTGGGGGTCTCAAGCGAGTTGTTCTCCAACTTGGGGAACCCAGTACCACCACCTGTCTGATCACGAGCATCCGCGTTGACATTAACCTTCTCCCTCTCTGCCTCAACCGTAACCATCGATACTTGTCCCATACTTGCCTGCGCGGTGACCGGCCCACTAGCTGCAGGCACCCCAACGACAGATTTCGGCCTGAACAATCCCACCAATGATCGTGTTGATTTCTTCATTCCCTTCCCCATCTTCCTTATCATAATCGACGCCGAAGACGCAGTTGAAGAAACAGAGATATTATCAGTTGATCCAGTGAAGAAATTTCCTTGCCCATTGTAAATCCCCTCGCCTAACCCGGCTTCTTCTTGTCTCTGTGCAATCCTCAGCTGCTCTGCATTCTGTTCTTCGCGAAATTTCTCTTGACGAAGTCTAGCCCGCTCAGCAGCATCCTCACCCCTCATGTTGTTGACCGCTGACACCTTACGCAGTTCAGCTGCGCTACCAAATGAGAAAGCGCGACGAAGCCTGTTCTTCATGCCTTTCTTGGGTACATCAGGAATAGCTTCGAGTTGTTGAGTGGCCGATCTTGTAAGCGCCGGCGGGGCTCCGTTAGCATTGCTCTGGGGCTCTGGGAAGGTTTGGTAAGATGAAGTCGAGTCGGCTGCCATGTTCACAGGTTTTGAAAGCGGGGAGGGGGCTGTGACTCGCTTATTCCCATCAGTGGATGATCCACGAGGGGGGACCTGAGACGGATTGATTTCGTGCGGTGTTGAGGATCCGGTATTCGAGTGGTTAGAATGAACCGAATTTCGGTTACTCTGAGCGATAAATTGTTAGCATGTATACATACAGTTCGTAGATTGAATAAGTCAATTACCGAATTGGGCCTCGAAGAATTTCCCGAGTTGGTGCTGTCAGTACTGCCGTTTCTCCTGTTTCCCGGTCGGTGGGAGGCCTGACCCGGCCCCGAGAGCTGTATCGACGCTGGATTCGACATTGACCCCACCTCTTGTCGTACGAAACTTGAGAAACTTTCTGGACTGAACGCATCAGGCCCGACTGATCTCCTCCTGTTTTGCATTTGTTGTTGCGTAAGAGATTGTTGTCGATGGGCATGGATATCATCCACCGACTGACTTCTCAATTGACCAGCATAGTCCCCAATGAAGGGGGCCTTGATGGCTGGAGCTGGGCCTTGTGTTAGCGAGGGGCTGCTGATCGACCTAGACGGTTGATTGTAAATGGCAGCCACGGCAGCCATTCCAGATCCGCTGGGCAGAGCGGACACACTACCAGTAATGACAGCAGATTCTGGTCTTTTATTACCCGGGCGGCGGTATCGATCAGGGCTTGGACGAGTAGTTGATGTTGCCACTTGTGGAGGCGGGAGACTTGAGGTGGATATCATGGAAAGGGGTCGAGGGGCTGGGCGAGTATACAGGGCTGCGTCGTCACGTGAGCCAGAAGGTGCTACGCCCTGGTGTCGAGATGACGGATCCGAAGAGGATGAGGAAGATGACGATATGGAGTCTGGAGCAGGGTAACGGTTTCGTGAGTCGTCAGTCTTCGAAGACGTCCTCTCGCCAATCTTGGGGGGTTGCTGCTTGGTAGTGTTCGAGAGACCTGGAGTGCTGGTAAACGCATATGGAGCAACAGGGGCGGTTGTGTATCCACTGCGATATCCACCACCACCAGTACCGTTGTTGCTGTTGCTGTTGCTGGAGCCGGAGTTACTGTTGTATCCGCCCATGTTTCGAGGCGTGGTCAAGTGGTGCTGGTTGGTATGCGCTGATTGTGTCTGGGCGGACTGAAGACTGTTAGAGGCAGATTGGGGGCGCGACTGCATCAAGCTAACTTGCGAGGGTGACTGCTGAGCTGGGAACGACTGGACAAGAGCTGCCATGTTGGAGCGGTCCCCGCCTCTGGTGCTGGATGGTGGATTGGACGTCGTTTTGAAGGAGACTGTACAGACTTTCAAAGAATATTACCGTTATTTGTTGTTGTTGCTTTCTCTAGTGGAGAATACGCTTAGAAGGTAGTTGTGGCAGAGTCTAATCAAGATAGTCGAAACAAGAGTGTCAGTCGATCAAGATTTCAAAAGGCCTTCCATGAACACGCTGGCGAAGAAAAGATTGACCGATAAAAATTGGTGGAGGACAGGTATTCTGATTTCAAGGCATGACGAGGCTGCTGAAGGGCAAGGAACGGATCAGGAAAGAATTAAACGAACCCCTTTCTCTCTTGGAAGAAGAGACGCTCTGCAATGTATGATCACAGGAATCCGGCTCGGATCAGATTAAAGAAAATAAGACAAAATGTTCACAAGAAGCGAAGGATTAAACACGATGAACGGACACAGAGGACCCAAGTACAAAAGCCTGAATGTGGAGGAGAATGGAGTTAGTTCCGCTCAGCTCGTCGTGCCAGGTCGTTAATTGGGGGCTGGGCGAAGGGGGAATTAATGAACGAATGGTATTGGTTTATGTGTTTCCTGGATGTTTGTTTCCACTTCCACGACAACCAATTGTTGAAGAAGATATCAAGAAGAGAGATGGGGGGAGGGGAGTGTGGGGGGTGGGGAGGGGGAGGGCTACTTTTGTTGCAGCCAAGGGGGGATGGTGAAGAGAAGGTGACGGTAGAGGTTGAGGAAGTGAGTGAGCGTCGGTGGTTGCAAAGTAGTTGTAGGTGCGTATGCAACAACAGGGATAGGGGGGTGAGTGAAGGGGGTGGAGGGGTGTTATGTGTGGGTTCAGTGGGAAGGGATTGAAAGGGTTCGAATAAGGGTGTCTGACTGACCAGGAGGAATACAAGCGAGTGAAAGGGTGGCTTAACGAGGGAAGTCGAGTAGAAAGGAAAGACCTGCTGCGGAGGAGAAGACAAGAGCAGGTAGGAGAGATATGGAGGGGTGGGAAAAAAAAAGTTGTGAGGAGAGAGTTAGGTTAGGTTAGAGGAGGGAAGAGAAAGGGAAAAGGGAAGAAGAATAAGAAAGAAAGAAGAGACAGCAGCCAGGCACAGGCACGCACACAAGCAGGCACAGGTACAGCAGGTACGGTACAGACACAGTGCCAGACCAGACACACACACACCAGGCAGAAAGATAGATGGGATGGACAATAATACAAATGAGAAGCGGCTCCAGGACAAGCAGAGGCCGAATGGAGAGAAATAGCAGGGGGGGGGGGGGAGCAGTCCCTTTTGTCAAAAAGGAGAGAGAGTAAGAAATAGGATTCTACTTACAGGAGTAGGTAAGTGAATGAGAGAGTGAGTGCTACACCGGCAAGCTAAGGAAGGAGCGGTCGGTTAGCCGTGCAGAGAGCTAGGCCTGTAAGAAGTGAGAGCGTTTCTTGGCCCTGTCTTTTGGCCTTCGCGATTGCACATGGGAATTCCAGAGACCTGCAAAGAAGGTCCGGAAAAGAAAAAAAAAAAAGAGTGCGGATATTAAGATGGAAACAAAACATGATAGTGAGTATCACCACTGAACTGTAACTTAAAGATCTTATAACGTGATGTTCTCTTGACCAGAATAGATGTATGTAAATGTACACGTGCATCTCGTAGCTAAGGAAGTCATGTACTTCATGTATGTGTACAGAGACAATTAGAATTGATACCGTAAACTAAAACGAAATTCGCCGGTGCGGAAATGCAATATTATATAGCGTGCTCGCTGTTGATAATTAAACAGTTCCCATTCATAATTCATAAGACACATGCTCTATCAATTAATCTCCTATCTAGCTGTTTACGCTTTCATCTGTCTGTTGTGCTCGTTGAGATACTAGGAGATCGAGAGAACTCTGGGGACGGGTCCATAGAAAAGAAAGTTAAAAAAAAAAAAAAAAAAAAAAAAAAAGGGAGGGACAAACAACAAGAGACGCGTCATATTTCCATCAACACCGAGCGCCTGTCACGGCAGCTATTCTCAGTTTTCCGCACCATTCCGTACAGACATGGCATTGTTGGGAGCAGATCGAACGACAGGCGGACGCAAGTAACATCTTGAAACGTTAGTCTACTTTCTATGGTGGTGTTATCGCATGGAAAAAGAACCTGCTGCGCACTTGTAGGTAAATACTCTAGGCTGTACCTACATACTTCCTTACTTTGTCTGCCCAACCCGCGTTATGTATATACATACTTGACATGTATCCACACACTCACACCCTAGCATTGTTTTAACATTTGTTTCTCATGTCAGGTAAAACTCTCAGTGTTTGTTTGTAGCAGTAGCTCAGCGCATGGAGGAGGAGGCAGGGTGCTACTACACGAAGCTTGGGAGAAGGGGCAGGAAAAAGAAAAAAAGGTCCTGCATTGCTACTGTAGTGCGTGCATAAGGTACAGCTTCCGGATCCGCTCCTTTGCCATGTACGTACGGAATAACTAGTCATTTAGTAATGATTGTTTCCTTAGAGCTTTCAGACGACGTTAGCCCTTCTTTACACGATTGATAGTCTGCTCCCACCATTACTTATTCCGCACTGATTTTTCTTCTCGCCTGAGGCTGTCAGTGGTTCGACTGTCCGAGCCGAGCCCTGCCGATTCACCGCCGACCTCACTCGCTCACTTCATAGGCAGACCACACAGTAGAACCTACATATTTTACTAGAGTACAATTACATACATGTACCTACTCTAGTACTCTCTGCTAACGTCCACACATCCTTGGTGCAGCTCCGATCATAAGTTGTGTCGGCCGGCGCTCCTCTCCGGCCTTAATCTTTTTTTTTTCGTTCATGAGTAAATTTACCCTTTCGTAAATCACCTTGTATCTTATTACCGAGGAAAGTACGCGATGATTTTGTACATGGGGATCCGCAAGTTAATATCCACCTTCCCTTCCCTTCCCCCTATGTATACATGTATGTACCTGTATGTACCTGTATGTACATACATGTGCTGTAGGCACTATGGGTGTATGGTGAATACTATTCACATCCAAATCCTACACAAATCCATCTGCAAGGTTTTCAACCGGCAATAGACAGCCTCATATTATCGCTATGTATTATTCAAGATACCCCGGTAGACTTTGCTCAGTGCCTACGGTCTCACGGCGCAGACAGGCAGCACTAATAAACCAAAAAGGCCCGGATCTTGATAAACATAAGCCGGTAGATCATGTCTGAAAAGAAGGTGAGTACCAAGCCAAGGTAACAATTAATTGGAAAATCAAGGCCCCCCCGCCCCGCACCCAGTCCGACCCATAACAAAGCTAGTCTATGCGGCTTTCCATTCGAGATCGTGGGGAAGGACCCTTCCTTCCTTACTTCCTTACCTACTTCCTTCGCATTTTCCCGTATCTGTGGTTTGTCGCACAAAACGGGCTACGTTCATCACTATTTGGGTTGAAGGGACAACCCTGTTTGGTATCTACGGTATATAAAAACCGACAGGCATTCTCCCAGGACGAAGACCGCTCTAGCTCCCTCTTATTATTCTGTTTATAGCCATACGTGGCAGTTTAGAATACAGCATATATACATGTATGGCTGTATATACTAGAGCAATACAATTCGGAGAAGCAGTATAAAAAGGCATATGCTTCCCGCACCCCGAAGGCCGATGTGACGTACAGATATTCCGTGTCCGCGACGACTGCGAGATGAATGCTTCGAATTGCGAATTCCCTGTCAACACTGTAAAAAAACAAAAACACCTGATCTAGGAATATTGGTGCTAAATTCGCGAATCGCAAACATCTACTGGGGTTGTGAATAGTCAACGTATCGGGCATTTCTCCGCCGGTCCCATGATAGAGTTGGATCACATCAAGAATATAGGTGGGGTTAACGTTGTTTTGCCTTAGGAACTCCGAATATGATCTGGCTTCCGGAATTTTCAATGAAAGTTCGGTTGTATGACAGGAGACGGACCTTGGGGGCCAAAAGCAGCAGAGCCATTTGCTGCCCATTGAGATCAATCCAATTCAACTTTGAATTGCAGTACACAAAAAGAGATCTTTGGTCTGTAGTAGATAACCATAGATTGTCCATGTCGCAAGAAGATGGGCATTTCGTGGTACATATTATCACAGACAATGTTTCGTCGTCTTCCTTTAATAACAAAATTATGAACGAGGCGAATGCTGGCAAGGGTCCCGTATATATCCCTTCCTAGACCCTTGTCAATCCCCCACCCCCCCAAAAAAAACGCTTATTGGGTCGTGAGCCGAATGCCCCCCCTCCTCGCAAAGCCCATGCTATGAAGAGCAGCTCACGATAGCAGTTTTTCGGGGATTGCTCCTGCTGGGATGTTGTAAGTGATCGTGAGTTTTAAGCTCAGGACACTCGGAAAAATGCTCGTATCGAATTGCACCTACATGATCAATAGTCAAAATCAAGCCGATATCAAAGTTAAAATATATCCATAAATTAAAGTTGATATTTAGGCAACACCCCCACGGGAAGAATAAAGTGCCCACATGTGCACTACAATTCATCTATTCAAGACACGTACGGCTAGGCACGATCAATATCGCGGGGGATGATACACACATCCACCACCTAGGGAGAAACGGAAAGAAAAAAAAAAGAAGAAGCCGGGTCTGGTGATATGCAAATAGGAAGTTGATGCCTGGGTCGCTAGAGTCCTGCCTGATGCTTTCGGACGAAACTGCCCGAGGGCTACGTCATTTACCACTCGCTTAGCGTCAGCAGTCCCCGTCTAATTGGCTCGCTTAGTTCCAATATCTGGCTAGATCCGCGATTAAAGATTAGATCTAAGACCCTGATAAACTCTTTCTGTTGTTTATTTGTTTCCAGCTGTGCCAGGTACGAAGAATAATAACTCAACAGATATCACAGATCTTCAAGCTCGAGATACACACTATATGCCCCTTTGGCCATCTCTTCGGCATTGATAACTCAATGTGGCTGTCAGGAATAATAACGAGCTTCCATGGCACGGCACCCACCACCGTCAGGTTTTCCAGAGCTCGGGAGTCAAGGTGGTTCGAGCAAATTAACCTCCAGATACAAGACACCCTGTGGCAAATGGTGTGGAGTAGAAAGTATATCTTTCGTGTAAAGATGTCACCTTGCACAGAATATATGATTCTGACTCCACACCCTAAGCTGTAACAGCACACCACATGGGTTTATGCACGGCCAGCATCATATGCACCATGCCTCTGCTTTTACGGATCCGAAACCTCGTTTCTCGCCGCGTTTGACAAGATAGGTCTATAATCCAAGGAATCTCGTGATTACAGTTACACGGCTAATTGCACAACGTGCAGCATCATCATCACCAACCGCCTCCCTCCTCTCCTTCACAACCTAGGTCCTTGAGGGGGAGTTTTTGAATCTGACTGGAGAGTATCATGGACCCCAGACGTTCTGTGCCTCTTAATATCTCACATTTTGTTTGTTCCTGTGTGACGTGAACTATAGCCTCTTGATGTGCGATGATGTTTACCTTTTGGTTCCTAGAGTGCTGTTGATGTCGGCTTTTTTTATTTTTTTTATTTTTTTTATTTCATTTTTGCCGGGATGACCGGAACCCCTCCATCTTATTTTAGTAACGTCTGTTCGCGGTCAGTGGGGAACTTCTCTGAATGATGTAGAGCAGAGTATGGTACAGTCGGGCAGCTAGACATGGATGCATTTGCTCCAAAAATTGCCAAAACCTTTGCCCTATATAGTGCATACATGTACGTACTCTACAATGCTCTACATGTCTGAGCACATTTCATTTCGTAGATCGATGTGTGGACTGGCATCGCTTTGGCAAAGCGATTGCAAAGTTCGTGAGTCAGGTGTGCATTTGATCGCGGTAGGCGCTTTTGCCTCGTTTTTTCTTCCCATCTGGCCCGGTATGGAAGGAGAAGGATGGGGGCAGGTCCCTGGTGTTGTGTAAGTGCAAGTCGACATATGGCGACTTCTACTGCACCGTTCAGTGCTTGGCAACAGCTAGACCGGGTGATGGCCGATCAGTTGGCTAAATTTAACTTCTGCAGGGCAAGGGTTTTTGCGCTAGTAACGTATCTAGAGTACAACTTTGGGATAGAGTATGTTGAGTACTCTAGAGTAGGTACAATCCATAGCGTACGTACAGGCAAGGTACTATGGTGTAGGTATACAACAAAGTCTCTCTTCTCCCTCCCTCCCGCAACACTGGACGAACTGGCAAGGTTAACAATACGACCGTAAATCTCTGCCGTTAGTATGTATGTAGAGGTAGGTACCCTGTGTGTACCGTTGTCCGAATCTTTCTTCCTCATGCAAGCGCGGTATTTACTCCAGATGCCAGCCTGCATATTCCCAAGGGCGTGCTGCCTGCTCTACACTTCAAGGGAAGGATACTGTTGGCTGTTGAACCCGTTGGAGGAGGACTGACATCGGGAGGATCTCCCATCTGCTGTCTGACTTACACGATGTGGAACAGCAACAACAAAAGGAGATGAAGAGCAATGCCCAGCATGAATATTTTGATGGGGTTTGAGACCTTCCATGATCCTGCAGTGCCCAGGAATTTGGGGCTAGGTTCCATTACTTGGAAATATCACAACCTATCACAAGATAGCAAACAAGTCTTGGAGGGGGGATACAGATCATCCAAGAAATACTGAAATTCTCAGGTGGTTCGTTTCTGTTTCGACATCGATCAATTATTTCCTTTTTCTGTTTCAACTACAGGGTTCTGTTTTATACTAACCTGGGTATCGCAGCTCATGTAGCTACCACAAAATCTAGAACATGTAACTGAAGAGGGTTCCTTTGCTCCACCACACTCTTGTGCCGAATACCCCGGCTCGGCTATCCAGCCTTTCCTTGTTACCATGGACTTGGGTCTGACGACTCGACGCTCAAGCTTTTGCATTGAGATCTCAATAGATCCCGAGCATCCCTTACATCAAATAACTGCATGGGTCGACCTTGCTGAAGAAGGAATGTTTGGCCAAGTGCTCATCAAAAATGGAGGCAAAAATAAGCAATTGCCAGATGATCATTGCGTATCTTCTGCCGTTGAATATTCTGGGTTTGTTTTCTCGAAGTTATGGGGGTGGGGGGGCAATTAGCTCCGTTTGTGGGGTGCTGATGTTTCTTCCTATCGGAGCTTTTAGGGTTGTCTGGAAGTCCTTCCAATCGAGCTCATGATACGACTGACGACCTTCCGTTTATGCTGGGGTTTGGCTCGTCCTACGCTTGTACATCCCCGAAGAGAATGTGAGCTATCGTCCTAAGCAAGTACAATACTTGAAGTACTGAATCATGGAAAGTACGTACTCTATGTCTTCTTGTCGAAAAAAATGTCCAAAATGTTTACTAAACATCCATTCTTTCCTAAATATAGTGGTGCCACTACCAGCTGAGATTGACTGAGGACGGTTCTTGACTAGCCGAATACGAAGAAGTACCAGACTACTTACATGAGAACGGACTGGCCCCGGATCCGGGTTCGTCTTGAATGGGTAAAAGTTGCCAGCTAGATGTGGACCTGATAGGGATTCGGCAGACATTGAGACAGGCCCTGCAGCTAGCTATCCAAAGAGAATTTTAAGCACTTAAGTGGAGATGTAGTTGCCATTATCCATCCAATTAATTTTTTTTCTTTGAATCACTCCTTATCTTTTCCCATAGGGCCGGAGGAATGATCAGTGTCTTTGTTAACTTACAAATGCGGGGAGATGGGGCCTTCCTGCCTTTTTTTTTTATTTTTACAAGGAAAACGTCATGGTGCGGATATCTAGTGACCTGGGCACCTGAGTTTAAGGGCCCATTTGACTGCACGGCGGCTGAGAGAAATAGAGTGCCAAGAATACCCTGCTCTGGCTTTTCAGAAGCCGCTGTTTTTCAGCTACCTACTCTACTCCAATGCGTATGCCCTCTCTAAGTATCCGGAGGTCTTGTGCGCTCATCGAAAGATGATGATCTAGAGATGGCGCGTGCACACCGTGACGGGGATCAATCTGAAATGAGGGGGATGGTAGGTATTCTAGAGTACAAAGCATACAGGGAAACCTGAGTAAGTACTCTAGAGTACATGCAGGTAGAGGAGCTGTCTCGTCATCATACCAGACTTAGCTAACCTCCACCACTCGCCGGGAGACTCAAAAGTGGTTTCCAATTCATTGGACCGGTCTCCGGATCCACGTACAATATGTATGTGCATACCGAAGCACGGACACAAGTAAGTAGGTAGCCCAGTTCGAAAAGTCTTACAGTTACGGTTCGCCTTTCATGTAGGGACAAGCAAGAAGGGCTTGGACATGCAAGTAGTTACTCACTCAGGGCAGGCAGTATGTACCGAACGATGCAGCTCTTTCTCACCAATCGATAAGAAGTACCTTGGAATATTACTCTCCCATCAACCGATGGGTAGTAATTATGTCTACACGACAATCCCTCCAATGGAAGACCCCTGCCGGGGGGTAGATTACGTGTTCGGACTTCTTTGTCAGCTTCGATTCAGACATGTCTGCATTTTGTAGATCAGACACGATCCAGCTCGGGGTATACTGAATGTAACGGATTGCGAATATCTGTTGTGAAAAGGCGCGTTGTTTACTATGAAATCACGATTGCGTGCACAACCAGTCATGTACCACCATCTGATATCGACATGGCCACATATATTGTACATACAGAGACAGAAAACTACATACCTAATAAGGGTTATTCACAGGCCATCGATATAATAAGCTTAGTAACCTGGACTCGTCTGTGCTGTTACCGGTCGATCGGTAATTGCACCGAATGCTTAATGCTTGTGAAATAATAAGAATTATGTATATAAGAGGTAATAATAGGAAGTTTTTGTGGCCAAGTGAAAGCTTGAGCTAATTTCCTCCTTAGACATTTCTAGATCTAGATCTTTATATAAGGGGTGTTACGTATGTGTGTATATGTTTTATGTTTATGCCGGCTCTTTTCTTGAAACTTATTCTTTCGACTTAGTTTTATAAAAGGAGCTCTCGAATGACCAATCTTTTCTTTGTGTGTGGAAGAATTATCTTTCTACCTGCCGGTCTTTCGGGGGTGCGGCAACTCCCTCCTGCTGTGTTACTTCACGAAATATCACTCGTGCCCATGGGACAATTATTCGCATAAGAATAAATTGGATTTCCAGACAAAGTAAAGAGAACCCGTAGGGGCCAATAATCAAAAAATCCCGTCAGAAATGTGCCCCACATTTGCCAATCCAGTCAATAAAGAAATAAAGAAATAAACAGATGCCCCTCCAACTTGATCCCCCATATCCCCATTTTCCCGGAGTTACCACTCCCGTATACGTTTCAAGAAAAGACCTTAAGCGGCAGTACACGTGATCTTGACGCTCTTAGAGGTACCGATCGTCTCCTTCACGTCGATAACAACCGTGTGTAAATCGGAGTTCTTATAAACTTTGTTCTCCGCGCCCTCGACTTTCACGGTCGTCTTGGACACATCGACCATGCTGCCATCGAAACCTGGTGCATACCAAAGAATGATGGTGTAATAATCACCCACCTCTTTGGAAGGGTCGTATCCATTGTGTTTAGGCTCAATGGTGACAGTACGGGTCTTGTCTTTTGACGTCTTTGAAGTAAACAGAGAAATATTAGCATGATATCAGGAAATGATACAAGATGAGGGTGGTATTACTTGTGTAATAGCAACTTTGCGGTGATAACCCTTCGCTTCCGGGTCGCTTCCTGCGATGTTGTAACCCTTCTTCTTTCCTGCGATCTTCTCAACCTGCTTGGTGATTTCTGCGCCTTCAGCCTTCGACTGTTCGTGGGTCTCTTTGTACTGTGGGAGGTCCTCCGGCGCACTATCACGGCTGACACCATCATCAAGATAGGTAAAGTACTCCTGTGTTTTGAGGAATGAAGTCAGTAAGAGTAAAGAAAACTAGTGATGGAATAGATGCAGGGTGGTCATTGAACTTTACCTTATCCTTTCCAGGGTAGATGTTGAACTTGATGCGGTTTGGTCCTCCTTGGCCAACCCATTGGCGTACTTCCATTTGCGGGATGATGGCACCTGTAGGTTCATAGCATTAGTTACTGCATGTATTTGAAACTGAAAAGAGATTATTCTGCTGCCTACCCTCTCTAATGTAGACCGGTACCACGGTGTGAAAGAGATGATAATCCTGGGGTGCGACAATTCTAGCAGTATAATCGATAACACTACCACCTTCGACAGGGTTCCCCAAAGTGACTCCCTGATCGTCCCATGGTCTCAAATTTGAGGGGTACCAGGTGTGGTAGAGAGGGAGATAGACATCTCTGTTTTCGCCTGGAATTTCGTTGCGACTGTGGAGGATGGGTGCAACAAGAATGTCGTCACCAGCCATGTATTGGTTGTCGAGGAACTTTTGGCTCTCGTTGAAGAAGGTGGTATCCTCAGTATCAGTCAAGAGCTAGAAATCCAGGTTCATTTGGTTAGCATGTGTTGTCCTGAAAGTCTAGGGCAGAATACATACCATAGATCTGGTAATTGGCATACCGTCGACTACGTTTTGAAACATGCAGTCGTAAAGCAGTTGGATGAGGGAGTATCTGAGCTCCACATAGTACCTACAGATCTCCAAAACGGATTTGTAGAGCCATGCTTGGTCCGCGAGTTCTGGATGGGTTTCAAGATGCTTGGGGTATGCGTATGGTTCCTAGATTATCTTAGTATCTCCAATGCTTTAAAGCTAAGAACGGGTAGATTACCTGGAACCATTTCCTGTCCTTTTTAACATAATGGTTCCTGAGCCATGGCAAGAGGAATGAACCAGTATACCACCTGATCAGTAGCTCTGGGCTACAGTATTTCTCCTCGACCCCATTCGCATCACGGTAGGGTTCAAAACCACCCGTATCAGACCCCGCGATGCACACACCATTGAGACCCAGAGAAAGAACCTGAGAAACCGAAATCTTCCAAAACTCCCAGTTACTTGCATTATCTCCAGTCCAGAGACCAGCAAAACGATAGGCTCCAGCATAACTTCCGCGCCCGAGGATGAAGTTACGTTTGTTCTTGCGAGATTCAAGACGGCCAAGGCCATGCCAGGTTGCTTTATGGAGATTGTAGGAGTAGAGAGCCCAACTTTCAATTGCGAGCTTTTTCTCAGAGGCATTGGTGACGGAGTCAGAGGTGACGAGTAGACGGGTGGGCAACCCTTTCATGTCTCCATATGATGTGTGGATTGCTGGGGTAGTCATGTCTTGCCACACAAATTCTAGTCCCATATCGAAGAGATACTTGTACTGCATTCCCCACCAGATACGAACCTCCTTTCTGTTAAGGTCCGGGTAGAAACCTGCCTATAAATCATTGTCTCTAATTAGTCTCGATGAACTTTATTATGTTGATAAGATATCGTCACTTACACTGCCGTTTCCGTAGCCGTAGCTCACACCACCATGATAGGGGTATTCTTTGCAGTTGAAGTTCATGGGGAAGTCACTAGAAACATGTCAATGCCATTTACGGGTTACCTAGCGCACTGAAATAAACAACTTACTATTTGTCTCCAAAGTCTGGCCGAGCATCAACATTATTGGGATCGACCTCAACCTTATTACCGCCACCGTAGTACATGTACCGAACATCGTTCGCATTCCCACTTGTTCCCTCGGTATATCTGTCGTCCATGATAAAGTATTTTTTCGCAATTCCCTCAAGGAGGGTACTGTATCCACCCTCTCTGTCGTTAATGCTGATAACAGGAGTGATGTTGGTGGAGCACTTGATTCCATTATTCCTCAAGTTAGTAAACATCTCTTTGGGGTTAGGGAAAGTGTGTGGGTTGGTGGTGAAAGTTCTGAAGCCGTCCTAAGAATGTTATAAACACAGTTAGAACATTTCTCAAAGCCTCAATGATACCATGGTTATTTACCTGAACATCGACATCGACGTGCAACCCGTCAAGTGGAAATTTACTGTCACGGTACTGCTGAACCACAGAATACAAGTCACTTTCCTGCTGGTATCCATAACCTTTGAAAACGAGGTTAGTTTATTATATACGTCCGATAAATGGCTCATAAAGGGGGGGACTTACAGGCTTGATGGGCCCCGAGAATGTATCTGGGCTTCAACTTCGAACGTCCAACAAGACCTGTATAAAGTCGTACAATTTCCGGGACCGTATCCGCACTGATGCCGTAACAATCGATACCGCCATACCTAGTCCCCAGCTTGATGTAGCCTGAGTTGGTCTTTCCAAAGTCGATAGCAATTTGAGAGTAGTTATCGATAAAGGTTGCCGTGATATTCTTGTGCTCTGGGTTGGAGTTCACATCAAGGTAGAAAGGATCAGAGTGATACCTTGTTGAAAGATTAGTTATTGGGGTTAAGTCGTGCCACAGGGCGGTACTTACAACGGCTCGCGAGAATCGAGAGCACCTTTGGCGTAGACTTGCTGGTATTGCATATTGTCGAAGTCTACAGTGTATTAGTAAAAACTACCACCAAGAAATAAGGAACCTCTGCGGGACTTACTAAAATAGTTCATGAATGTTGGCTCCTTCATAAACTGGATACCTCCCATCTCTCCCCACCCCACATACTCGCCATGTCCAGGCTTGACAATGTCAAGAACTGTATCCCTCAACATCTTGTGCTGCGGATGCAAATTCTTTCTGAATGTCTTGGGAGACGTTTGCCAAACGACCTTGTCGGACACACGGGCTTCGGCCTCGGCTACATTTGGAATGGGGTAAGGATCCTTTATAGGGGTCAAGGTACGCACTGCTTGGATGCGGAAGCGGTCTTTCCATAGGTAAATCTTCATGCCATCACCGACCTTGTTGCGAGTCCGTTCAGATTTGCCAACGGCGGTGACCAAGGACTGTTTAGTGCAGTTAGTGATGGTGTTCTATAATGAAGCTATATAGCTAGATCTAGAACTTACCGAGAAGGTCCAGAATTCCCCCGAATCCTCACACTTGGTTCCCCACGTAAGCTCTCTGTAAGTATCCAACTTATAAACCAGAGTACTCATATAATCTTGCACAATTGTCCTCCTATATGCCTCATTAGTTGATTAGCATAGGTTTTTCACTATCACTAATGGTATATGTAATTGACTGGGGTAACTCACGTATTCTCATCACCATACTCGTCAGAAGTCTTGAAACCAGGGTCATATCTAACCCTCCAAACGCACGGTCTAATGAATTGAACCACGCCCAGAGTCCCATCATCGAATCTCAGGTTCACTCCATGCCAGTTTTTCGGATACTTGGTGCCCTTGGGGGGAGTAGTGTCTATGCCAATGACCTTTTGAGGGCCCTTCCAGCCCAACGCGACGCTGTAGTAGTCTTCTGCTTTGCAGAAATTGAGCGGATCGGAAATTCCTGCCATGACGGCGGTATAATGAGATCTAGCTCAAAAAAGGTTGGGCAGGGTGTTTTGTTCGAACAGAAGATATCAGAGGCCAAGCTGAGGGATGACTGGGCTGGAGTGATGGAGGAGAATGAAGAGGCGAGGAGGGAATGATGGCCATTATATAGAGTTCGAGATTAAAACTGGGAATATAAGATTGAAATCAATTTTTATGAGGCCGAGCTATCGATGCTGACTTCATTGCTTATTGCTGCCAGTATTGGTAGTTGCAACCAATCAGGTAAAGCTAGCCAAGGAGAGGTCGCACACATACCCAATTAAATCTTGAGTACTAATCAGGCATTATCATCTTTGTTATAAGACTAAGCGCATCAATGATCTTTGTGCGACCGGATTTTCAACTGCACCTACAACTCCAATCAGAAATATTGTACGATTCGTTTCTTGTGAGTGCATATCTGCCGCACAGAACAGAATAAACAAAAACGCACCTGCACGTTTTCTTTCTCGCACATCGAAAGAGGTCAATTTATGTAGATCATATTCGCAACTGCACTGATCCGCAACCATAATGCTGTTGTGCTCCCTACTTCCCTGGACACCCGGAAGCTCGGGTTTTCAGCTTCGGTTTCTCTCCGACCTGTATAGTTTGTTGCGTTTGATCAATTGAGCACCTCTCAATTCCACAGAGCCTTTAATTATTTCGATAAATTTTTGGTTGGGCATTTAGGTCCATCTACCCAATTGATTAGAAATAACGCAGGTATTGAAGCGTGGTATCCAGGAGCAGGAACCCAAACAAAAGTATGTATGTAGTTATGTATTGCCCAATCATTGCGGGTAATATTGCACGGCTATGCATTTAAAAGCCGCTTCTCCATGTCCATGCATTTTCAGCCCATGTCGCAACACAACCAACTTTTGGTATGTATATTGTTAGAGCTGAAAAAAGTATATTTGTTGGTGGTATACATACATTAAGTCAACACCTACTGTAGTCATACGGCTGTGTTGAGAATTAAAGGCATTCTACCGTACCCTTCGGCAATTAGGTTTACAATGAGCTTCGCTTGATCGATGCATATGCGCCGATAACCAATGGTGAGATCGTGCATCATGAGGGGTAATGGTTGGAGGTTAAAAAACTCGGGATCCCATAAATGCAGCGCAGCAGAAGTGTCAAAGATTCAAAAAAGTTCAATATATCTATATCATGATAAGATAAGTATAAGATAAGTTTTAATTATACCAATATATAGGTCTTACCACATGGATATATACCCCCGGTCATGCAGGGCAGCCAACCTAGGGGCATCCCACAGTTTGATGGAACAGACCGGTTTTTTTTTTTCTGGTTAGTTGCTGGAGTTTATAGCACCTAAGCGAAGAAAGCTACACCGGCATAAATCTATGGGTTGTGCTCTAGATTAGCGATTGTATACTCCCATCTCAAAACATTCCCTCACTATAGCTGGCACACTCATATAATATAATCTCACTATTTGTCAAACCTGTGAGTTTAGGATTGCAAACCTAATCTTGAGCCATGCCACCATTTTTGATTGGTTCGTTTATCCTCTGACAGAAGCAAAGGCATAAAGACCTCTCTAAAGACCTCATAAATAATGGGTAGCAGGCCATAAGCCATTGACGATAACTGTCCCAATGAAAGCTACACCGGCAGCACCGGGAACCCATACGTAGAAATACTGACAGCACACTGAAAATTATATCCAATGCTAGTAACGGTAAGAAGGATGGCACACTGTATGGCCCCCTACTCAACAATCTCCGTATTTCATCGAGTGATACTGCATGATTGAGCTACAGATTAGTTACCAGCTAGAGCGATGGGTTTCGTCAGAGTTGGTCGATATTACTCGGGGCCAAGTTAATTTCATTTTAATTCTTGTGCCAAAGAAAAAACTGGGCGATGACTAGGAGGTTTGATATATGCACCCTCTGGGCGATTGGGTTGAGCTGCATGCAATGCATGTGTGGGGATCATCTCTCCCGCCTTGCCGCCCAAACACCGTGAGCTATGAGAAGGATAATCGGCAAGAAGATTTAGCGATGGCGGAGCAGGAGAATCGGGATTTACCTACTTGTAGGTATGCAACTTCGGCACTTGCTTAGAGCGAGTTCCCGTCTTGTGGAAGAGGCTTGGAACATGAGACTCTCTATTTTCTTTTCCCCAAGCTTAGCGAGTGGATCATCTTCTGCGTACTATATCTTTTTTTTTTTTTGTTATCTTCTCCGTTTTCTAGATGAATCCCATTTCAATACAAGTTTTGATCAATTGATGCCATTGTCATGTAACGCTATTATACAGATGGAGTGGCACTCACGAGGAAATTCTGCTGTGTCAATTGAAAGAATTGCACCGAATATATCACGATAACCATTCGATTGGCCAGCTTGTCCGGCTGTACAGCTGTGGGCAACGGGATATTTACGCTGCTTGGACGAAAAGAAGCTACGTTCGGTTGAGCTCGTTTTGGTATAGCTTTGAGCCTGTCGATCTGGAGATCCTCATCCTCGGGGAACCAATAGTAGTTATTGTAGAGCGTGGGCCAGCGTAACGTACCACAAAACAAAAAAAAAAAAAAGGGCAGAAAAGCAGCATGCAGCCGCTCGGTTCCTTTGCCGAGGTATTACAGCATGATGGGCCTTTCGAGGCTCTTCACTCCGACACAAGCAATTGCGCAAGAAATCGAAGATCATCTTCACAATCCCACCGGCGCATATTACAAAACCGGCAAGCGCACGCTCGATGCCGCGCAAACTGTATCGGCTTTAGCCTTGCAGAGGGAGACGTATAAACGGTCTGGTATCTGTCCATGAGGAGCTGAAAAGTACATGAAGGAGATGTTGTGTAATTGAATACATACATATAGCTGAACTTTGTTGATTTGTCTGCACGAACTATCGATATCGACAGTGGTGGCGGATGCGGGATGTATCCAATTCTGAAAGAGAAGGTGAGCTAGAGAGAGAGAGTGCATATTCCCAGATGTGTATTGCGTATGGTGATACGTACTTTGTTGAGATTCATGATGCGTGTGTGTATATAGGATGGATTGACGAATAAGTCTGTGAATGAGACTGAGATTGGCACACATCATGTAACCGTGCAGAAAGTACGTAACTTCGAACTACACCGTACAAAGTATATATGGACACGCCACGATAGGCAGAGGACCATGTGAGGGCTAGGGATCAGACGGTGCCTTGGCGGCAAAACAAATTTAAAACAAAACAAGGCTCACTGAGTGAGGACTACTCTAGATGTACGTAGACCTTAAGTAGGTTTACTACATCATGTACGTACTCTACTGTACATGTACTCCAAGCAGCGCCCGGCCCTCAAAGTTTAGTTTATAAATCGGGTGCTGCTTCAGCAATATTGAGGTTCGTATACAATCATAGGAAATCACTCGGAAATGTACCTACATCCATGTATCTCATGTAGCCTGATCAATTGAGCCATGTCAAAGCAGGAAGATTTTTCAATATCTGCAGATCAGCAACACACACACACAAAGATGATATGCATAGATATGTAGAGTAGAGTAGATGCGACCCCACAAAAAATTGGAATAATGTGGATGATATATAGGTAATATAATTGTATGCATATATTGAAAGTCGAAACCCCGCCATTAAGCGGAGGTGTTCCTCACCTGCTAACTCTAAATCAATCAGTTCCCACCTCCTCGCCCCCATTCCACCGGCGCGGGCCGGGCTTTGACGACAAAAGTGCAGAAACAAAGCATAGTTCCCCCAAACCGGCCATTTTCAAAAACTCCCACATGTTTCAGCAACACTTCTTGGTGTATGATAATGTATCAGAAGCTATAGCATCTTTAGGAGAATCCAAACCCGAACTTACATTCAAAAATAGATCATTGGTGTGCAGATGGTAATGGATCTCTCGTATCGGGATTCAGTATCTTGGCAGGAATTCCAGATGTCCCTCAATGTCCAGACTTGCTACAACACACACAAATCAGAATTATAGAGCCAAAGACTGAAAATGGGTAGTATAGACATTTTTTCAACCCATATTTCAGTTTCAACGTCTATCTATTGATGTTGGTGCCAGGTGAGAGCTGCAAAAAAAAGGTCCATGCTTTGGTTTGTTTTCGGCGTTGTCCCGTGATTTTTGAACATGATATGCACCCGAGGGCTAAGGTGGAACGTGCACGTCCAGATAGTGACACGAATTGCATTCCTCGCAGAACACAGGCTAGGCTTACGTATGTGTGCGCTGATGGAATATTTTTTTGGGGACATAACTCAATTCTATATTAACTTGACGATCGAATCTTTTGGCCAGAATAGAGTTTGAACTGTTTGGACAGAAACTCCTGCGCGTCCTGTTGGTTGCAATGTGCATGAGTTTCTGTCCAAACCGCGCAACTAAGATCCTCTATATAGTTCAATTATATATTATCACACGCCCGCTGGCTCGAGAGTTGGAATAGAGTCTTTTAGCTGCGCGAGTTTGAGCAGAAAGTCGAGCAGGTTGGATAGAAGTCGTCCAACCAATAAGGGCCCGTTTGGGAGCGCTCTGAAACGGAGTTTGGGGGGGTTGAAAACTGTGTTACAACCATAACGCCGTTACGGTTTTTTTTTTTTAATTCTGTTTGGCGTTCCAGCTTTGACATGTAGATAACAATGTTATCGCTTGGTAGGCGGAGACCTGCTCAGAATGTGGTGCTCTTGTAGAAATCTCAAAGTATCTAAGTCTGACCTACTTTTTCTGTGTATTGCAACCATCATTCCCCAGTACAAGATGTCCCCCATCAGAAGAATATTTCCATCGCCTATTTTAATTTGAGCAATACAAACCCCCAGGCTGGGGGCTATGGAAATGTTTTTTTTTCTTCTAGATAAATGTAACAAGCAGGTGTGTATGTTGAAGGAATTGATGGGAGCGAATACTTATAATGAAACCTGTAGCCAAACAGTAAACCACAATTTAACAACCCACCATTCCCCAGATCATGGCAACGGAGGTTTTGCGAAACAGTGTTTTCTGATCCGTCCACTCCCAATTAAACGGGCCCTAAGATGTATGTGTAGGACATTTTTTGTCAAAGTGCTCGACTTTAATTCTGTCCAACTCTTGCAGCTAGCTAAAAGACTCTAATGATCGATGGGCTCCATATATACAGGAGCTATCGTTACTTCTGGGAATAAGCCCCCTAAAGTACTGGTAGAAAAAATTGCTTGCTGATTGGCTCAAGTCACGGGGAATATTATGCATACACCACCAGTTTTCCTTGACCACCACTTTGCTTTAAGCCCATAGGTAGTTAGGCTTATTTCCCAGAAGTAACGGTAAGCTGAGCATGAGAGGCCCCAATTGCAAGCCCGTGAGAACCATACTGTTGATGCTACAATACATACATTCCATCATCTAGAGTAGTCCAGTCGATATACTAGCTGTTATACTAGCTAGCTGTAGTAGTAGTAGTAGTTATTTCACTCTGAAAGCTCACTGCACATGAACATATCTTTATGCTATAAATCTCGCCCTTTATTACTATTCCACCCCTCTCTTCCTCCCCCCCCGCCCCGGCCCGCCACAAACACGACGAATCAACACAACACAAAAGCAGCCAGCTATTCCTCCCCTCGTATAAAGCCCATAGTTACCTTTACTCCTTATCCTGATCTACCCGCGGGTAGTTTAGTAGCACGCTTCTTATAACGAAAAACACCAACGAGACACACGAAGCAAAGCAAAGCAATTAAAAAAAAACAAAAAAAAAAAACAAATAGAGTAGAAAACCGGAAAAAGGAGAGAAAACGATCACTGACTGACTGGACCAGACCGGCCAAGCTAGGAGGGGGGGGGGGGGGGGGGGGGCCAATCAGCGCATCGTCGGCGGCCGAGACTCCTTGTTCCACATGACCCTCGTCTTGAGCCAATCCACAGCCTCCTTCACGCCCGTCCTGCACCGCAGCCGTTAGCACAGCACATCACAGCACAACCACCCACCTCCACCTCCACCTCCACGTGTGACAACACCCCCTCCACCAACCCGAGAAACACAAACAGCCAGACAGCGGGGAAACAACGCACCCTTCCAACGCCGACACCGGCAGCACCCTACTATCCCTCGCGCCCAAGCTCACAATCACCGGATTCACCACCTCCTTCAGCTGCGCAATCTCCAGACTCTCATCGCGGTCCTGCTTATTCGCCAGCACAAGCACCGGCACGCCCTCCGTCTCCTCGTGCTCCACAACCTCCTTGAGCACGTCGACCACCTCGCTCTCGATGCGCGGCACGTCCGTCGAGTCGATGACAAACACGATGGCGTGCGCCGAGCTGTAGTACGACTTCCACAGGCTGCGCAGCGTCGACTGCCCGCCAATGTCCCACAGCTTGAGGTAGATGCTGGGCGCGGTGAGCGGGATCAGCGACACGTTCTGGCCGACGGTGGGGATGGTGCTGCCCGCTTTGGGCGGGAGTGGCCCGTTGGGGAGGTATAGTGATTTGATCTTTTCGAGGAGGGTCTGTCCTTGCAGTAGTCTTTAGCAGGGCCGTGGGGGACAAGGGGGGGAGGGGGAGGGGGAGGGGGAGGGGGTGGGGGTGGACAAACGGTTTTGCCGGCGTTGTCGAGGCCGAGAAGACTACAGAGAGCATCTGATCAGCTCTATCTGCCAGGTACCGTATCGGACCGAGGAGAGGATGAGGCGAGAAGCTCTACTCACGGGGGAGCTAGCTCCGGCGGTAGAATGTAGTGGAGAGGGGGGGATCATGTATTCGGATTGGCTTTCTTTCAACTTACAGGACGGAGTATTCTTCTTTGCTAGTGGCGTAGTAGTAGAGCTCAGTCGCAAGATGATACATGGTTAGTACTGCCTGTGTTGATGGTGTTGGTGCTGGTGTTGATGCCCGTCTCCGTGTGTCTCGATATCGCGGTTGTCGGTGCGTGCGTGCGTGCGAGCGTGCGTGGTGGGGCCCGGCCGGGGCCTGACGGTCGGACAGAAAGAGCCGCATGGATGGGGCGCAGGGAACCCTAACCCACCTGCACTCTGCACAAAGAGAACAAGGACAAAGACCGCGCAGTTGCCGCGAGAACGACGCCCGCCCGGAGCCCGGAGCCCGGAGCCCGAGATTCGCGGTGCGGGCGGGCGGGCGGGCGTGTCCGGCGCGGCAGAGACGAATCACCGGGCCCGCTTCCCGTTGCCGTTGTGGTGAACGCGATCATTCACCCCGCTGGCTGTGCGGAAACCCTAACCCACTGCATTTTGCGCCCCACCAAAGAAGAGCCTGTCTCCTCTTCTTCTCTTCTCTTCCCTTCACTTCCCCTCCGCATTTATTCCAACTCCACCACTCCACCAGATATCTCGCCCCACACCGCCCGCAAAGCTGTCGCCCCTCCATCACCCCCTCCGATATCCCTTCGTCTGCGCCCGCTCGTTCTCAAGACGCATCTCCGCCTTCCTGCCCGCAGCAGCCATGACCGTCGGCGAACCAGCCCCGCCGCAGCAGCAGGCATCCGCAGCTCCCTCCGACGCTGCACCGCCGCTGCCCCCCACCGCAAAGAAGACAAAGCTCACCGGCCGCGAGTTCTGGGAGTCCATTGGGTCCCCGCGGACGATCGTCGCGCCCATGGTGGAGCAATCTGAATTCGTGCGCTGCCCCTCTCCCTCTCCCTCTCCCTCTCCCTCTCCCTCTCCCTCTCCCTCTCCCTCTCCCTCTCCCCTGATAGCTAGCTAGCTCTCTGTCAACCACTCGATCCGCCCGTCCATCATAAACACTAACACCCACCCAGGCCTGGCGCATCCTCTCCCGCCGCCACTCGCCGCCCAACACGCTCTGCTACACGCCCATGTTCCACTCCCGCCTCTTCGCCACAACCCCCACCTACCGCGCGCAATCCTTCCAGCCCCCGCACCTCGACGGCAACCCCACCCACGACCGCCCAACATTCGTCCAGTTCTGCTCCAACTCGCCGCAAGACCTCCTCGCCGCCGCGCAGCACGTCGCCCCGCACTGCGACGCCGTCGACCTCAACCTCGGCTGCCCGCAGGGCATCGCGCGCAAGGGCCACTACGGCGCCTTCCTCCAGGAGGAGTGGCCCCTCGTCCACAACCTCATCCGAACGCTGCGCGACGGCCTCGACGTCCCCGTGACGGCCAAGATCAGGATCCTCGAGACGCGCGAGCGCAGCCTGGAGTATGCGCGCATGGTGGTGGACGCGGGGGCCAGCGTGCTGACGGTGCACGGGCGGACGCGCGAGCAGAAGGGCCACAACACGGGCATGGCCGACTGGGCGGTGATCAAGTACATCCGCGACCACCTGCCGCGCGAGGTGGTGGTGTTTGCGAACGGGAATGTGCTCTGGCAGGAGGACGTCGCGCGGTGCATTGCGGCGACGGGCGTCGACGGCGTCATGAGCGCCGAGGGGAACTTGCATAACCCTGCGGTCTTCCAGACGAGCAGGGACTGGGAGGAGCGGTTCCCGAGGATGGATCAAATCGGCAGGGAGTACATCGATATCGTCAGGGAGTATGTGCTGCCGCCGTTGGGGCTTGGGGAGCTCTGGGCGGAGCAGCCGATGACGAAGAGGACGAGGAAGAGGTTTGAGGTGCTGATGGCGGATCCGAGTCTGACGCCGATCAAGAGCCACTTCTTTAAGCTGTGGCACTCGGCGCTGCCGAGGCACACGCAGGTGCGGGACCTGCTGGCGCGCAGTGGGGCGAGGGTGGGCGAGGATCCGCTGGCGTCGTTTGAAGCTACGTTGAAGGAGCTGGAGAAGGCCATCGCGGGCGAGCTGGAGAGGAATCCGGAGCCTGTGGATGCTGATGGGAAGTGGGTTGGGCCCGATACACCAGTGGAGGAGGCGGGCGATAGTAAGGAGGGCATTCTCGTCGAGCTGGAGGACGGGCGGAAGGTCAGGAGAGTGGTGCCGTGGTATCGGTGCCAGCCTTACTATCGTCCATTGCCGGAGGAGGCGCTGGCAAAGGGAGCTTTGCAATTGAAGAAGAAGAACAAGGCAAATACTGAGGGAAGAGAGGAGGGCGAGAATAGCAAAAAGGTCAAGGTCGACCCCGAGGTTGAGGCTGTTGCTGCCGCGGAAGTGCTCGCTGCAGAGGCGGTCGAAAGTAACAAAAAGGGCCAAGTTAACCCCGAAGTTGAGACTGTTGCTGCCGCAGTAGGAGCGCCCTCTGGAGAGGAGGTTTGCGGGTAGATAACTTATAACATTGAATTTAGATTTTGTAGTAAAGATTTTTTTATTTTTTTACTTCGTGATATTGTCTGTATACCTAACGTTTGTCTAGACCTTATTTTTTCTTCCTTTTTAAGTGTGGTGTTTGGGTGGATTTTTTTTTTTATATATCTTAAACATTAGTTAGACTGGTCACTGGTAGGAGCGGGAGCGGTGGGAAGCATCAAAAGTTGGGTTTAAGCTTTAGAATGGTGAAAGAGTTAGTATCCGGGTTGTGGTTTTGTATACATGTAGCATCTCATCTCAATAGCTTCGTAGGTGCGGTCACTCAATTGAAGTCCTGATCACCTTTAGAGACTACATGTAGCTGCCTGTCTAATCGTTAGCCCCCCCACGCTCGACCAGACAAGTGTGTAGTTAACTCGAATCTCAAACACCTCATATCTAACCTACAAAACATGTTGGCCAATCAAACGTTAGCAAAACCAAGTGGGCAGCTTCGACTCATGATTGGCCAATGGCGCATAAACCCCTAACCCTGCACTAGGATCCTCCCAATACCGCTAGGCCATGGGAGGTTCAGTGTTCCCAACTGCAGCCCAACCTCGCGACCACAATCACAACTCGAGGAAGCCCCCAGAAAACACACACAACTCACCCCGGGCCCTATACACATATATTGCAATGGGCTTTCACATTGTGGCCTAGCTGTCTATACACGTATATGCAGTCAAGTAGATCTATCTGCCCAGAATGGCTAGTACAGCATCTAGATCTCCGCCCCGTCGAATCCACGCACAGTCCCCAGTCCTACCACCAACCAGATCTGCTTACGGCCCCAGCGTGCAATATATCCGTTCTTTTTTTACAATTTCAACTCAAGTTTCGTCAACCCAACCCCACACCCCCCAGTACTACGCCCAAAGTGCGAGGCCATACGTGAACAGTGGGCACACTACTGACGCCGTAGCCGAGGGAAGAAGGGCACGAGTTTTCAACGTGGCGTTGAGAGACTAAATGCGCTATAGCTACATGTATCCGACACCATGCAGTACAAACGGTGCCAGTTTACACCGGTGCTCGGAACCTGGGTAGTCGTTCTGGATATTTTACTCTGTGGTGTACGGTACCACCGGGCATGCTCCGGGCTCACTACTTCAAGGTAAGATCAACCACCATAACATGTATTGCTTTGAAGTTTGCAGGGCCAGCTAATGTGAGTGTGTTTTTGGGGTGTTTTAGCTAAGCTACGGGCCAACTAGGTTATTCGTGAAGCTCTACCTGACCATCTCTCAAACGCAGATATGCGTATGTTTCCCGGTCCTGGGTTCTCTTGCCCGTTTGCCGATGCTACAACTTTGATGTCTCATCACAGGATCTCACTCGTTCTTGGCACCCGACCAGTCACTCGGAGCCTATCACCACCAACCCCTACGTGGTATCATAAAAGCCTTAGATGATGATACTGGACTGGCGGTAGTGGCGACGGCCACAATGGTGCAACATAGTACAGAAGAACGTGGCAGTGGGGGGGGGGGGATTACACTTCCACTTCCCGGTCTGAACCCTCCGATATCGTAGTACTGCCACCTCTCATCGGTGAGAGGGAGGTTACCACAAAGAATCATCTGAGTACTCCCAAAAGGGCCAACAAAAAGAACACAGACTCAGTACCGTGGATCTGCAGTGTCTCTTGCTCGGTTCCGATGAGAAACGTGTGAGTTCTGACAATGCCATGGGCTCAAATGGACTTTTGAGTTTGGTGATGGGGGGTGCAACGTTACGTTTGATTCTGCAGATTGTTAACCACGTATAAAGAATGATACAGTACGCAGCTCAGCCGTGCCGCGCTGTCAGGATCGTCGCGGGAGACGTTTTTAGAGATGTTTTTTGCGGTCCCATGGTCCTCAGAACCAATCTTTTGATGGGAAAGCTGGGTGAGGTACTTGAGCTCAATGTTTTAAATTATGCCTGGCCTTCATCTCTGATATTTGATGATCGTGCGATGTGGTCACTGCTACTAGATGGTACCTTTGTCCCCCTCAAATGCTGTGCAAATCGCGCGACAGTATCCCCACCCACCCGCTCACCATTCCTATGTTCAATTCACGCGTTAGTAGGGATTCTCTAGACATATAACAACTCACAGCTGTCCAGCAGTAGACGCCCTGTCCAAAAAAAAAAAAAAAAAAAAAGCCCATCTACACTAACAATAACTCCAACTTCCAAAAATGAAGCCTACAGATCTTCTCACTTACCTCTGCCTCCTCCTCCTCACCTTCCTCCTCTCCCATCCAATCCTCTCACACCCCACCGCCATCGCCATCGCCAACCCCCTACCCCGCGACATCCACACGCGCGGCCACTACACCTGCAAGAAGATGTCCATCCGCGGGCCCCTCCGCGCCTCCACCCGCGCGCTCGCCCTCCAGCTCTCAAGCCGGCACAACGAGCACTGCACGCAGGACCAGCGCTTCGCGCCCAAATGTACCGTTCTCGCAAGCGACGGGGACGAGGCGCGCATCGCCATCTGCGGGTATCCAAAGGGCTGGATACTGTGCTCGTGGGTTGTGTTTGCGGCGCTGGAGATCGCGGCCGGGTGTGTCGTCCCCACGACGGAGAGGGCCACGGGGGAGTTTGTGTTTGATGGGAAGCCGGGGATGAGGGTCGTTGTTTATAAAGCTGGGCGTGAGCCGTGAAAAGATGGGGGGGGGGGGGGGGGGTACCTGGATTATTTAGCGGTGTAGAGTATAACGAATCTATGAGACATCTTTTCTATGTAGTGAGGTGAAGTATTTTCCTAAGTTTGAGGTTGCGATGAAGCGACACACAATTAATGAACTATCAATCATGAGTCAATTGCGATGAACCGATCATGATGTATCACTCGCGCGACAAGGCTGCAATAAAGCCAAGCTATGTACATATAGTGCAGGAACGCCGCAGTAAAGTCATGATCAAGTAACCATTTGAACCCGCGCACCAACGATCAATCGAGGAAAGACGCATCCCATCCTCATATATCTGCCTGCCTGTGCAGTTCCCCGGGTTAGTTTGTACCTACATACATGCTAATTGCAGTCGGTACAATGCCCTCGGAAAACCGCCGCAACAGCATGAACCTTAACCCCACCATCTCCCGATCGTACCGGCGGCAAAGATATATCAACATCGCCACTGCCACCACCTCTTCAATTGGGTATCTCATACACAGCACCTACATTCTACGGGCCTGACAACGCCTCCCCCACAGTTACGGGTGGGTAACCAGCATCAGGAATCATGGGTCGCGGATATAGGCTGGGGCTGACAGTGCGCACGCAACACCGCAGCAGCATCTAACCGGATTCAAACTCAACCTGTGGGTCATCCGAACACCCTCCCGCAAAAGGAACTGCGCATTTGTTTCACAGGGTATCACTCGTGCTGTCAGTCTTGTGATCTGCCCTTATATTGGGGGTGGAGGGGGTTTATGGAGAGATGGGGACATTGGGTCCCAGACAGGGCTTGAAAGTATTTTCCCTTCCCTTCTCCGCCCTACTTTGCTCCACTTTGCCGGTAGTGGCTTTGTGTGCCCTCATCAGGCCACTGCTTATTAAATATGTAGGTCAAAGGGGCCGCAGAACCTCGACCCCGGATCAGGACGCTTGTCAGGATGGAGGCAGAAAGGCTACGATACGTGCATGAAACCACCTCTTCTCCACGAACGGGTGGCCAAGATGTTCCCACGCCAACCTGGAGAAAACCTTGGGTCTGGAGAAGATGGCTCCGGAAGTCCGGATCTGTGTGTACCAGAAAGGCGGCGGTTTGTCACCATGAACCTGATTGGGTGAGATTTGGCTCCTTATATTGGGCGGGGTTTGGTCAAACCCTCGCTAGACTCCTGCTGGTGCAAGCCTTGAGAGCTCCCAGATCACCAAACGATTTATAGTTGTCATGATCACAAAATATCACTCGTCGAAATCCAAAACCATCTACAGTCCAGCAATGATAGCCAGCCTCATTTTCCTCCCTAGGAGCATGGTCAAGATAATGTGATCTGTATCCCTAGGACCACTGAGTCAAATGACGTCCCTCAAAGTAAACTTCGCATTCCATATGCATGCGTGATTGAGGATTGCAGCCACCGCTGCATACCACAGTCAATATTTCCATGCCTCTGCCTCAAGATGAGTAGAGGAAACATTCGTTCGTTAGAACTATATAGTGACCTTAGTCCCCACCTGCCTTTAAACATTATCACCCAGGCTTTTTTGGATCCGATCAACTCTATGACAGCATAGTAACTGGATTCCTGACATGTGATTCCAGGCACATCCTTTATTGGAGTAGATTGCACTATACTCGGTAAGTGCTATGATATTCAACATTCGCCCTAGGGGAAAGTTTACCCATAGAGGCAGCCAAGAAACAGAGTTGATGTATTGATAGTGCTTCGTATACATGTAGGCCCCGCATCCGTCTCCCGGGGAGATATGACTACCATTTCTCGGTAGGATCTGCCTTAAACTCGAGATAGTCGGCCATGTTAAAGAAAGAGATCTCGGTCTCGTGTTCTGCATTCCTCAGTCCCCTGTGCACGTCATGGGGAAAAAGAGGGGGGGGGGGGGGGGCAAACTGACCACAACCACACTCAGCCAGGGTCTTCGAATCATCTCTAAAGATTTTCTCATCGTCCTTATCCTCCATGTTGATGATTAGATTCTGTGTCTTGGTGCCCTGTGCTTTAGTGTATAGCTTCAGCGTATCTACGGCCATCCCACCATCAGCAACATGACTAATAGGACGGCAGGAGGCGGAGGAGGCGGAGGAGGCGGAGGAGAAGATTACCAAGGACAACGGTTTTGTAAGGCTTCCAGCCTGGCCTTGTCAACACCTCTACACCAGTAATTATCAGCCTGTACTTTTTTACCCACCCTATTCTTAAGTATGCGGGCACACCTTTCTTAGCCAGCTCTTTCAGATCCCCAACCGTGAGTGTTGTTAGATCGAGGTGGTGCAGAACCAGGTTCCTGGTAGTGCGGTAAGGGAAGCTTTTGATAACTCGGATTGTCAGGGTTGAGTCAGTGACTATCAGATATGTGTTAGCTGTTGCAGGTAATACTGGTGGGGGAGGCGGGCGGCGTACGGGGGAGATAGAGAGCTGCGGCTGCGTCTTCGTGGCTCGTCATCTTGCTTGCTGTTTCTGGTTATTCTGATTTCCGTGGGGTTTTTGGGAGATTGTTCTTGCGTGGATCACTTGTAACGTCGTGGAGATAAGGTAAGGTAAGCCCAAACTCAAATAGCGGGCAGGTTACCCAACCGCGGGGATTTCAATTTTTTTTGGGTCCGGGGAAAGCCACGCCAAGCCTATCCAAATGTGACCTGCATGAAGTATTTGCCAAGAACTGGTCCGTGCATCCTTCTAGTTCTTCCCCAAAACGGTTGTTAGGACAATGGAGTTTTGAGTAGATGAGCCCTTGGGTTCAGTAAATAAACCAATTTAATATCGACGCTCTTTACAGAAGGGAAAAAAGGCATGATCATGTATAGGGGCGGGTCTGTAGCCTTAAAGCAGTCGTCAAGACTCCTACATACACTTACTCTACTTAAAGTGAGTACCTGCTTTCAAATCTAAACCCCCCTCGTGGAGATCTAACGGCCGGTCAAGAAAAGGCATAATACCTCTTGAACATATCAATTAAAGCTCCGTAGACGGATACAGCCTCCGCACAAGCAAAGAGACGGAGATCACTTCTAACCGCATATCTATGTTTTCACTTTCTTTCTTTCACTGATTGCCCAGGCAACAGCTGAACAAACATGTGGTGTTGGTGGGGTGTGGTGGTGTGTGTGGCTTTCTTTTGACGCAAGGTTCTTCCCCCTGTCCCTTCACACACACCCGTGGCTAATTTTGGCCTATCGAAACGACCGAGCCTCACGCACTCACAATACTAACCAACGCATAGATAGGACGCAGAAGGCCTCACAACGCATCAAAACCAGTTAAACTCTATCTTCCAACGTCCCGCGCGTTTATTCCTGCTTTCTTCACACCCTATTTCGATCGGAAATAGATAACCTTTTTAGACGAACCAAATAGAAACTTCCTCCCAGCTGGAGATCTGCGTTTCGTCTCGCCTAGTCCCTCGTCTCAGAAGTAAGGTTCACCAAGGGCTTTCAGGGCTCTCGTTGGCCTGTCCTGGCCTGGACACCCATGATATCGAAATACATGTAATTATATAATCGGCGGTGTTAAGCAAAGTAAGGAGGTAACGCAATAGTGTAAACGGGTGTTCTAAACCGAGATGAGGCGCACCATTTGGTGCGCGGGTAGACAGAATGATATTACTCTAGCCAATATGATTTTTTACTTTGTTTCAATCTTGAGAAGAGAAGCATTGAAACAAAGGATACAATATCTGTGTGTGTGTGCTTGAATTCTCGGGTACTGTGATCGATCAGGTAGCGAGTAGAGTAGAGATGTAGGTATAATATGTATTTCCTCCGGCGATAGTACTTATATACATATTTGATACCCATTGTTGAACGAGGATGATTAGCGATTCTGCAGAATCCGAGACCATAATGCTGCGGGGAGGTGCCGAGGGCCAGAGTGACTGACTGTCTTGAGGATCAGTCTTGCGGTGGGTGAGTAAGTAAATACATGGACCTGGGTGAGTAATGCGGGCGTCATTGATGTGCCATTTTACGTGGCAGATCGTGCATCAATGGGCACTCGTGGTCGTCGTTGTGGAGATAGGTAGGTGGAGGAGGTGAGTGTGAGGTGGTTGTCTGCCGGGGAACGTCCGTCCGTATGTAGCACATAGCAGCTACCGAAGCAAAGCAATCCCAACTTCCGACGACGGCCGTTTCCATACAGATACAGGCAGGAACAATTATTCCCTTGTTCTCTCGCCCTGTTGCTAGCTCTTGCTCTCTCTCACTATCGCAGATTGGCTTCACCGCTATTGCAGCAATCCGTTCTCAGCTTCCTCCCGGGCGGCCTGCTGTGAATTCTGCCACTGCTGTTTGTTTATCTTCTCCCAGATCTGACTGAACTGATCTCCGGCCACGAGGAAACGAGGGAGTGAAGGGAGGAAAGAAGGGTTGTCATTCCCGAGCCCAAGCAAGAGCCCAGGCAAGACCAAGACCACACCCCCTACCTGCCTTACATACAGCCACCACAACCACCAACCTACATCTTACCTCCGACCTCGAATCTAAACACCTGGTCGAACTTTTTTTTTCCCCCTTCCCTATTTTTCTTTCCCAATCCATTTTCTCTTTGCTTGATCAGGGCCATGGCCACTTTCACCTCATTTTAAATCTCTCTCTTTTTTAATTAGAAAGAAAAAAGAAGTAGAATAAAAAGAAGAGGAAGAAGCACAGCGCATATAACCACCCCTTCCTACCTGCATCCTTCAACCGCCGGAATTGCTGCGGCTGTAGACAGAGTAGTCTACAGAATCCCCAACAACAACGTACCTATCTACCTACATACGTCTTACGATCCACCAGTGCCAACCACCCAACGACAACCGCCACAAACGAAACGAGAGAAAACATTGACCCTAGCCTCTACCGCGCAGAAGCAGACAGATATACAAATCCGAGCCCTACCTTAGAGGAGCCAGTTACGCCTCCGAGGGACCTCCGACACAACAACCCAAAACCAACGTTTACCAAGCCACTAGCTTACCTAGTTAGCTTGCTGTTCCTACATAATTTAGCTGCCTCTACATCCTACTACAACTTTTTTCGTCTCCACGACAACCGGGTTGAGGAGAAAAGAAGCAAGAGAGTGCCAAACAAAAAAAAATCCTACAAACGACGCACAATTCCAACCCTTTCGCCCCATTGCACCGCCATTGCATTGCATTGTCGTTTTTTGCTTTGTGGGATATAAGTGTGTGAGGGAAAGGAAAGGACAGACTAGCTTGGAATTAATCGGGGTGGGTTTCGTTTCTTGCTTCGGTTTGTGTCATTCTCAAGGATTGAGACTGGATTGCATATCTAGAGACAAAGAAGAAGAAGTATAGGAGAAAAGCATATGGTCAGGAACAGCACCATCATCAACAACAGCAGAACCTGCACAGCGGATTTGTAGATTTCTCGGCTTGAGTGCCTCGGGTTAGTGCCAGGCAGGCTCGCTATTTAGCGAGGAGTTTATTATTGGTGCAGTGCAGTGGGCTGTCTAAGCGGTGAGGGGAACCGTGCGTTCAGAAGTGAGTGAGTGAGTGCACTGGGGTGAACATCACCTGGAACATGAATCCTCAACAGAGTGGTTTCAAGTACATATTCCCTTCCCCCTCCCCTCTTCCCTTCTTCTTCTCCTCCTCAGCCTGTATCCATTTCCAGAAGTGTCCTCGTTGTTCACTCAATACAAGACCTTCACAGTCTATGTTCTTCTTGGTTATATCCTATAATATATCACTAACAAACACCTATCCAACAGAGAAACAAACATATCATCTTCGACCACCTATTCCACTTCCTCAGCCGCACAAGGGTCATCAAACGCTTCGTCTTCATCTGCAATTGTCAGCACGAACACAAGCCACCCGCTGCCACCCATGCCTAGCTATAATTCTACCTTCTCCCCCGCGGACCTAAAGTGGCACAACACCCTTCCAGAAGACTTTACCGGTGGCCCAAAATCCACAGTGGCCCGTACCCGTTCGCCCGCCAACGCTGACAATCTTCGAAAGCGTCCATCTGGCAATTTTGAGAACATTGATGCCATCCTCCAATCCCATGTTCATCACACTGCTACCTCACCAACGCTTCTTTCCCCTCTCCCACCAACTCATCGGTTAGGCTCCAGTCCGCTGCCATCCCCAATCAAAAGGTCTAGAGCATTACAACGCAATACACCTGCCAAAACTCCCACTAGGAGTAAATCATCAAACTGCCTGACTGGCTCAGGTTCGGGCATGCAAACACCTCCCCCAAGTAGCACTGCAACCGCAAGAAAACGTGGAAGGCCGTCAAAGAAATTGTATCCAGTATTACCATCAGCAAACAATATCAATACCAGAGACTCCCTAGAACAATCACCCCCACAAGCAAGCCCTACAAAATTGCAGAAATTGAACGGGAGCCAGAGCTGCCATAATTTGGGTCTACAACTAGACCCACAAAGTAAATTCAATTTCCAGCATTTTGACTCTGGTATCTTAATGCCGTCAGATGAACTGCCTCCCCATTTCTACCAAAAATGCAATGATAATCTCTGGGGTGACGGCGGGGACTTTGACTTCATCGCGGGGTTAACGACGGCCAACTCTAATGGGCTGGAACACTCTGCAAGCTTTGATTGGTCTTCCCTCCGGAACAACGCATCACTCGACAACCTCAACCACGCTCTTCCAGCCGATATATTCGCACCCACCCCAGAACTTCGGCGACAACCAAGTCAGTCCTCACTGTTGACGGATGAGGGCAAGTCGTCGGCAGATAATCCCACGTTCTCATTCTCTCAATTTGATGATCCTTATGGTCTGGAAATGCCACTTGACGTTGACCCGAATTTATTGTTTTCTAGCACGAGCAATAGTGCAGCAAGCAGCATGATTGGTGGATTCAGAGAGGAGTTTAAGCCGTTTCCGTTCGTGCAGCAGCAGCAACCTTATCAGCCATATCAGCACCAGCATTTGCAACAACTACGAGAGCAAGAGTTGGAGATGCAGAAGCAGAAGCAACTACAGGAAAGGATTTTAAAAGAGCGATCGAGGCGGGAGCGTACGATTGCTGCATCCGGTGGCCGTCATTCAAGACACTCGGGCATCTTGAAGCACAGCATGAGTGATGGAATTCTCACTGGTTCTGGTGAGAGACAGGTCTGCAAAGCTGCTAATTTCAATGCCGCTGTTCTCAAAAGAAGCTGCAGCAATGTTGGGCGAAGAGGCGAAACGGTACTAGTTGATCGTAGTTATACGCCCAATCCTTCACAAAGAGCTTATAACCCCACCCATCCATCGGGGCTACGGCGATCAACATTAAAGATTCAAGAAAAGCCTTCCAGAACTAGGACTGAAGTTTTTCTCGCAATTTCACCGGGGGGTCGAGCCAAAACGGAGACAAAAATTGTATATGATAACTCGGATGTCGATATTGATATCGAAGAGCCTATAATGTGGGATTCGCCACAAGAGAGTGATTCCTCTTTTGATGATGATGTGCCTCGAGGGCTTGGGCCGGATGGTATAGATTACGCATTATTTCGGCAGCGTAAGGCTGCAGACCCATTTCAAGGGGCAAGGCAAGGACCTTTACATACATTGATTGTTCCTTCATATGACAATCAAAACCAACCACCACGACCACAACCGCCAAGGACACCCACTCGAAGATCTCCACTCAAGATGCCGCTGTCTGGAAGCCATAGAAAAATGAATGGCTTTTCTTCTGGTACCACTGCCGGCACCAATTCTTTAAGCGGAAGACTAGATTCTTCGCCGAGATTGCCAACTCCGTTAAGGTCCAGCCCCCCTCCGACTGTTGATCGCCGTGTGAGGGAAAGGGTTAGAAGAGCAAGCCATTCCAGTTTGACCCCTTCACTGTCAATATCGGCCATCGGGACTCCAAGATTGGGGAGCATGCAGGAGGTTAGCGACGAATCAGAGGCTGAAACTGTGGTTGATGGGACTGATATCTGCATTCTTGATGAAGAGGAGAATGGAGATGCGATGCATGCTTTGAGGAAGGTCATGATTGCACGGCGAAATGGCGAAGCTAGCAGAGGTAAAATCTTTCGAATACATTAACCGACCAGCGTAAACTAACAGTGGTACAGTCGCATCCCTGCAATGCACACCCACCAAGACGCATCCTGCTAGTGCCGTCAAACCACAGGCATTCTCAACCGGTAGCAGCGTCGGCACTTGTTCGAGCGGTCGCCACAACCAAATGCATCCACAACTTCTAAGAGCTTCACCGGTTAAAAAAAAGCTTTTTGAAGAACAAATTCTTCGGAGTGTTGATCGGCAACGCAATGGATATGAGCGTCAAATGACAGATGACACTCCAACTACCCCGAGCAAACGTCGGACTAGAGCAATGGAAAGAAAGGAAATGCAGGAAAATCTAAAAGGTGCGACGAGATGTATCTGCGGGGATGCCGGCGATTCTGGAGGAAAGACCTTGGTCCAGTGGTATGTTTATCAATACAGTCTTTTGATAGAAGCGGATAAATGGCTTACTGTTTGCGAATAGTGATACATGTCATCATTCGTTGCACATGAAGTGCGTTGGATACAACCGCAAATCTCTACCCGATTTTTTCGAATGCAACTTCTGTAAAAAGGAGGTAGTTGAGCAAGAAAACATACCGAAATACAGAGGGAGGACTAGGTCGAGACGTGCGATTGGGGCGGGATCAGATGACGAAAATAGCATCATCTCCTCGCTGATGAGAAATGGGAGATGAGAGCTTGGATTCTATGAAATCTGAATTTATGTAGTGTGGTCACGACTCCGCACTTTTATGGTATGATCCGAGAGGGATTTATCACGTTTCATGAGCATTATGTTTCATTCTCCTTTATGCATCTTCCCCCTTGGATCCAAAGCTTTATATATATATATTCTTCCCTTCTTCACCAGAAGGATGGGCTTATTTTCTTGGTGAGAACATCTGCTTTGTTTTATACCTTCACCCTGTTTTTCATTCCAATTCATTTCCTTTCGAGGATATATGCGCACTTCTATTTTTATTATATATTCCGCGCTCAAGAGTTCTTTTTCTTCTTCCCTGTGGGGTCAGCCGTAAAGGATAGACCGTGTAAAGAGCATACGGGGCCATGCTCACCACTAGGCTCTTCTTTCATTCACTCCTTCATTTTTATCTTTATTGTATTTATAGTTATTTGCCAGAAAAATCGCACTTTGCAGTGGAAAGAGGTGGCAAATTTTGGTTGTATATTCGGGTCGGCATTGATTTCCTTTCTTTTTCTGCTGGTTGTTGTGAGAGAAATGAAACAAATTTGGGAGGAGTAATGGGAAACACAATTGGCTTAGCTCACGTTCTATGTCCCGTGACGAAGAATTGACAACACGTGTGCATTTGTGTCCAACGCCTTCCTGGAGGCCGCAGATCAGTGCTGATTTCAAAGTGCACAATTGAACGCACTCGTTCTTGTTCCTCTTGCTCCGTCCAGACCTCTGATAGTATCAATAATTTAGATACTTCAGCACAGTGCGTCCCAGCCAAGACTTTCGAAAGAGACGCCCTTCAACTAGATACCCAATAGAGATCATAGAGAACATTGGGGAAATGACCAGGAGTCAAAATAGACGGTAGTGTACGCCAACTGTTTCTCCAACGGATGTTAATTATGGTGCTAACAGACCAGCCAAGGTGTTGAACCCACCGCAACGACTCTGCTTTCACATCTGGGACGGAAGTCTACCCACCGAGTAGCTAGCTGGTGAGCTCATTGCGATGGCTTTTGAAGGAAAACAACCGCCCCTCCAGGTGTAAGCATAGGTTTAGGATTTGTCCCTGTTCCTTACTGTTAGCTAGCAGTTTCATAGTGGCATCTGCATAAGGTCAGAACCCGGCTACCAACACCTCGTGGGTTGGAGGATAGATTACAGCGGCTAATCAGGATGACTGGGGTACACTGTTTGTTGGTGTTAAAGCTGTCTTGTAGGAAAATAAGAGGGAAGGATGGGAGGGGTAAAAATCTCCTCTTAATACTTCGGCCAAGCCTAAATATTAAGAAAAGCCCCTCTCCAGATGGAGGGTGCAAAAGAAAAATGGGAGGTTAAAATATCAAGGGCCTCCCTACGTACGAAATGAACTGTGGAAGCAAGCGGACCGAAAGCAACATCCCCGCCATCACAGGTTGTATGAGCGTGCAGCGTTATAGCTAGTGGCAGTTGATAAAAGTCCCATGCCCCTTCCTACTACTCGTGCCTAACCTATTTCTTTCCGGTTAGTTGTCTGGAGGAGCCATAGGCATATTACCAGAATGATACGCCCCATGGGTCATATCACCCCTCCTTCTACCTGCTTATTGATCATAGTGTATGGGAGGAAGGAAAGAGTTGAAAAACGGTGTTATAGAGCGTACTTGGTCGTCGTCTAGTAGGCACCAGCAGCAACAGCTTTGTGTAGATCCCGGCCCGTTATCCAGCATGAGTGAGATCAGTTTCATGTTCAGCTGTATAGTTTTAACTATGCTACTTATTCCCTTTAAATACTAAGATTAAGAGTGCCAGAGGGTTATATTGGACAAATAGGAATCAGTGGGAAAAGGCAGCTTGATAGCTTCGACCAGCGATCCTGCTTGTTGAGAACTTCTGTCTTATTCGTCTTGTGAACAGCTAGCTCTATCTATCGAAGATGACAATGGGTGAAACAAATACATGTAGTTGGAAAAGCCTCTCTTACTAACCCAAACGGATTTAACCTTAGTTTCACTTATGCGGCGGCCAGAGATCTTGCACCCGCCTATCTCTAATAAAACTTCCCTCTGAGGTAGTATCTGATTTCACAATTGAATACCACGGTGTCAGTTTTTGGATGTCTGTCGTGGAGGCTGCATAAAAACAGACACCAGCCGTCCACAACTTGGCGTCGAGTACAGATCTGAGAACGAGTGATTACTTATGATTCTCAAGCATTTTCTTTTTTTTTGTTTAATTCATTAATTGCATGATTCTCAAGCATAATTAGCACACCTATTTTTTCTTTTTACTCTACGGAGTCATATTCTTGTTCTGGAGATGTGGAGTGAGGAAAACTTGCTTCTGCCTAGTTTATGGGGTCAGGGGGTGGAGGAGAGCGGCAGATTTTCTGTCTCAGTCCATTGCAGGATTTATCCTTCACCGGAGGGGGCCAAGAATCGGCTACACGGATTGATGACTCAGTGATGAGATAATCCTTATCATAAATTATCACTCGAAGAATATTAGTCATTATATTACGCTAGCATGGATTGAGAATAGATGACTCAGCGCAGAACCACCTCATGTCCGGCACAGGAAATAGGCGATGATCTAATGCAAATTCTTATTTTCCCGCCATAAGTGCCTGATATTTTTATTTTTCGAATTATGAATGGCAGGGATCGACTATCTACGGCACTCTATTCTTTAATTTCAGCATATCCTTCCCGGATAGTTCCGGTTTCGTGGGCCAGCCCCATGCATACGTTCTTTCAGCCCCTTGTTACCACAGTATTGCGCGTGAAGCGTACGGACGGGGCGAGATTCATATTGAATGCCACTGTATTTTCGCTCTAATCGTTTACTCTTTTCATTCCAAAAGTTAGTAGATGTAAATTCGTTGGTGAGATCATGGGATATCACTCGTACTAGCACCTCAATAGCCCACTGCAAGTGTACACAGCCGAAAGTCATCCGCGTTTTAGGGGACATGTTATCACCGAAGAATTCGGGAGACAGTGCACCGGGATCCTCAAAATTTAACTCGGGTAGACAACCGACGGTCCCACAGCAAAACCCTAAAGAAACCTGCGGTCTATTCTATAGAAAGGGCAAGGTGAAAATTCTGCATTTGAAACAAGCTGGAGCCAATCAGAAGATGGGCCTTGCTCGATCATCCCATTACATGCACAGACGTGGCACAGGTATAAACTCATTCAATAATCTGTTAGGGTTGTGTTGGCATGTTAAACTAGGTATTGTATTTGAGTTCAAACTCGTTAACATAATATGTTCCTGCTGCCATCAGTATTAACCATGCTTATGAATGAAATAAATTGTGTTGCTTCATGCTCATATATTCATATGGTGCGTATAACAAGTCATTGCTGTTAGCACCTGCAGTAATCGAATCCATACCTATCTAGAACTCGCTTGAGATGACGTTACCCGAACAAAAGAAGATTAAAACTAAAAGACAGTTCAAAAAAATAAAGATTATGAGAAATAATACCCAAAAATAAACTCCAAAATTTTCACGTGACCCAGCACAACATACCCCGAGACGGGTTCAATATTTCCGTTTTGAAACAATCTTCTTCGCACCTGGTTTCTTCCCCCAAGATGTTCGCACACCTTTAGCTTTCCACAGCTTCTGGAGGGCTTGCTTTATTAAAGGGTCATCTGCGCTAATGTCACTGTGCCGACCCTTCACGTGTCTGCAGTATTCCGTCAGCTTCCATGCGCAACTCCCCGATAATTTTCACTAGATTGAAGAAAGAGACGAATGCCTACCTCTGGAAATTATCGCTTCGGTTAAATCTTTTCCCATTCCAGTTACCAGCTTCCAAGCAGTACGGGCATGATACACTGGCTTTCTCATCGTGTATCGACGAGATATGCCTTAGAAGCGCATTCTCTCGTGGAAAGACTTTCCTACAACCTTCGTGCGGACATGATAAGTCCGTGCCAATCATACCCTCCACAGAAGCGGTAGGCGACTCTATCTCAGGATCGGGTGTTTGTTCAGGGGTGGGCACTTCTGACGGAACAGATAGCGGGATTTTGGAGGTGTTTTTCTCGGTTGCTAGGCTTTCGGGGATCGCAAATATCACTCCGACAACCCCCTCAACGCCGGAAGCGGGACACTCCATTTCACGGTCTGGCGTTTGTTCCGGGGTGAGGATATCCGACGGGGCCGATGTCGTCATTAGTGACTGCACTGACCGAAACTCCATTTCCATTGTATCGTCCATAAAATCAAAACCAGGAATTTGCATTTGAGTGTCGCAATCTGGCGAGAAATCTGGCGAATCAACTGTCCACGATATTGTGGGTATATCAAGGTCTGGATCTGGACCAAGTAACAGATCTCTAGGATTACAGGTCTCAGGAGCTGGAACCGAGACGTCTGATTTGAACTCGATCTCTTGAAAAGGAGACATTGACGGTAATGATAATAAGTGGTAATTATCATCAATACCGGGCGCTAGTGCGGGTGGCGAATGTATCGATATCGTATACGATCCAACAAGAATCTCGACGGCTATTCGATCTGCAAGCTCCCAGGCTCCATAGGCCATTTTCAAATTCTCTAGTTGTTGGCCCATGGGTGGGAAGCTGAAGCGTTGCCTCAGCAAAACTCCAATGATACAGAGAGAGCGGTCGCAACAAAAAGAACTTCAAACAGGAAAGGCAGCAACATAAAGATAAAATCATGATCGCAAGGTACTTTGAAGAGTCACAGTAATGAAGATAGTCGATTTAATTTCATACCTTGTGACTTGACAAAGACAGTCAATAATATACTGCACAGAAATAAGTAACCTCTTTGCAGCCTCTTGTCCAAGCCTCAATTGAGAGGTATTCTCGGATCCGTAGCTGGGACCCAGCAGCTTCCGATCAATCATGGCCCCAAGATTATAGTATTCGTTCTTGATATTTTCCCAACAGCCAATTTGAGACTGACAAGAAAGTGCAGACTCAGGGAGGGTTGTAATTTTTGCCCGCGAATATTCCCAAAGAAAGAGGGAGTGGTCCATTGCTCTTGATTCCAGCACAATTCAAATAATTGATTTAGTTGCGTGGTTTGAGAATAATTAAGGAGTATTTATTCTGTGGGGGAAGTGTGGTGGGGAGTAGTAGGAGGTGGGTGGTAGCAAGAGGGTGGTGGGCATCCCTTATATACGTATGATTCTTGGCGCTGGAGAGGCCAACCCAACCCACACCACACCTCCCCCTCCCACTCCACTCGTGACTACAGGGGTGACGACACAACTTCCAGCTACGATTGACCATAGATACGGTCAAAAAACAATCTGGAGCGCTCTTCAAAACACTTCTAACAGTCATTTATACTCTCGAACAATACAATAGTGTGACCGAATGATATTTCATGATTCTAGTCTTTTAAAGGAGATCATCTCGGAAAATCGAATATGAGAGGAATAAAGTAGAGCTATCTATGAAATGGCTAGTAAGAAGGAACATTATAGTGTCCTAGCCGTCAACAGAGGTCGATAACTATTGGGTGCTTGATTACTTATTGAGCCGCTTAGGGTTGTAAACTCACATGTTTTCAAATCCTCTTGTCTTGGTTTGCTCGCACTTCAACACGTATACCGTATACCGGTAGATGTGATATAGTTAAGCATGTATTGCTGGCAATGTTTGTTCTATTATATGAAATGAGAATAGATGATTGCACCAAGAGGTATACGTTTGGGAATACGGAAGCTGGTGGGTCCTACCCCCGTCAGGAGAATGTTTTCTTTTTTTCTTTCTGTGTGGGTCACTCTCATTATATATACGCAGGAAGACTAGAACCTCCCTCCGGTTAGGATTTTTACTTGGATCTTCATAGGGTCTTTCCCTGGGAATCGTTGGGACTCTGTAGGACAATTGCTGCAGTATTCATCAAAACAGCGAGTCATGTTTACCTTATAAGTCTGTTTGATTTACCTTTCTCGGATGGCATCGGTCAACGATTCTTCCGTTATCTTTCTTCTCTCCAGGCTGTTGCACTAGGTGTTTTGCCAAGACTTGCGGTTGTCTGCCTGCTGAAAGTCCTTGGCAACTTCCGGTACTGGGCTCTCCCCACAAAACCGACCTCGAGTGCAACTGGGGACGATCATCCGCTCTTGAGGTGACAAGGACAACAGCGATTTCGAGAAAACCTCGAGCCTCAATGCTGTCCGAGAGCGTTCCTTCGTATTAGCGAGCTAGCGGCCTCGTTTGGACTGTGAGATGTGTGCAGCTAGCTAGGCTCGGGGTTCTAGCCAGGCTCGATGAACTTTAGTAGGGGGAGAGATAAACTCCTGATCGTGAAAAAAAAAAAAAAAATGTTGATCCTAACGGGGTGAGGGCGGGATTGCTCCCTTATATGTAAGTGGGTTATTCGTCCACCCTAGTGGGCGATGATGCGAAGTGAGCCTCAACAGTAGTAAGCCAAAGGTTAGGGTTGATATAGGTTAGGTATGCTTGTGGGTTAGGGCTTGAATCCTGTCTTATGACTCACTATAATCGTTTCAGATGGAAGCACGATAGACTGAAATCGGTGAACAATTGAGGTTAAGAACAATAATTTGCGGTTGTAATATGATCCTGGGCTGCTATTGGTCGACAGATCATTAACCGCCGGAAACTTCGAACTGTTATAAGGTTACATGGGTTATGTGATAAGGTACTTTTATGTGGCTGCAAGGCTGAAAGATGAGCGCGCCACATATTGTGGCATAGTCAGATACTATTTTTATCGAGCGTGACAACAAGCGTGACAACGACCAAGAACCGGAGGTACCAAGTTTTATGTCTTGAGAGTGCCCCATTCAGCTGAATATTTGTCCAAGTACATACATATATTAATTTGAGTAATCTTAAGGTTTGAGATGTGGCTTTCGAGCATCAGAGGATATATGTATGTACATGTAGTTACTAGAGTGCTATCTACTCTGAAGAGTACATGTCGTACTATATGCAATATGAAGCATCAAGTCTCTTGCACTTCACTTGTTCTATACATACATGTACATTCGCGCCCCCATCCAACAAGAGGTCCGTAAACGAGTGATAATTCGTGAGGGTGCCATGGTTTGGAGCTCTAGCGATTCTGATTAAGCCCTAGAAATACTTGTATCAGTGATTTGGACCCTTGTCATCGTCTGATAACAGAAGGTTGTAGCTGAACATCGATTCTTTCGGTGTTGATATGGTTGGTCAGTCAAGAGAGAAGACAAGTCGTCTCAGTCAAGAAGCCTAATTTTCTTGGCAGATGGAATCTTGAATACATGTATTAGTCAGCGGGACTGTCAGACCTCGAATTTGTACGGGCTGGGCAAAATTCACCTATCGAACCATTATGATGAGTAAGCGAGTATCGCAGGTCGACGCATGAGTGTCCCCAGACGAAACTATGAGAGGATATCGTGTGGATATTAGGTCTGTAACCCTCCAGGGCTTGCGAACCTACTCGCGCCGCCGGTTTGAAGCCGCCCAAAGAACTGTGGCAAGTGATCTGGCAGCCAATAAGAGCTCGCCTTTTTATAGTCTTTAGATCAATTACCTTTTTTATATATATGAGCCGCTTCAATCTGGTAGCGCGAGTATCTACGCCTCTAAGAGGGGGAAAAAATAGAGAAAACTGGAACAGAGAATAGGTATACGTGTCTCATGCTACATTAAAAACCTGGCCCCCTAGTCGGTACTCTGTTGGTGTGGTCCTGATCACTAGAAGAAGAAGAAGCAAAACCTTAAGCGATCAACCGGCCAACCGGCTAGCTCCCGTGTAACTTGATTCACGTACATAGGAAACTACATGTATGTATAAAACACCAGGTCAGCCCAGTGCATGTCTTGGAAATGACGACTAGTAGGGAAAGCAGCGTAGCTGCTAGCTCAGAGAAACTAGACAGATCCTCTCTCTTCCGCCGGTTCGACGAGACTCGGAGAGGAAATATCTATTATTATCTTGACCTCGAACGTCGGTAAATGTACATAAATTCATGCCATCTTTCGCGGAAGCTAGTTTCACCACTCGCAACATTCGGACCTCCACAGCAACGCTTCAAGCCCTCATTAGCACACCTGCTTTCTTGCGACAAGAAGACCCTAGTTGAAAGCACCAGCACCGATAGTAGTCTCATACAGAAAATAGTAGGCATTGGCACCTTCGAATATCAATCAAGATCTACTGCGATGATATCCTGCTTGTATTAGAAACTAGTATAAATACGTTTTTCCGTGAAAAAGAAGGATAAGTTTTATGGGTGCAGGACCGTAGGAGTAGAAACAACCCTCACTTAACGAAGGACTTAAAATCGCTTTTCATGTAGCGCAGGGTACAACGCTTTCCCACCGTAAAAAACAGCATTCCACAATCGTCTCCATGTCAATCCAGAGTCCGTGTGACTTTCTTTCCCTTATGATGTGGGCTTTTGAGTGTATTGGACGATGATATATAATTTTCAGGTAGAGTGGCGAAGATATTTCCCCGCTAGGTATATTCATAGACGAATGTTTTCCCTCTAATTCTGATCCTTACATCAGGACTCTGCAGTATTATTGCTGGTCTTTCACCCACATACATATGTGTGTTTTCCGACTTCTTTTCTTCAGGAGCTGGTTACCATCTTGGAGTTCTGGAAACAGCAGCTGTTAGGAGATAAGATATTGAACTGCAATTCAGGACGCAAGGTTAAGTCCAAAGAGACAATGTTCGGTTTGTTTTTTTACTTAGTGATATTTGTAAATCTAGAATATGGCTCAAGCCGTATTAGGTTGTGATAAGAGGCTAAAGAAGGCTGGTGTATCATTCAATATCACCAAAAGAGAACAATGTTTGCTGTTAAAAATATTATTATTATTATTGGCCTTAGTTATGACCTATCAAACTGAACAATCTTAAGATTCAAATTAGCATCCTCGCGGCGAGAAGATGAAGATTGATTCCAGCGCCTGTGGTTTTATCACTGCTTTCCGGTGACGTTGAGTTCCGAGAAAACAGCTTCCCCCTCAACTTCATTCTCTTCACCATGTTCCTTTACCCCCTCATCATCATCATCACCTCCGTCACCCCCACCACTCCCATCACTATCCTCCTCCTCGGATGTTTCCTCGGTGGTATCCGACCAGCGTGATCCCAAGTAGGGTTGCTAAAGAAGATATTAGCTAAATACCTAATGTGCTTCAGGAATTAACTCACATCCTTATGATGTCTCCACAACATCGAGAGCCATTCTCTCTTAGCCGCATTTCCAGTAAGACCATCAGGAATTTCTTGTCCGTCCTGGAGCTCCCGAATAAACTCCACCTCATCATCCCAGGAATATGGTAATTGAGATGGGTGATTGATGCCACCGGGACCAGCGGGATCGTCAGGAAAGGTCATTCCTTCGACGTAGGCGTGAAACCTTGCAAGGAATTCTTTCCTGCGAACTTCGGCAGATGTAACAACGGTATCCGCGTCAGTGGAAGGAATGGAAACATCGCTAGCACTGGTATCGACGTTAGACACCTCACCAGGAGGGGTCTCTGTCTCATCCTTTTCAACTTCGTGGGCTTTGTCGATTTCGTCGATTTCAGGAACAGCGGAGTGATCGACGGGCAATTGTTCGGCCACGGGTGATTTTGGTGAGAAGGATTGGATAAGGCTGGCTACAGAGGGAGCCATGATGTTTGGTAGGAGGATGAACAAGTGTGGTTTTTGTGGTTTTGGGGTGTTGTGGATAAGTGGTTTTGGTGGGTGCGGGATTAAAAAAGAAGAACGGCCTGGAGGATATAGAGCTGATGGAGTTTTTTCAACACATAGAAGGATAACATGACAATGAAACGTCTAGCTTAATGACCCTTGAAATTTCCTGAAGGGCCAAGTGATTATAGCACAGAACTAAATTTGCATATAATCTTTGGATGAGCCTGATAGTGCGGATCTCGATCTTTTCTGTCCTTAATATCGTACACCCGCTCTCTGGTAATGAGAGTATCGCGGGTCGAAGAAAATAATAATGGAACACTGCAAAGACACATGACTCAACGAGCACCGCGCTAGAGAATATATGTCAACGCACAATAAAACTAACTGGCTATGCGCGAAGACTGATATGACATCATAAGCCAAAATAACCAGCAACACAATAACCACAACATCTATTTTCCCCCTAGATCTCCCACAAAATGTTCGTTTGGAAGATCTAGATAATGTTGTATTTTAAGCTAGTTAGTCCTAGCCAGGTTGCTAACATACATGTAATCGCCCAATTGAGAATACGTGTCATTCAAGTGTTCAATTTGCGCAATTTTAAATGCATGTAGCTTTCAACATTAAAAAGTAGACGAACCGGGCCCGCTCCCCATCATTCAATGGATTTATCCTGCTTTCCTAAGCAATTCACGGTACCCGCGCACCCTCCTCCATCTCACAAAATTCTCGCCTTCACCACCAAAGCAAGAGAGAAACGAGCAATAAGATGACAGAACACGATCAACAGAAGGGCGCATTGTGCATGAGGGATCCTAACACAGGGATGCCGGAAATCCTTCGTGCAAAGAAACCCGGCACTATGAAGACCACTACTTCCATCAAGAAAAAGTCCACCCAAAAGGTACCCTCATCAAAGTATCGTGATCCTAGGATCCTAGGATTTGAAGATATTTGCTAACTTGTGGCAGAAGAAAATACCAAAAGAAGGAACCAGAAAGTACACAAAGAAGGAAGGCCCCAAAAGAGAAACGAAAAAAGAAATTTTTGACAGACGCATTAAGAGCCGTCATATGTATACCAAGGAGGAACAACGATTCATCTATTTCTATAGATATATTCTTGACATGAAGCCCGTGGATTGCCACAAGTTCTTTAACGAATATTTTGGCCATAATCTAGGACCGGTGGCACTCAACCAACTGGCGGGCCGGATGAAAAATCTCCAACCCGATGATGTGGTAAATTGGAAGCACACCGAAGATTGGGCTATTGGTGTGAATAGTACTGTAAGTGTGACTATGTGTTTGTATTCCTATTAACCGAGACTGATTATACTGTAGGTTGATAGCGATGATACTATCGACAGCGATGGGGAGTCCACGGACGGGGACTTGACCGACCTGGACGAGGATAACGACTTGTAGTTCTGAATTTGCTAAAATATGACGTAGTTAGATATTTGCTACAATTGTTACATGTGATTACATGTATTTAACAGAGTGATGGTAATTGACGGCTCTGGGGTAACATCACGTAGTATATAAAGTTTATGTGTTTTTATCCACCTCTATTGGGTTTTTTCTTCCTGTAAAAATGTGCATTTATGCATTACACAGGTATACCTAGTATTTCATGCAATATTATCATCTCGAAAAATTCAACCAAGGGCTCTCGCAATGTGCCCGGAGATGTGTTCATGTAAGTATGTGGCAGGACTGTGTGTACATGGGGTTGGGGGTAGGTGAGTAGGCGGATGTAGCGGCGCAAGCCAGAGAAAAAGACAAATAGCAAAAAGAAACACTCGGCTGTAAGTATCTTCAATCACGTGCACGTGTATTTCGCTTCATTCACGTGTGTCTCTTGAATCACGTGAATTTCGAACCTCGTTGGTTGCTATGCGAACCATCGATCATGCAACTTGGTGCAACACGGTAGTAATGGAGTTGAATATGTTCCATTCTTGGTTTAGCGTCCTCTAATGACAAAGAAATTATTAGGAATGTAAAGTTTGAACATCAAAAAAAAAAAAAAAAAAAAAAAACCTTCGAAACTAAGAAGCATAGTCAGGTCTCTAGTAGAAGAGAACCTTTGGAATGAATGAAACTCATTGAGTGCGAGAACCCCAATGTGCTGCGTGTGGCATTTGGCGAGCGAGGGTATTATTGTACATTATAATGAGTGGAAGGGAGAAAAAAGTCTCATGGTTAAGATTAATTTCCTGGGTTAGTTTTGTACGTGTTTACACGCCTCAAATAAACAAGGAACTAAGCAGAAGCATTCCATAATGAATGTAATCAACGTTGGATGAGGCTGGTGGAGAATTCTTGTTTATAGAGAATTGACCTTAAGTCTTTAGACTTTGGAGTAAGCACTACCTCTTAGATGGAGCTGTAATTTTTGATGTCCAGATACCCGTTCAAGCTATTTTTCTCCCGCGTGTGTGTGTTTGAGCGGGGCTTTTCAGGCCGATTCTTAGCATTTTCCCTCCACTGTACACCCCTAATGATGTGCGTGAAACATTTTTATTGACTTCACATGTTGATGGCCAATAGATAATAGCTGAGCACTCTCACGGTTCTGTAAGACGATAAGAATAGACGGATTATCTCTTTTTGATACTTCTGATGGGTTTATTATGCCGAGAGGGCGAGGAAATGTGACCTGTGGTAGTTCAACCCCCCCAATTGACCCCAGGCCCGTAAATGGATGGTAAATACCAATGTAGTAGGTCTGCTTTTCAGTAACGCACCAAAACAACCTCGTCTTTCATCAACCAGCTTTGACCTCACACCCTTCTTCTTCTATCCATCATCAATTCCATCTCCCTCCACGTTCCCCATCAACCCACTCTCTCATCATCATCTCCATCCTTCTCATCTTGATTTTCACAGCCTCTATTTCCTTAGCTCATTGATTTCTCTTCCCACCGTCTTCCCCCTCGAACAAGTGCCTTCTCGTTGAATATTCCAGAGACTTGGTCAATTCTCTCTAACACCACTATCTCACCATATTTGACAAAGCTTTGTCTGAGAGGATGGCTTCCTTGAACATGCGCTCTCACGCACCGCTATCATCAACCAATGACCATTTGTTTGGGGACTACCTCGCCTCAAGTAATCATCAGGAGGGTATCTGCATTGGAGCTGCTCCACAGAACTCGAACCTAGATCAGTCAATGATTGGAGACAATTATTTAACGTGAGAATGAGCCAAATGATTTCTTCATCTCATTTAGGAAGTAAAATAAAACTAACCATCATCCATTCATCCTTAACAGAACTATTGCAAAAGAAAGCTCTATGCTGTTGTCTGAGGAATCAAAACTTAAAGTTTTGTATGGTATGTATCGAGATCTTCCTATCCCCGAATATTGTCAATGATTCAAAGGGGAGAAAGCTAACGTCAAGGCAGATGCAGTCTGGAAGTATGGCTCGGATGCTTGGGGTCATAACGCTCAGACCGCTGAAGCCCCCCTGAATCAGAGGTTAGCTTAAACATGTATACATACATTTCCTGATTATTATGCTAACAGGAGATGAAGTGCATATAGTAGCGGTCAGCAGTATTACTTCGATAGCCTTCCAACGTCAAGCGGTAAGGAACATTTCCCCTCTTGTGTGGTACCCGTTTAACTCTGCTGATAAAATCTTCTAGAATTCGGTGACTCGAAAGAAAAATCCGACTATTACTTAGGATTCATTGATCCTTCGCTCTTATCAGACCCGTCATCGTCCCCAGTGTTCGCTGGAGAATTCGATGCTGGAGAATCTGATACTGGTGAGTTTGATATTCTAATATTCTCTCCACCCAGAGTTTCCCTCTGCCTCGTCCGCCATAATTTTATTTCATTCTCGGATTGACGGTTTTCTTGTTTCAGGTATTAAGGATACTGCCCGTGGTGCGATCGGGAGTTATGATGTTCTTCAGAAAAACTCCAAATTTCCTCTCTTATCCGAACATAAGGGATACATCACATCCAATAATATAGAAAGAAGTAAGCGGGTGCCAGTGGAAGGATTATCTACCATGCTCGTAGTCCCTTATCAGTTCCCGCACGTTCTCGAACTAAAGAACAGCATTTCTTGCAAAGAAGAGCTTCCAACGTCTTCTGGAGGCACTCAGAGAGGTTTGTTCTATCTTTCCCTATTCCGTAAAATTTAATAAGTCAGCTAACGATCTTTCTGGTTAAATTTTATCGATTCAGTTTCACTAGAGACCGAAGCTCCTAGTATCAATGACCGTAGGAGAATTGAGTGCCAATTCCCAGACTGCAATAAAAAAAAAGGATTTAAGAACATGCAAACCTATATAATCCATATGAGGAAGCATCAAGAGTGTTCTACCAAAGGCCCACCTGCCTATCCTTCGCAAGTATCTGATATCGACTTAGCTAATCCGGGCGTACCATTGCCCTACGTTATACCCCCGCCGGTCAAGATGGAGGATAAGGTTTTTCGATGCCCATATGCTGGTTGTAAATTAACACCGTTCAAGTCGATAAATACATTCAGACGTCATTGTGATTCGGTCCACAGTGGGAAAGAAGCGGAATGTCCCTTTTGTATGCTTGAGAGATCCGATCGAAAGGATGAAGATAACTCGAAGAAGGTTCATTTATTCACCAGAGCCGATGCACTGCAAAAGTAAGTTCATATCCAGTCATTGCAGAGCCGATACTTAAATTTTCAAGTGCTTTGATGTTGATATTTATGATTTTCTTTCAGGCATCTCAAACGTATGCATCCAGTCATTGAAAAAAACGATCCCAGGGTTCTTGAAGTCATGAGAATCTTGCGGCGTGGGAACGGAAAGGGAGTAATTTGGGATAAAACAACTGAGCCTGCTGGTAAAGGTTTTGAAGGACGAGATGAGAACGGCATACTCATTGGGGACTCTATAACTCAAAAACGGAAACGTACAAAAGCCTGTAAGGACCAATCTCAGAAGTTGAAGAAGGCCAAACTTCAGAATGGCCCAAGCAAGGAAGAATGCGAGCTTGGAAAAGTAAAAGAGGAAGAAACAATCTCTCCCCAGCCCAGCCTATCCTTATCTGGCCATTATTACTCCAGCTTCAACTCCTCTGGTAGCTTCTCTTCCTTCCTTGATTCATCATCCTCGCCCTTCCCATCTACCAACGGGTCCACTGAGGTCGTGGTACCATTGCGCAAAAGGCAACGGACCTCCACTGCTGCGCCAGGGAAAGGAAAAACGAGAGCCAAGGTGTCCAAACTTAAACGAGAGGCAGATTCAGACGAAGAGAAAATATCTGCGAAGAGATCAAAATATTTCCATGCTAGCGATATACTTTTCGAGACAACAGGGGTTGTTGGTCTTGGAGAAGCTACGAAAAAGGAAGATGTGCCAGGGTTCCTGGGCTTAGGTAAGGAGGTAGTTGGTCAAAATGTGGCCTTAAAGTCTAAGGTCCCAGAGAGTGCGGCAGCGGGCTCTGCGTCATCGTTTGGTGAGTTCCTGCCTTAGACGATGGATCTCTTGTTTATGAAGAATTGACTAACAGGTATTAGGATACTGTTTTTGCTGGCCTGATGATGGAGCGTCGTTCAATCATAACGCCGGGGGCCACCAGATTCAAAGTTCTGATACCCCAGCTAGTGCTGTAACGAACCCTGCTCTTTGGAATAATTGGGCAACGGAGAATGTGGTTGATACCGATACCTGGCGCCCTGATTGCCCCCAGCAAATCTCCCGAGGGGAAACCAACCTTCCCGTCTCAATTCAAAGCGCTAAAGTGCGAGAATTCACCGGAAATCATGTTGAAAATCCAACTGCTATTGCTGAAGAGCATGGCATGCTCGTGATGGAAGAGGAGAATTATATCAACATCAACAATTCGGGCGCCTCCTTGGCCTCGAGCTCATCAATGATCTCACAGAATGAAGTTTCTGGATCTTATAATCAACGTCCCCATCAAGTTCATGTATTTGGTCTTCCTGCTGAACCGACATCTGAGTCACAATATACTGACTGGCTGTCATATATGCTAAATGATTCGTTAGTTCCTATGGAATAACTACATGTATGCATAAGCATTAGCCCCCTTTCTTTCAAAGCCCCCTTTATTTTTTCTGTTCTGTATATATGCATACAGACTCTCATTATTACCCCATTACTACATGTATCTCTTCATTCTTCCTTAACTTTAACTTAACTATTATTTTTATTTCATCCTCCTCCTTTTATGTTGTACTCAACGCCTTTCTTTTCTCCCGTAACTGTACTTTTCGTGCAAACGGCAGTCTTGATTTTTGTTAAAAATATTATAGCTTGAGTTGTATATACATAGAGGGCTGGAATTTTGAAAGCGGGTATTAAAACTAGGGTATTTACGATGGTTTAGGCTTGTATATTTTTCTTTTGGAACTGTTATTCCGTATACGTATAAATACATATAGAAGGATCCGGAATATATATACCTTACCAAGTACTTCGATATCTACTTTGTGGAGTCCGGCATAATGTTCGCTTGCGCAAGTGATCGATCATGATTCGAATCCTAAAGCGCCAGTTTTACACCATCAAGACAGCACTGGCAAGATAGAGGATCGAACCTCGTGTTATAATATCCATCTCCTGCCGGTTACTATATTCGCGATTGCTGGTGATTAAAATTAATTGAAAGGCGGTACCTATGTACGTGTATTTGCTAGACTCTTGCTCCTCATGGAGGAGGCAAATAAAAAGATTGTTCCAAGAACAGCAAGTAAAATTCAATACCAACCTTAGCTCCCAGAGGTTTCTTGCATTGTCAAAGACATGAGATATTGCGTTTCCTGAATCTGGGAATATCTGATCCCTGTTTTCTTGACTTGCTTATTAGTACGAAAGGCCCAGTAGGTCTGGCTCGCGTAACTGAGAATAGTTCGCACGCCAGATTGCTTGAGACTACGAACCGGGTACACAAGCACAAAAGAGTGAATTGAATAAAAATAAAAAGAGAAGTGCCCTGACTCGGAATTGAACCGAGGATCTTCGCATATCAACACTTTTTACGAGTGCGACGCCTTACCACTTGGCCACCAGGGCTACGATGTCCCATGCAACCTTTGGAATTCTAAAACTAATTATGCTAAACTTTAGTCAATATCTTAATCGGTCATAGTTCTTCTTGGCTTCAACAACCCAACGACATCTACTCTGCTCTACATGCTTGAGCAGACCAACGAGACTTTGACGGTGATATCCACATGCGCATAAATATAGTGGGGTTATGCACAGGAAAATAACAACTATAAGAGAAACCCAGGAGAGCCAAGTACATAGATAATGGGAGATCTAAGAGGTGTGTATTTTGTTTCTAGTATCCTCTGCTCGCCGCCTAACTATGCGACAATTTGATCTGATCGAAGATTTAGATTCTTAGCGGGGTTTAGTTGGTTATGTTGATCTTGGCTAACTCCTGTCTAGAGCTTTTCTTATCGCATACAACATCTTGAATAGTGGCCATGGACTGCAGGATCTTTCCTAAAGCGCCCGCCGGGAAAGTTTTACTCTTCTTTTCCATTTCGTAAAATAAAACGGATAAAGCCCAAAACCCTAATTTTACCAATATTTTTAATCAAGCGGCGTTTCGAGTCATTTCCCAAGCCCGCTGTAGACCATTGGGGCTCTGTAGCTGACACCAGAAGCAGATATTCCACTCTTAACAGCCGTCAGTGTTACTTCTTGACTCTGTATTACTTTTGGTGTATATATAGGGGGCCTTTTGTTTACCGAAGTAGCCTATATATATCTTTGCAATTAGCTGCAGTGACAGAGATGTGAGTGAAATTACTACCGTATATACCGCAGTCTTTGACAATGCCATGGAACGGCGGTAACACTATATTGCCGCATACTCCGTGTAAATATGGAAACAGAGAGGAGGCAGGCTCTCGTATGCCATGGTATCAACTCCCCCCGTTTCTAGTGGTGCTACTTATATATACGTTGACGTTGGCACGGAGTACTATGAACAATAAGTTTATAAAGTACACTGACAAGAAAAGAGACAACCACCTAAAGATAGTGTTGGTTCTGGCGAGCTCATGTTAGCTAATAGTCATGAATTTGAAATCTCTCTAGGGAAAGCTAGCATGCAGCGCTGTAAGGACATCTCTTACTCCGTCCATTGTGAGCAAGCCAGTGCTTATTCCATTGCAGCAACGCTGAATGTCTGTAACTTAATGAAATTTCCCCTCGGAGTTTCTAGAATCGTAGGGAAGAAAGAATAGGGTCGAAAGGATTATCTCGGATTATAGGGAAGGAATTAAGGGACGAGGGCGTCGAGACATCAAAGAGTTGAAAAAGTAAGAGGATGGTGGAGGCGACCCTCATGGAACGTCTCTAACAGCTTAGGGTCATTCTGGAAGCTGAAGGGGAGCTTCTGGACAGCCATAGCCAGCCACTGCACCAGAGCATGCAGTGTTCAATGGACGTCCACCACACAATGCGTTTAATCACAACTGCACCCCAAGAAGCTGTAATATAGGAGCGCTTACCACACAACCCCCACACAGCCGGGAAAACTTCAATCTCACTCACCCCAACGTTTACAATTGGTTCTGTCTGCTGAGCTGCTAACTTTGTCACTTGTTATCTCCTGCCTACGTATATCTCAAGTTGCGGGCACATACCTCATATCCGGCATCTCCTGTGCCACTAAAATGGAACATCTCTCAGAAAAGAAATCTACCCTACTGCTAGATGAAAAGAAAATTAATACCAGATTTTACATGTCAGCTCCTTACAAAATCGAAGTTGGTACATTCCACTGGTGTAATGATATGGGCTGCCATACAACACCTACTCATACCCTTCACTTGGGTGGTCGTGCCACTAAGAATAAAAATAGAGAGCGAAGACCTCTCTACATTCTTAAGATATGCGAAGATGAGCGGATCCTAGTCTTGTAAGCTTTTCTGCATTTCCTCTCACGTCTATGGGTGTCTTCTAATCGAAACATATTAGATCTTCAACGACACGTTCGAGTCGAGGTTGGGAAGGAATGCCAGAACAGTATCGTCAATACTTCCTACCTATCGCACCAACGCCGATGATAGGTGACAGACGGTCGGTAACTCTTGAGGAAGATCCAGAAGCCATATTCTTGGGGAAATCACTTCTATACCTGGAGTTGAATGTGGTCATATTTCCGCGAAAGCTCATGGGATACATCGGAAGAGTTACGACCGAAGGCCAGAAGCTCATCCACCGTGAATTTTATGACCTATGCAATCGGATTCGGCAGATTCAAGAGCTCTCCCAAAATAAGTCATCCCAACCAGCGAAAGAAGTTTCTGATCTCAAGGCCAAAGGGGCACAAAATCGTGAGGCCACTGTCAAAAGCCCTGCCAGTGTCAAAAGCCCTGGTGTATCTTCAAAGCCGGATCCAGACTCTCCAACCGATATCAACCACCCAGTGCAAAACGCCTATAGTCCGCGTCGGGGAGGGCGGAGAGGCAAGACCTCAAAACACAATGGGGGATTGTCCACAAACCCACAGAAACGAGATATTCCTGTGAGCGGTAGGCAGTACCTAAGGTCCAAATTTCGCTGCAGAATATCGATGAGACTAACACTCAACTAGAATCACTCCTCACAGAAGATGATCTTAGCGCAGCTTTATCCGGTCTAGAGCTTGTTAGCACCAGCAGCAGCGATCCCTCCAATTCGTCGCAACGTGTTAGCAACGATGATATCGTACTTGAGACTCGGGTCGATAATAGGCAACGCCAATCACTTCAGCCTGGCCCCTCTATTAGAAAGAGAACTCGTAGACCACGTAGAAATGACGCCCAATGGCGTAGTACGGATACGATCAAATCCCCAAGATGATGCTCCTGCACGCCTAAAATCCAATTCCCAACCAGCAGAATTGATAATCATCTCGTGGCCATTTTCTGGCAGATAAAATGCAATTAATTGTAAACTGGGTCTTAACAAGTAAGTACTCCTTAGCAAAGATTCAGTGTTTTGCGATAGTTATGCGGATATGCTCACCAGGAATGCTCGATAGATAACACAGCAATACTATACCTCACCCGAATCCTCACCCGAGTTTTGTTTTCGCCCCATCGTGTACCGAGTACATATAATTAGGCAATTAATTTGAGGATAGGGCGGTCTTTTGGTCTTTTGATCTTTTGTTGATTTCTTTTTTGGAGGCACATATACGTACGACGCAATGATGGAAATCTATCACAGTCTTAGTCTCATGTACTGTACCAATAAAAAAGAAATTTCCAGGCTAGCCTTACCTTTGCATAAGTTACTATGGTTAACTTTGTAGGCCGTTACTTTTGGAAATATCGATCAGCTTTGGAGGCTGAAGTCGTTTTAATACACAAGTCACAAACCTGAGACCAAGTAATTACTACCAGCGAAGTTATAGTTAACAGCAGCAGAAGTACAGAGAATAAGAGTATTCTTGCTAAAGGTCGATCTAGAAAGGTGATGAAAAGGCACATGTATACGTATTGTATTATGACACATGTGCGTATGCTGGAAGCGCAATGTTGTGTACGTATCGATTTACACAAACTTTATTTAGTTGGAACCCATATATGGAGCGCTTCCCTTAGAAGATGTACGTACGCCCGCAGCAGAATTGAGTCTTGATTTACCCTTAAGCATGCAATAGTGAGCTTTGAATATACATGTAGGGATATGTATCTACATACTAAAGCCCGCTCCTATCGAGGTGTCGGTGATTTCCAGCTGATCCCAGCACTACATGTACTTATACCTTACACAGCATCTTTTGCTTGAGGACTGGAGTTATCACTTATTCGAGTGATATATCGTGATTCAACATAATAGTTACATGCTTAATAGCTCATTCGTCCTTATGATAGCAACCAGGAGAATCCCTTTAATTCCATAACTAAGCTAATAAGTTTCTCAACATCAAACAAGAAAACTCTAGAAACCTACATGACATCGTTACCTAATTAAATTCTTCCAGTATACGTCCTTCAATGTGCCAAGTCCAGTAAAAAGTAAAAGGACAACAAACAATATTCGTCAGCCATTAAAACACAAACAAAAGAATTGAAAAGAGAATTAGAACTACATGTAAATACAAATACATCAATACAATCATATCAAGCAAGAAGGAAAGGTCAAGAAATAGCTATTCTAAAACAATTAACTTTTGTGCTCCATATCCGCCCAAAGAGTAAAGAAAAAATATATAGCACTCACAAACGAAACGGATTTTGCGAGGTCTTTTACCTGTAATCACGTGTCGACAAAACAATACCGAAAGTGCACACGACCGCAAACTTTATCTCATCCCTCCCCTAATGCAACCCGCAGCAGTGTATCTCCGCCCACTATCGGGTTTGGACAACGGAGCCTGTCCGTCCCATGAGCTTGAACGTTGAACACGAGTAGAGACGACATGTACCGGTGTCATGCTAGTGGTGGAACGGTTTTTACATTCCATTGAGAGGAGAACCTCTGCCGCAGTATATTCGCTTTGGAGCGCAAATCCCGGCGGAAACAGGAATGGAGCCGGCGGCGGGCCGCCAAATGTAGTTCGCTTGTTGGCGGCAACCACAGTGCTAGTATGTGCGTTTCTAGTAGGAGGCTTCTTATGAAGGGAAGCCTCTCTGTCGGTAGTGGTCTCCTCATCAGCTGAAACCTTCATATCACTAATATCAATAGAAGAATCTTCCACAGCCGCGGTAGAAGCCCTTTGTCTTGGTTGGACCGCACTATCAATGGGTGTTAGTATGAATCTAATGGACGACCGGAAGATATGTAACGGGTACGTACGAGAGAGAGATCCTTGCCTTGAATGGGGCCAAGGCAATCCGAGAGACTGGAGTTTCACGGGGGAGAAGTCCGTTAATATCATAGGCACACCGGCTCTTAGATTTGTTCCTAAGACTTGATTTAACTAAATATTTCCAATGATAGATTGATAGGCACAATGTGACACACCTATCCCGAGATATCTCGCCGTCTGGCCCGTTGATAATGCCATTATTGCTGATGAGGTCTTGTTAGTCGAATATAGCTATAGGGTTGGCTTTTAAAAGGGGAGACACTTACGTGCTATCACTGACTTCACTCCGGAGTGCGAAGGTGGATTTAACAATACGAGCTCTATTTTCCCTGAGATTTAGGTTAAGCAGGTATCAATGAGTGTAACCTTTAAAGTATCCAGCCTACCTCTCTAGTTTACTCTTGTGAGTAGCTTTAAAATTGTTCCCAAGAGTATGATTCGCTCTGAAATACCTTTTAGTCTTGAATCTTTAAGAAGTATAGGTAGCTTACTCATTAGTGATATCAATACTTTCCGGAATGCTGAAATCGGATCTATATCTATCCGAGCGCCGACTATGGCCAGCGGCCCTGAAAATTTATGTTAGCTGGTCTCATTTGATTCAACATTCTCAAAGAGATAAGAATTACCTGCTGGCAGGAGCACCAGACTCATAGCTAGGCTTATCTCCATAATCACAGCTAGAATTGAGATTTATGTTAGTAAGGTTTTTATTTTCAGGAGATGCACAACTAACTACCTTTTAGTATCGCGATAAGGGGCGACAGCACCCCCTCTAGCTCTGCTCTCACGAATGGCACCAGCGCTGTGATACTCATTAGTCACCAAAAATATTTGTTCTTCATGAAGCAATAACTTACCGGCTGCTTTCTGCTACGGAATACGGTTGATGAGTTAAAGGCCGATTATTGGCAGCGCAGTTGTACAAGCGGGCTTTTGGCGGGTACAAAGATGTCTTGTTGAAGCGGTTCCCCTCATCACTGAAGAATTTGTGAGCTGAGAACTTTACCTTGAACTCATTAGGAAGACGACTCACATCCTATTTTGCAACATAAACATTGCACTTGCAGTTTGCGGGCCACTAACAGAATTCATGTTATTTAGGCCACTAGAAACAAATGTATTGGAGAGGGAGCTTACTGCTGGGGCAAATTATCACCCACTTCTTGGCCTCTGATATCCCCATCCTCGAGCTGGCTTCTCCTATATATAAATGAGCCAAAATCTAAAGGAAGTCAGGAGACGACCTACCTCTTAGCCACCAACAGATTAACTCCGCTAGCTGGGGAGATAGCAAGATCCTCGATCTCACCAGCGGGAGGTAGCGGGTGTCTCATTGAGCTGCTGCGATTAGTGCTCGAAAGCTCGAAAAAGAGGAATTGATAGAACTACTCACAATTGAAACTTGTGATATTCAATTAAGCCATCGTCATCGTCATCACTGCTGTGGTCAGATGCAGGATTGAAGCGAGTGTTGCGGACTTCAAGTGCTGAGTGATGAATCTGAGAATTCCGTGGTTTATGACAATTGTCAAATGGATCTTTGCAATTCTGAGTTGACAGGTCTTTTAGGATAGCCATAGGAATTAAGTCAACCATCTCTATGCCTTCTCTTTCAGAGAAATCAACTTCAGCACTAAGACCGCAGTCATCTTTTTCACTACTTTTCGATATTAGTGGATTTGATTTCAAAAGATAGATTATTTATCAAAAAACAACTAGCGAAGAAATAACGAAAACAACTTACTCATGGTCAAAGAACTTTTTAACAACGCTTGATGGAGTCATATCAAGCCAATTAAACTCAAAGCTCCGAGCAGGAGCCGGGACATCAGGAATAGACAAATCCCCTTCAGCAGTATCTAGAGGTATGGTTACCATTGAAGGATGAGCCCCTTCATTATCTCGTTTTGCTAGAGAAGATGCAAGAGTTTCACGGCTATATGAAGCTGATTTTGGAGGAGTTGGGGGAGGGGAGCGAGGATTTAAAAATGTTGACGCTCTCAGCTTCAAGTTTTTAGGCACATTGAGGTCTGGATAGTACGCAACATGCTCGACAGGAAGAATCTCTTGGTGAGACGTGGTTTCTGCCATGTTCGATAGAAAATTGGGGGAAAAATGACTCTTTGTGATATTTTCTTGAGTTGAAAGCTCAGGAAAAGGTGATGATGATGATGATGAGAAAAAAAGAAAGAGAAGAAGTAGAAGTAAGAAAAGCCATGGGTGACTGTTCAAATAGCATTCGCTGCTCAATGTGGGGGATTTTCTACAAGGATTTATCCGGCACTAATATGTAGATAGCGGGGAATTGTTAGCGGGAAGTTTAATGGGAGAAGGGGGCTCACCTGCCGCTATTTCGTCATATGTTGGTTGTGGGAAGCCTGAGAGTGAGCTTGAGCCGAGTGAATTCCATATGAGCTCGAACCCGAGTATCTAGTGTAATGAGGCAATATGTAATGATATGGGAGTTACAAGTGATTCCTTTGATACTGATGACTTCTGAAGAGTTGAGTAGTCGATATATAAAAATTAAATGTAACGTGACATGTATCTATGTAGAATACAAGTCCTCTTAAATCTACACTAGAGAGCCAACGTCAAGCACACGACTAATCTGCCACTTCACATCTAAATCCCCTAAAGACATGTTCCTGTCATCACCAATCGTTGCTATCTTTGCTACTAGTTGATATGAAATTATCTGTTAAACACTCTGTCATCTCTGCCTACATCAATACACTCAATTCAATGCAGCATCACTTATCTATGCAGATATCCGGATTGCTCTTTAACGGCCAATCATTGCAATTGCACGGCATTGGGAATAGCAAAGGACTGGCCTTTCTTGACTCTCAAGCAGCTATCTGAACAACCGCCAGTCTGGTAGCTGTAGTGACCTGCCCTTACACAGCTACAGACTAACGTCTCGACCCTGACAGACTTTACGTTCAACGACGATGTGTGCGTGTACGTGTATCTACGAACTTCACTCGAACGAAACCGCAAAATAGGCTATATATGAATATAGTCGTCGAACTACACCTGCCTAGCTAAGGGCATATTAATATGGCATGGAAGCAGATCACCACCGGCGGCCTACCTAAATGACGCGCGCTCCTAGTCATCCTACCTGTATCAAGGCATAGATCAAACATCACGACCTACAGGCTACATATACATAACGAAGATAGAAGCAACATGCGCTCCGCCTCTGAAATCTAAGTGCACCTTGATCTACCATCTTTCCTAGGCTCTGGTTGGCTACTGGCTCTGTGTGTACACACACATGCAACTAAATTAGTTACGCATATGCGTAGTACCCATCACGCCGCTAATAAATTTTCACCCGCTACCACTGCTCCTACTATTTGCTTCCATACTGGGCTGGGTCCAGTACAACCATTACTAATCTACTATTCGGAACCAGAAGAAGAAACACTCAAGCTCGCTTCGGGAACGCGAGCCTTACACCACAAGACCTGCAAGCTGATCATTGGTCACGGTAAAAACTCTTCACACCTTCACCGAACTGATCGGAAGCAAAAGATATGCGACAAACCCGGATTGAACGGGTGACCTCCAGATGGCACCCCGGATAAAGAGACTTCAGTCTGGCGCTCTCCCAACTGAGCTATTATCGCGTCGCATGGAAGACGAGGGGAGTTTTACGATTGTCGCGTGTTTCCGGAGCGTTGTGGCTTCAATTTGGGGGGCCAAGAGACTGGTTGGGGCTAGGAACGACAGGCATTCGTAAGGCTAGAGGAAACCATTATAAACAAGCTCCAGGGGTACGCGGAGGAGGGTCGTTAGGCGCGAGGACGTACTCTACTTTTTGAAGTAGGATATAGAAGTCCGAATGGCTGATACGAAGATCGATCACAACCGGGGCTTTTTTTTAACAACTTTAGCTTTGGATCCCTCATGCGAAAAGATCGACTGAAAGATACGTCATGCATGTATCAAACCGCAATTCCACCACTGAGTGAAAGACCGATAAACTCGCTTTAATTCCCAGCCGCGATAAAATCCTCAAAATAAACCTAATAATCAAAAGCTTCTTGTTTAATAAGCCAATGCGCTCGACTGCGCGAATTCGATTGATCCGTAGATCTCTTTGTCATTTGAAGTTTCAAAGCTCATATGCTGGATACCCCCGAGGCGGCATTTCAAGATGTGAGTACAGGATATATCCACGAAATACATATTCCATATTACAAAAGCCCTACTTGAAACACCGGCAGTGCACATCTGCATCTTGAAAACCAACCTACCATCCGCCGCAAACCCCCTAATATAAAACACTCCCACCAAACACTTCTCTCCCTTCTTCACCTCGTTGTAGGTCGTCAGCAGCTCTCGTGGAAGCTTGTAATCTTGGATGGAGGGGGCTTTGTAGCATCTCCCGACAGATTTGTTAGTAGAGTGGGTTGTGTGGCCATCGTGTGTTGGTAAGTTGGTTCTTCCTCTTGTGTGAGGTTCTTACGTCAAAGAACATCGAGTTTCTGGCTGCATGCGAGGAGTCGAGGTTGTGATTGACGTGTTTTTGTGGGTTTGTGGATTTTCGCTCTATCACTCTTGAAAAGAGTTATAGATGGGTGATCTGCCAATGATCGACAGAAGCCTGTGGAATACTGGGCGTTTGAGTTCGCACATACAAACATACCCCCCTTAGGTATTTATTATTATACACGATATATTACATCTACTCTAAGTGAGGAGTACTCTGGGCATAATTGAAGTCCCATGTAGTGCAGAACCTAACTCACTCCAGTACGGGCGGGCCCTTATGATTGAATGCGACCCAGCTATTTTTCGCTTTTAAGGTATCTTTTGCGGTTTCTTTTTTCTTTATAATTTGACAGCTCATTATCTGGTACTCTTGATGATAGATTGTTCTTCTAGTATTAATATTAAACAAAGATGAGGTGCGGGTTCTATATATAAAAACTTCTATAAATTTATAAAAAGATATGAGACGCCGCCGCGCCGGAACAAAACAAAACAGAAGGAAAAGAAATCAAGAAAAATCAAAAACTGCAGACCCGCCCTGATGCGCCCAACTTCTAAACATTATTATTAACTGCCGCATGCACTATTATTGCTTTCCGGGCAGTGCGCGCACAGTACTCAATACCGCACCCGGCTGCCCGGTCAGGGTCAATGATAGCGCGCGCCAGAAACAAACCGCCGGCAGTCCGCCCGCCAACTACAACAGTCCGCATGTTACGCGCGACCGGACCCGGACACGGACCACGCTTCTTCCAGAGCCCAGCTCTAGATATAGTTCTCCCTCTCATACCTCCCGAGCCTATCCCGCTGCTGCGGCGTACCGGCCCTCGACTCGTGGTGCGGCCCGGAACCGACCGAATGATGAATCACCATCGGCGGGCGTACCTCCTCATCCCTACCCCTCGACTGTCCCCTACAACCAAACAAGCTCCCGCCGAGCTCAAAGTCCTTCATCCGGCCGTTCTCCTGCCGGTGCGAGCTATTTCCCGTCGCCAGAAGTAGCACCACGCCGGCCATGCCGAGGCCCGCAAACAGCACCGCAGCCCATGCGAGCGCGATACCGTTCCCACCCTTGGATGGTACAACGGTCGGGTGCGTGCTGAGCGTGCCGTAGACGACCGAGGACGCGGACTGGAATAGGATCGCGGTGATGAATGAGAGACTGAATGCCGAGAATGCGAGCAGCGCAAGCAGCTGCCCGAGCTTTGTTGTAAGGTTTGTGACGCCCGGCCTGCAGGCGGTGAAGATAGAGAGGAGCATGAGTACGCCCTGGATTGTGAGCGCGATGATAGGCGGGTATGGGGAGAGCGCGCCCTGGATTGAGGCGCCGAGTCTGAGGATTTCGAGGGAGGAGGGGTCGAGCTTCTTGGGGTCGGTGCGCGACTTGACGCATTTTAGTGAGCTGGTGCGGTTGCGGGAGCAGATGCCGAAATAGCTTATGAGCACTGTGGTGCCCTCGCTGGTCTGGACCTGTAAGTCTCGTTGGGTTACTTTCGCCGCGCTCGGAGCATTCGGGGCCCTGGTCGTTCTGGGTTGCGACGTCTGAGTGGTAGATATCCGTACCCTAGAGAAAGTGCTCAGAGTAGGTACTGCTAGAGAACTTGCGGTTGTTGTGGGCTTTAGAAGAGTGAGCGCTGGCGGTAGAGAGAATCTGGACGACGAGCTTTCGGTTGATGAGGTTTCGACCAGCGAAGTTCCGGCCAAGACGGAAGTGCTAGGGAAAGCTGCCTCCCTCGTAGAGTTTAGTACTATCTTGACGACATGCAGGCCACTTATGGCGGGCGCTGTCGATGTTGTTCCCGATAGTAGGAAAGCTGATGAAATGATATGTTAGCCAGAGTACTATATCCTCAAATGCAGAAGAGGTTGTGGATTACCTGTCAGTATTACCGCCAACAGTAAACATAAATTTGTCGCCGGTCGTGCAATCCCGAAATTCCACATATTACAAAACATTGTATCCCTTTTCTTGTTAAAATTGATATATATGTGCTTGATGGTAAATAGAAATCGTTGTTTGAATTTTGTATATCGAGTCCATTTGACCATAAATGGGGTTATATATGTGAGTTCACCTAAAAACGTTTTCAAATGTTCTGTGCAAGATAAACTGGCTCTGCTCGTTTCATAGCAGTTATAATTAGATTTTTGCAACGCGACTCACTGGAGTCGGTCTCGTTAAGGGTGTCCGTGGGTTGTGTTGATTTTCAAGTGTACTGCAAGCAGTTTTGCTGGCAGTAGTATACTAGCCCGGTGCACTCTTCTTGATGAAACCGGGCGGGCAAAGAAACAACTTGAAATATAATTAGTCCTTCGATCAAAGTTGCAAGTCAGGTTTTCCCTCTGTTTTGACCATAGAGAAACAGAGAATACCAGATAACTGGCCTCGATATTCAAGACGCGTATCGTGTATGCGCATATTCGGTTCTCGCTATAGCGCTGGCTCCCCACGCATACGATGATAAAAGCAAAGTTGAAGTATCATCATAAAGACTCTTGCGCTGTACATAATTAATCAATTGTCAATCAATCATAAGGGCTTCATTTACCCTAAAAGCGAGGCAATTATACCTTTCCCTACAATCCCTCTCCTTACAGTACTAAAAAAGGGGATGTAATAGGCAATGTAGGAATATAGAGTTGTGCAAACTTTCGAATTAAATCGGAATCCTAATAATTATACCGTAGCGATACCATAGCAACACCGTAACCTCGCGGTATTCTGCCAGATAAGGTACTGAATTCACCCGCGATATTGGTGCTTTAATTATTCAAGATGCCTAAACAGCAAAGTACCGAAGAGTCTCGCCTGAAGTTTTCTTTGTTCCATTCCCGTGACGTGAGTCCATTAGCGCGAGTGATCCCCCATGACGCCGACACGTAAAACAAACCCAAACCCCAAACCACGCCATCATCTTGTAAACAATTCCCATTCTAAAGTCTCAACCCCACAAATTCAAACCCAATCCCGTCTCCCAAAGGATGACGTTGTCTTGTGTGCATGCTAGTAACAGTTGGGCTTAGAGAAATTTAGCCAGGCCTCCGGGGGAGATGCGATGCACCGGGATTAAAATGCTTGGCACTTAGTCCAGTCACCAGGTCAGTTCAAACTTCCCTATGCAACAATTCAATTTTCGCGATATCAAAAAAGAACTCTTAAACTCGGGCCCAGAGCTCGGACCTTTCTCGGATAGTTCTTCGGTTCAGACATCATCCGAGTATGCCTTGCGACCTCGTCTTTCTCTCGCCAATCGTTTATCTGGCCTTTTCGTTGAGATAGGCCCGCGGCGGGGGGTGGTACGATGCTGGTGGTCTTGGAGGTCTTGGAAAACTCTTGGACGCTGGTAAATCCGGTTCTTTGGGGGCCCAATCTCGATGTATGTTATGTAGTTCTGTTGGAAATATTCCGTGTATGTTGCTTTGCATAATAATTATGTAGATTGGGTGTCATATCCAAAGTAAGTAGGTAGAGTGCCCTTCATTTCTCTACTTTCATGTATCTCAGGTATATCCCCCTCTTCGCTGTAATAATCGCCTTGACAGCGGCCGCTGATTCATCCAAAGTCAAAACCGAGTCCTTAGTCCATCATTTAGGGTTCTTGGGATTCCACACCCATACATATATTATGCGATTATCGCAAACTCACCGCCAATGCGCCAATATTACCGTAGGACGATCTAGAGCCACTATGAGCGTATGCGCCAATCCTCAACGGCATTACAATTTTTTCCAAGAAGACGCTTTCACCATGACCCCACATTTCAAATAAACGGCGAAGTAAATTGCCAACATCCCACTGGACGCCGAGTTGCACAGCCCATACATTACCAAACCTTGTGTCAGGTGCATGCATCTGATAGTGATTGGGGGGGCGGCCAAGATTAACCTAGCAAACAGCTCGTGATATCGAAGAGTTTGTTTGCCAAAATGAATTGCAATGTTAGCAGCTTATCGGATAGCAGCACCCATGATATGTAGATTCGTGGCTGTGCACTCAGCTCGAGTGAGAGACCATGATTGATTTTCGCCACTTTGGCCACCGGTACTGGTGGCGGTGACGGCATTGATCTGTTTCGGCTGCTGAGATTTAGTTACCGAGATATTCTTCGAAGATTCGGGAAATCGGAGACCAATCCGTGACCCCTGAGGATTGGACTAAGGGTCTCATTTGTCAGTCCTTTCTCCACTGGGACGAGAAGATGTGGGGGGTGTTGTGTGTCGGCTGTTGGCAGAGGATTCTCAAACTGATACCAAATCCAGTTACAAAAAACTTTTCCAAGGGCTGGGCAAGCTGTTAGTTTCCCGGGATCTTTGCGAACTGGAACACTGTCTTGGAGTTGAAAGCTCAAAGAATGAGTGATCTCCCCCTCCCAGAGGTGCTTCAGACGACACATGTATGTACCGGAGATGTGTACTTTATGTAAACATTAATTTTCAAAATGCGTTCTCCTAAAACTCCCGCGAACCATTTTTGTAAGCCTTATTATTTACCCTGAGTAATAGTGAACAACTCGACTAAACTAAAAGCGGAATTGGCGGTCAGGATCTCCCCGATACGGGGAGTGGAATCTGTACTTTATCGACCCAACTTCACAGACCGCCGGCTGAAGAGGGAAAGATGGTCAAAAACGCAGACACATGTCGAATAGTATCTGTGCGAGAATTGTTCAGAATGAATCAAACGCTGTCAGCATGATTAGAGTAAACTGTATGTATCCCTGGGTCTTAACTTCCAAGGCGGGGAGCAGGCCGTCACCCCTGCCTCTAGTCGTCATGTCTACAAAAGACGTAGCTCCTCATTTGAACGATGAAGGTCCAGGAAGAAGCTATTCGGGAGCTCCAATAAAGGGCTAGACAGGGGCCACGAAGATGTTTGTTCCTGGATCTTCTCGAAGGAAATGTCCTATGCCAAGAACTTGTAACTTTTAAAAGGCCAGCGTTCCTGTTGATGTCCGGCAAGTAACCTCGATTTTGTGATCGGGTTCTGCGGTTCAAGGAAGACCGACTAAACGGTTCAATCCGGATCACGCGACCGCAGCTTATCGCAGGGACCATACGAACACAGGTGTTTATCCGTTCGCTGGAGTCCAATCGAGCCCGATGTTTAGTGCGTCATTGAGGCTCGGCGGAGGCGGAGGCGGGACACGTTGCACACCACACCAGGACCAGGTGTGGCGAAAGAGCGAGAGAGGCTGGGCCAAGACAAGGTCAACCAACCCAGGGGGTGAATGAGGTCTGTGCGAGCTGTGGATAGCTTCAATTTACGCTTGTTGTGATGCTATGCGCAAGTCGCGTTTGTATGAGAATTTCTCCTGGGCAAACAGACACCCAACTGAAGGGAGATCCCATCCATCAAGGAGCAAACAGCGGACCCGTGCACATCATGCAGTGTAAGGGCTTGGGATGGCACACTCGTACTCGTCGTTGGCTGGGGACGATAGGTGTAGGTTTGAAAAGGAGTCCATAAGCTAAGCAGATGAAGGATGGATGAGATGGCAGATGGCAGATGGACGCACATGTCCGTGTGTGTATGTGTGTGTGAGTCTTCTTTCTCGTAGTTGTTAGCTGGACGTCTGCTGCGATTTCCCCCTAGAGAATGTTGAGAAAGATGTTGAGAGAGAGCGCGGTATCTTACAGCGTCTGCTTGCAGGAAGAAAACACAGTTTAGAGTTTGCGTCTCGTTGGATCACGATTAACCCTCAATGGAGACTTGGGGGGGTCCATAGAGAATGATGCAGTTTGGGACATAATCGTTACATCTCGATAATTCATAGATCACATCATATAGACGAGTAATATGCTCACATATGCTGTCCACACATGGAAGTGATTTAGAATATGCACAGTATAGTACCTAGCAGGGCATGCGTCCTCGGGTGACACCTTTGTTCAATTAAGCCGGCTAGTAGCCTGCAGCCGAGCGGACCAATGATTTTGTTGGAACTACGCAGATAGCCCGCCCACTGCAACCCTATTGTTGGTTGTCACCCACTTGTACTCTCTAGTTAACAAGTTCCATGTGAATATAAACCCTCCTGTACACCCTCCTCAACCAGCTTTCTCTCCTCCCTTACTACGCGGCTCCACCTCTGCTTCACCTTACACATCTCCACCCTTAATTGTTCATATCACCAACACTCCCAACTTCAAACCCCCCATAACCAAACTTTTATCGTAGGTTTTATTGAATGGTCAACCCCACTTCCCTTTCCGCCTCCCCCGCCGCCGCCCCCTCCACCCTCCAGCACAGCTCTGGCGTCAACCATACTTCGATTGCGGACGAAGGCTGTAACGATGACCCCCCGCCTATACTTTCGCCTCCTGTCGGTAACTCGGCAGGAGGCGTCCCTTCAAACCCGCCAGATGACCGTTCTGGCTCGAGCTCAAACACTATTCCGAATACCTCAGACTTGACTCCCGGAGGTAACAATGGTAATAGCAACACCACCACCTCTGTTGGTGGTCACCCGGGAAGCAGGGTTTACGATTATGGCTTCTCGGGTAAACCTTTGCCTGCGACTGCCGCGTCTAGCCCCATCTACGAATCGACCCCGAGTGGACAGAGCTCCACAACAGCTGTAAACACAATTACAGCTAACTCTACAGTCAGTTCGTTTGATGGAGTAGCCCCCCACGCGGCTAGCGTCGAAGCAGTTTCTTCACTTCTCAAGGTCGATCTGAAGAACGGATTGACGAGCCAGGACGCAAAGGAAAGGTTGGAAAGAGATGGAATGAATAAGCTTACCAGCGACAAGGGAGTCACTTGGTATAGCGTGTTACTCAGACAGGTCTCAAACAGTTTGACATTGGTATGTAAAACCGTGGTTTCTCTTAGCTGAACCCCCTTTTGTGTTTTGTCTTTCTGAAGTCCCAATGCACTTTGCATCGTTATTGCGTCATCGATTCAATTCGATTGCACAATCGGAGAAGAGACTAATCCGAT